TTTATTCCGTGTTTAACCCGCCTGCACAGCGGGATGTTTCTTTCGATGCGCCCTTCGTGACTAATGAGATGCCTCCGATCACACTCCAAGTGGAAGGGATTAGAAAGCTTTTAAATGAACTTGATGTAAGCAAGGCAACAGGCCCCGACAACATTTCTCCTTGTATTCTGAGGTCATGCTCTGGAGTAGTCTGCCTGTATTTTTATGTTCTTTTTGAAAAATCTTTAGATACATCATCATTACCGTCAGATTGGAAGCTTGGTCGGGTGGTCCCGATACACAAGGGTGGCCCAAGGAACGTGGTCACAAATTACCGTCCGATTTCACTAACTAGCATCGCTTGTAAGGTAATTGAGCATGTTTTATATACAGGCATAATCCATCATGTAAATGCCTCGGGAATACTACATTCCTCCCAGCACGGCTTTCGTCAAGGCTACTCGTGTGTGACACAGCTAACAGAGTTTGTACATGAATTGACAGGTGCTCTTGATGGCCGCGTGATAGCGTTGACTGCATTTTTCTTGATTTCAGCAAGGCGTTTGATGTTGTCTCCCATGACTTGTTAATTGCAAAACTTCACGGTTATAAAATTGATAAGAAAGTGGTATATTGGCATGGGCGTACCAACCGGGGGGGCAAGGGGGGCACTTGCCCCCCCAGTTCTCAGAGTGGGGGGGCAAAGCATGCGTTTTGCCCCCCCTGAAACGGCCGCCACTGGGCAGAGCAGACACAGGCCGGCGGCGCCCAAGGAATACCAAGGGCACTGCCCCCCGACCCGCGCGGGCATATTTTTAACGCGCAGGCGATACAAACCCTAGCAACGGTGCTCACGAACGCCGGGTTGGCTGGTTTGTGGAGCCTTGCCCCACGAACAAGGCTACACGGTAACCTAACGGAATCCATCCGCGAGACATGGGCCGGACGGGCCGTCCAGACCAGGACGTAGGCCCTTACACAAAATAAAGTTTTGCTTGCTTGCTTGGAGATAGGCGCTGCCGCCGTCAACATAGGCAGCGGATGCAATGCGAGTTTCCGAAGAGGTAGCGTAACTTAGTGGTGAGATGTCTGCCTCATACGTGTCAGACCCGGGTTCTATTTATGGTGTGGGCCGGCTTACTTCTTTTTATTTTTTTTCTCGAACATTTTGTTTTGTCGAGGCATTTGGCGATATTTACATTTCTTTTTTACCATTAACACTAAAAAAACGAATGTTGTTGACGAAACATCGCTAAACTAAATCGTATCGACTCTATTTACGGAAGTGCATGGGGGGCAGCGGGGCTTGGGTTGCCGACCGGACGCCGCAAAGCGGCGTGTACGGGGGGTGGGGGGGCTAGGTGGGTTAATAGATTTGTAATTAGCAGCCGCACACCGTCACCGCGAAGCGGCGTGAACGCAGGCGCGGGGGTGGGTTAACGCGCTTCGAGTGATACACGAGCAGCCCATCCGGCGTGAGCGTCGTTGTTAGGGGTTCTATCGCCTGCACCGTAAAAGGAGCAGTGTGTGCACCTCCTGTAGTGGGCAAGAATTCCTACATTGGAGAGAAGCGGGGACAAGCCCTTTCTTCAAATGCGTCAAGTCTCCTTGAGCTTCGGAATACAAAGAAACGCCACTATTCGGAGCTAATCCCACAGTTTACTCGACCTCTCTTGCGTCGTGTCTGTTCGCTCCCCGCGCCTCGTAGCAGTGTTGTTGCAGTGGGGGGGCTCGTTAAACTTTTGGGGGTTTTTGGACTATCTAAATCACTTTCTTCCTTCCCATCCCCCCCTTTTCTACTCCGCATGCTTCCCCCTCTGCAAATATCAGCTGACCTTCCGACATCTTTTCTGTGTTGATAGGCAAAACAACCACTAAAATTAGAAAGTAATTTGTAATTTGAGTGGAAGTCACTCGGAAAAGTAGTTAAAGTAAACTACGAATTACTAGAATATAAATGTAATGTAAATGTAAAAGACTGGGAATTACCCTTCCCACCTTTTGGTCAGATGGAAGGCACCTTTGAGATAAGGACTGAATAAAGATAAGTTTTAAATACTCACTCGAAATAACACTGGTGTTTCTTTTAAATTTTAGAGTTGATGTTATCGGTTCCAGCAAACGAAGTAAGTTTTAGTTTATCAATCAATGTTATAATACCGGCGGAGTTAACGTTAATAGGATGCATGCGCTCGTAAAGCTCTTCAGGGAGAGTGGGGACGGAGTCCAAGCACTCGTTAGTAAACACTGATGAAAAATATTCGTTAAACACAGAACTATCATGGTCGACGTTGCACATCCGACCATTCCTAACTCTCCCCATCTTCCTAAACGTCCGTGTGTGTCCGAACACCAGAAACCGGAATTTTAAAGGTTAAAAACGGCACGTTGCGAATATGGAACGCGCACTTTCATGCAAAGCTGACGTCAAGTGACTCAAATCGAAAAACATGCATTTTTACAATATTGTTATCTCTTCTGGTGAAGGCTCAGCAACCGTTGCATCCGTTTTCGCGCACGAAACGGCGACTACCAGAGAAAGTAAGAACGCAGTGATTGCCTTTATTTTAACAATGTAAACACACTTGCAGGCGTGCGCTGATGAAGCCTCAAAATCAAAGCTCTCGTAGTGTGATTCGTGACTGTGCCGGCTACTACCCAATCTCGTTGTCACGCCACTTTCTGGAAGCATACACCAAAATTACAAGTAAACACACAAAAGCGACATCGATACAATTATCTTCTAGAATATCACCTTATTTAGTCATAACTCTTTCAATAGGCACTACAAGTTGTATTTATTTTAAGAAAAAGAAGCAAAATTTTTTTCGTGAGAAAAAACAAAATATCAATGTTAAGTCTGGTAACGTTGTAATTTTGCCGAATCATTGCCAAATCTTTAGAAAAGTTGGACAAAAGTTGCGCCGAATTTTCGATTTGGGGGGGGGGGGGGGGAGAGAGGGTCTGGTTTGCCCCCCCACTCAAAAACAAGTTGGTACGCCACTGTATATTGGATACGCGAATATTTGTCTCTCCGTAAACAATATGTTGTGCTAAATGGCTGCCAGTCCGAATTTGCTGACGTGACATCAGGAGTCCCGCAAGGGTCCGTCCTTGGGCCGCTATTGTTTATGCTGTACTTGAATGATATCGTGGGTGTTGTGTCATCACCAATGCGTCTCTTTGCAGACGATTGTGTTGTTTATCGAAAAATACGAGCAAGTGATGACGTCGACATTCTACAGGCAGACATAAATGCAATTACCGATTGGTGCAAACTGTGGGAAATGAATATTAATTTTAAGAAAACTGTCCACATCCCATTTACGAGACGGCGTGTTCCGTCTCTCAGTACTTATACCATTAATGACGAGCCACTCACTGTTGCCTACGAATACAAATATCTTGGTGTATTCCTAACCTCGACCCTAAGTTGGAGTAAGCACATTGACTATACTGTCTCTAAAGCCTCGAGAATGCTTGGCTTTCTCGCTCGTAACTTTAAGCCTGTACCACGTTCCTTGAAAGAGAGACTTTATTTTTCGCATGTCCGCTCAATTTTAGAATATGCCTGCACTACATGGGATCCTCACACTGCTGTCCAGATAATCAAACTTGAAAAAGTACAAAACCGGGCTGCCCGTTTTGTTTTAAACAATTACGACAGGCGACTTAGTATGACTCGTGCGAAACAGAGCCTAGGATGGAAGGAGTTAAGCTTTAGAAGGAAGAACCTTCGACTGAAATTTTTTAAGAACATATTTCACTGTAGGACTGGGATAGATAGAAATGCCTACCTTCACCCGCCAGATTACATATCGCAACGAAAGGATCATGTGTATAAGGTCAAGGAATTCCGCTGTAAAAGTGACGTCTATATGAACTCTTTTTTTCCTAAAACGGGATTGGAACGGTTCGCCAGCCTCGGTGGTCAACATTGTTCCTAACGATATGTTTTATTCAACACTAACCTCGTAGTGTCTAGTTAGTAGTTGAGTAACGTTCGGAGTGTTTAGTAGACCGCATTTTTATTTTTTATGTAGCCTGCACTTTGTTGTGATACTGAAAGATTTATGGCTTGTGAATATTGCTCTTTTAACTTTTGTATAACTATTCGTGTTCTTCATTTCCAACTTCTCCCCCCCCTACTGTAATGCCCCATGGCGCTGTAGGTATCTGAATAAATAAATAAACGGGGCAGATGCCTCAAGAGCAGCATCCGATTAGGATGCATGAACATTCCTCGCAGTTTTAATCTCGTTATTCTGGTGTAATCCTTGAGAAAAACAAGACGTGTTCAGTAAAACATTATTCGTATCTACAGAGCAAATTCCATAAAGTTTGGCAAAACGCAGCAAGATGTGGCAGGGTAAGCGCCCTTGCGCAAATGGCACAGCGATCACGTCACTCGTATTCCCAGTTGTAACCGACTTTTATAGACATACTAACAAAAGAGAGAACATCTTTCTGTCCTGCTCGCAAAGACAGTCCACATTAAGGGGTCTCCTAAAATCTCATCCAAAAGGCAAGGAGCTCCTCTTCGGAGTTTCCCCTCTCATCAGCAGTGCCCTAGAAACCCCATGCAACAAAGTGACACGCTGGGAGCCTGGTGCCTGAGTGAATGTCACGCGATGCAACAAAGGACAGTTGCCGCGCGTGCATTTGAAAATGGAAAGAGAACATCGATACTACCGTGCCTGGAATGCAGCTATTACTGGTGCGTTTATTGCATTCCGCTGCAATTTGCTCTCTAGCTTAAAGTCCACGGAAGCTACAGCAGCCAGCAGTTGGGATGCAACGACGATGCCAACACTCGCCTTCGCTTATACTTTTTGCCGGCCCGGAACATTTAGCTTTGACCGCAGGGATCGTGACATCCGACGACGCGGCACTCCGACCACCGCGACGTAAGGTGTCGCCACTTCGGGATTGCTTTTGACGCACGGGCGGCGTACGACACCCAACGCGTCGGTCAAAGGTGCTCTTTGGGCACCGGTACTCTCGAGCCGTTCCGGGCGTACCTTGACGAGGCGGGGCAGCCAGCCAATGACCAGGTGGAGGTTCGTGAGGCAGAGCCAGGAGCCTTCCTGCGCGCACGTCTTCAAGTACTCCAGGGCCAGGTCCATCTGCCCTTGTCCCATTGACACCTTGAAGAAAGGCGGGAAGCTAGACAGTCCCCATCCTCGCCGGACCCCAGGTGTACGGGGTCTAACCGCAAAAATGGTTCGACAAAATTGAGCAAAGAGGTCACTTTTAATGCTCCGAGGGTTAAAGGTTACCACCAATGGGTCCATGCAGAGTTCAGATGGAAAGCTCTAAAAGGACAGACCTGGTGGTACTTGTTGGAGCCCCTGACTGCGTTGGCAACATCGAGTAGCTCCTGGGAGGCATCCACGCTCGGAGAGGTCACAATTAAGATCGGCTCTGTGGCGCCGCTCTCTGCCGCGTGCAGTCGCTGGAAATTGAGCGCCTGGGGGGACAGCTCCCTCAAACCTGCGTGGAACCCAGGTCCCTCACACTCTATGCCTCGGGAATATGTGGAAGCATCCATAATGCGAGTCATCCATAATAACGAGACAGAAATAAACATATTTACCCAGTTTGTCCACAAAAATGTTTCTAGAGCAGGGCACCCATATTCAGGGGGTCTGTATCGACGAGATGTGACCTTGCTCGTATGATGTTAACACAATAATTCTACGCCAACGAGGTAAATTAGAAACAAAACTGTAAAGTGCCGAGTTACCTAATGAGATTTCAAGAAGTACAGTGCACAATATCAGACGAGCACTACTCACAGGGTGGAATAAACGTTGACTCTCGACTGGGAATTTTCATATTAAAAAAAAAAAACTGAATAAAATACGGGAGGACACTTAAGATTGCTTACGCGTAGGAAGGCGAAAACATTATAATCCTGCGAGTGAAATGTTTTCAAGTAATGTTTCTTCACATATATATTAAAGTTTAGGACGACTTATAGAACGACGTCCTAGAGATTAACGCCAAGTATGCCATCTAGGACGAGCTCTGGGACAACATCGAGGTCGACGTCAAGAACGATGTCTAGGACAACACTGAGGATGACCTTTTGGACGACATCAAAGACAACGTCTAGGACGACATCAAGAATGGCGTCGAGAACGACGCCTAGAGGACACTTAAAGAGGCTGTGGCGTATTTGCATGGGCGGCCTGCACTTGAGCATGAGCGGCGCATGCTTGATGTTGCCCCCGTCGCTCATAGATTGCGGACAATTTTATGGCCATTTTTTGGGCACAACAATGCCACTTTATTGCGTAATGGGACAAGTAAGGCTTTCGGCTTAATGTTTACTCTCCTCCTTTTCTGTTTATATAACGCATACGACAAAATTCTTACTCACAAACTGGAGCTCATCTTGTACGTGACCCTTCCTTTTGGATTTTCAACATTACTTCTCTGCAGCGTTTTGTGCGTGCAAACGTTAAGAAAATCAACTGATCAACTGAATCAATAAGAAACGAGCCAGGAGCAGCAGAACACAGAGTGACAGGGACAAGGTTTTGCAAAACTGGACAGAGGGTGGAAGAAATCCTTCACAAGCATGGGCGGGTGAATGTCTTCAAAAATAGCTTGACCTTTACATACACAAAGTCCGTGCGTGTAGAATCAAACGTAAGTTAGAGAGAAAGATAAGCAAATGATGAGACAGAGACGATGCTCTCACCTAAATATGACAGCAGAGTTTCAATTCTAGGCACTTCAACATTGTAACAAACAATCTAGGCAGATTAAAAAGCAAGCAAGCTGGTTTGAGTCTAACATATCAATGTCTCTAACTCAGCCAACTTACCGTAATATACCGGGCAAGCGCCCACTCAAAATTTAAAGATAATCGCGAAAAAATGGGGGATGGTCGCTTGTTTGGTCATCAAATTTACATATAAATGTACTGTCCATATTTTTTCATATCTTAGAAATTAGGATATGGGCGCTTAATGTGGAATGGGCTGGACGGCTGCTAACGGTAGCTGCCGCGACGCGTGCGCAGTCGCGGAGGCGCAATGAGAAAGCATGTGATATATGTACCAAGGGTTCCCGAAATTCCCTGCCATCGTGGCGCTGTGCTCTTGCAACAGGTCTATTCCGTGCCGTCGACAGAGCGGCGAGATGGCTGATATCGGAGAGGCGCGGCAACTTCAGGAGGATGCACGCAAGAACGACATTCATGCTTTTGCATTCACAACTCATAAGAAGTGCTTAGGTGCACCTCGAGCCTTTTTCATGTCCATTTATTCAGTGTCAACATTTAATTGTGTTACTTACAAGTGGCATTTTTGCCTTTTGTCATCTGCCAGGCCCCTACAGTGATTTGCAATTAGGGCTCACTGACCGCTTTCTACAAAGGCAGACTTAAAATCTGTTTCTGAAAACAACAAGCTACTTAGAGTAACATAGAATAAAATGGTTAATCTTGGCTACCCTCCCCCTCCCTACCTTGCACCAAAATACAAGTGTTAACTACAAGGTCATTGGGCACGGTGCACAGCATCCCCCTTTCGTGTGGAAGGACATATGTAGGACAAACCGGACATTGTACAGTCAAACCCACTTATAACGATCCCACACATAACAAACTATCGGTTATAACGACCAGCTTTCAGAAAATATACAAAATCGAAGCCCTAGCCATTAAAATTGGTCCAGATAAAACAACCGTTTTCAATGCATCATATTGTTACAATGAACGCTCGAAGTCCACTATTGTAAAAAAAAAAAAAAAGAAACTCCCGTGCGCGAAAAGAAAAAAAAAAAGATAAAAAGAGCGACATTTCGGGCGCGGCAGTCCGGGAGACGCTCAAGGTCATTTCCACGGATGCGCGCATGCTTCCCCGTGGAGGAAACGAAACTACAAAAGCAAAAATTCCCTCCCGCGTCGCGTGGTCCGCTGATTAAGCGTGCATGGGAATTAAGCAGAAGAGGAGGAGGAGGACGTCAACTTTCACGCCGTGCTGCGTTCGTTCGTTCTATGTTTGCATACTCTATTTAACTCAAGAAAAACTCAATGCTCAGTATAAGGTGGCTAGCCCCATTGCCATCGTGACCGCTTGTAAGTTGTTTACGTTCGCCATTTTGGTATTCATATCATGCACATTCTCTCATGTCTACGGACTCGCGTCTGTCGTTTTAAAATGGGGAAAAAAAAGATCTGCTAAGAGGCTTTATTTAAACGAAAGGGCATCACGCTGGCGAAAAAAGGTAGCAACGGAGCAGCTCTGCGTGGCCTCGCAATCCCAGCCGCTTGACGAGCTCGCAATGTGTTTGAAAGACGACTCTGCCAGAGGCGACGGCCGCGCACTCGTACATGCGCAGGAAGCACAGCACTTAGAATGCTTTAGGCCAAAGCAAGTATTAATTACTTCTGTGGACAGTGAAGAACCATCGTCGGACTAATGCACGGCATTTCTTTTTGTGTTGGCGTGCGTTTCATAAAATCTGTTCTATCAGGTATGTGGTCAATCTTCATTATTTTACCTGCGCGGTAGAATCGGCAGCAATTTACTTTTTGATTATTTGGAAGCTAAATCTGCCTACGCATTAGAATTGTGGGTGTGTTAGTATCGTGCAAAAAGTTTCTTTAAATAAAGAGCTGGCAGAGTGAAACTACCAATACCAGATTCATTATCCTTATTTGTAACGTTTTAAAGGTAAGTCCAGATATAACGAACTACTGATAAAACGACCACTTTTTGCGGAACTATCGCGTTCATTATAAGTGGGTTTGACTGTATTAATGACAAACTTTCTGAACATAACCTGCCCCTCCAGTCCACGGTTGGGGGTCACCTTCCCGTACACTGCCAAGTTTGTTCCTGCGAGCCAATGACCCTGGTTAATACAACTATTATTGGTAGACATAGGGACAAAATCATGAGGGAGATTTATTGAAGCCTTTATTATAATGGGTCTGGGAGAATGCTGCATGAGTCAACCATCTGTGGCATATCCAAAAGGACGTTTAATTTTTACACGCATATATGAAATGATGTTTGTGCAAGGTTGTTTTATGCGTGTTTTGCGCTTCTATAGTGCCATCAACATATTCCCTTTTGAATTTTATCTTCTTCTTTCTTCTTTTCTTCTGTGTTCTATTTGCAAAGTCGGCGCTTGTCCACTCCGTTCTCTTCTACAGTGCCTTTGCCGCTTGTGCATTGTTTATCACCATGTAAATTGAGAGTGGTTTTCTTGACAACATTTTTAATGTGCGTGCATGTATTTTTTAAATGCCTAGCAAATTGCTTGGGCCTCGTGGCTGGTAGTATGTTAAAATTAAGAAAAACTAAAAATAACATCCTTTGAAGAATAAGAAACCTGGAGTGCCTTCAAAACAACTAGCCGTTGAAGACCGCCTGCCTCACTCAGGTTCAGTGTGAAAGAAATTCCGAGTAAGGCTCACCAAGAACCCTGCTGACGAAGAGCGTGAGTGCACTGACGAGACGGTCGGGCCTCAGCGCCTGGACGAGCAGCGTCTGCTGGAAGAGCGTGAGCCTCTTGGCCACCGCCTCCGGGATCTCCCGCTCGCAGTGGCTGCTCTCCGCAAAGCCCCGCCAGAGCTCCTGGTTCTCCAGCTGAAGCGCCGACGAAAGCTCCGGGAAAAGGTTCTGCACGACCAGGTGCCCTTTCTTAAGAGCAAGTGGGGATGTGAGAAGAAAGAAAACGAGACAAATTTTTGGGGCTACGTAGCCCGTGCAGCCGAAGGACTGGGGATCAATTCTAAACAATCTGGAGATCCTCACAGTGCGAGCAAAGCTCTTTAGGGGCCTGAAGCCACCTCCACATTTTCACGGCCACATGTTTTTTGGTGGAAGAAAGCGAGATCTTTTGACTTCCTCTATATATTACAGTGGAGCTGTTAAGGGCTAGTTTCTCCAGTATCGTGTCGGCGGACAAGCAGCGTGTCAACACAAAATTCCAGACAGCTACCGCCATCCATGAGCGATGGTGGCAACCAGACAACCGGCTTGCCGGTTGTCGCTCATAGATGGCAGCAACCTTTCCAGCCATTCCACGCCGGTTTTCACCAAAGTGGAAAGGCTGAATTTCTCTAGACGTCGTCCTGAAAGTCGTCGTCAAGGTCATCCTTGAGGTCCTCCTAGACGTCATCCTTAAGGTCATCCTAGACGTTGTCCTTGAGGCTGTCCTAGAAGTCCTCCTTGAGGTCGTCCTTGAGGTCATCCGAGAGGCTGTGCTCGAGGTCGTCCTAGAAGTCGTCCTTGAGGTTGCCCCAGACGTCGCCCTTGAGGTCATCCTAGACGTTGTCCTCGAGGTCGTCCTAGAAGTCGTCCTTGAGGTCGTTCTAGATGTTGTCCCTGAGGTCGTCATAGGCGGTGTCCTTGAGTTCGTCCAAGAAGTTGCTCTTGAGGTCGTCCTAGACGTCGTCCTTTAGGCATTGTCCTAGACTTCGTAAAGATAACAGCTTTGCTGGTCCTCCATCTTCACATGGGGTGGAAGGCCTCTACATTTTTTTTGTATATATCTTTTATAATAGCTCGGGTACATTGTTTTATTTTAAGTGTATACGTAAACGAAAATCTAAAGTCGATGCACGCGGGCGCTATCACGCCCTGAAAGCGTGGTTTTTTTTCTTACATACCTCGCTGCAGCAACACCACTTAGAATCATCAAAGACGGTATACTAGAATTTTGACGTCATCACAGCGAGATCGACCGATGACGCAGATTGGATACGAGTGCTGCGTCAGCATTCGCGTCGAAAGACGCTCGACGTCGGGCTCGGGTCTGATTGCCAAGTTGGCGCCATTCGACCGTGACAAAGTCCCGTGGAGGGAGAGGAACATGTTCTCGGGCCTCCATTATTCTAGGTGGTGATACCTGCACTGAGGAAAGGGGAACGGCAGAGTTGCCAGCTACCGGCCACAAAATATACATGGTACCACTTGCTCACCAGGAACATACAAAAATATTCAGATTTCGTAAAAAGTTACTAATTCGGAAGCCTTTTTCATTTTGAAATGCAAATATGCAATGTTTTCGAAGATGTCATAAGCGGGCTTCGAAAACGCGGGAAGCAAACAACAGCAATGGTGATTCGACGAAGGTACCTTGAGAAGTGCCACCGCCAAGGCCCGCTCGTCTTCTATCCAACCCGGCAACTCGGCCCGTACGCTCTCCTTGTCGAACTTGGCGTCGGTCACCAGCATCCCCGTGAAGACCTCCCACTCCTGCAGGGTGAGAGCAGATGCGGCCGTCAGCAGCGGCGGCCAAATGGTCGCTCTTATTCGCAGCTAAATGAATGGGGCAGGCAAGCTGGTAGAGGCCCACAATGAAAACCCAAGAGTGCGGGAACTAGGCGAACCCAGAACGCAGGAGTGTGGTGCGTCCTTCGAGACTTCTGCGTCGTTCGTCCCCTCGATTTGTGTAGTCGTGAGCCTCCGCCACGAGGTCTCGCCTCGCTGTCTCGTCGCAAAGGGCACAACTTTTATCGCGCATCTTTTTATACGAGCGGGATGCTTACGCGAATAATTTGTGGATCTTCCCAAAGTAGGCCCGTCGTAGTTGAACCGTAAATAGAGGACGCCAGAAACCACATTAACACGCTTTAGATATTTATGCCCCATTGTAATTTTGATAACCACTAATAAGCAGAAGTGAAGCTGGATATCTGTTCCACATTTTGAGAGAGTGACAAGCTTTATTTGAGGGCTAGTCAGCCGTAGTCACAGCATTTGCCCCTTTCCGACATTGCTGTGGCAAAGGCAGCAGTAACACAAAACGCATATTATGCGTTGCTCTGAAGTGAAGTTGCCCGGATGAACTTGATGCTCGTTTTGTGCCTCGACGGCACAAACGTTGCCACGCATAGCATCTCCGAAAGAAAGCCCTGTCAAAGTCCCCGTTTCAGTGCCCCAGATTTGATCCTGCTCCTTTGCGCGTCTTTGTTTCCTCTGTAGCAAACGTGTTGTATGCCGGGAACCGTAGCTCATGGCAGCTGAAGTGAAGATAACCTCGTTGCCAACACTGCACCTTAATCACTTCCAGAGCAACCCGGAAATGAGAAAGCAAACACGCCGAGACTGAAATGCCAAAACAAGAATAAACAATCTTTATATCGATGGCGAAGGCATACATAGACGACGCAAATGCCCAGTGCTGCCGACATGACAACATGCTTGTTTTCTTCCCCCCCTCGGTTGTGAGATGGCGAGGCCGCAGTGCTGGATTTTCTTTGCCACAGATTGGACAGGAGCACTACATCGGCATTTCGTTGGGACCATAGTCGCCGACAGGACGAGCGTGGCGGGGTGAAGCTTTAATTGCTTTAGCTCCAGTGCAAGCTCCCTACCTTCGATGCAGCTTTTGTGCCCCGTAAACCTCAAGCGTGCACGCGCAGCCATAGTGAAAGGCAACGAGCATGTGTTGGAGGCCAGGCATTCTCAAGCTCCCTTGTCAGTGACCATGCGAGAGTGCAAGTTCGTCTGCTTTTTGCATGGGGGTTGTAGTGATGCCAGAATGCCGAGCTCCAATTGGCTCTGATTGGAAGGATAGTGGGTGGACCTCGATGCTAGCTGCCTCGAGGCCTACCCACTAGCTTCCCATCGGAGCCAATCGGAGGTGGGCATCGTGATGTCACTGCAACCCCTGCGCAAAGAAGCAGACGAACTTGCGCTCCGCGTTCAGTCAGAAGGGGCACGAGTTCCAGCAAATGCTGACACAAGTAGCTCTTGTGCAATGCCCTTCTGTTACAGGTGTGTTACCGGAAACTGCTAGGAGCTAGAAATTCTGCACATTTCGTACGAAAAATGTCGCCACTTTGCCGTACTAGTGTACAGACAGTGGTAACGCGGAATGTGATGTATTAATGTGGAGAAACTGCGTAAACATGCGGAGACTGGATGGCACAAAGTGGCCTTGTGTAGCACAAAGAAAGTGCGTGAGTGCTCCGTGGATGTCTTACTTGTAATAAAGCTTCGGATGGGGATAGTTGGTTTGTGTCATTTAAAAGGTTAAAAGCACGAACTGAAACTTGCTTGCGGGTGCCATCTTCTGCTGCTGCAGCATAAATGCGACTTTCTCAAAGCCTGTTGGAGTGTGAGACACGGTAGATGGAACGTGCGGAAAACAGAATCGGAATGCAGCAGTGCCAAGTAGAGCCCTGGCACCAACTCGCGGCAAAAGAGAATCCAATGCTCGGAACCACCTCAACCTGTTGCAGCAAAGGAGTCTGCTTTTTCTTTTTTTTTTTTTCCTTCTCTCTTCCGTCACTAACTCACTCTTGTGCTCATTCTCTGGGGAAGCCTGGTGCACGCTCCTTTCACGGAGCAGAGAGTTGCCGTATGTCTGAACACATGATGTTTTACCCTCGCCGGGAGTAACGTGGAGGTACTCGAAGAGCTTCGACTGGCGCTGATGTCCAGTCAGCGAGGCGAGACAAGTGCTGCGTCAACGTTTGGCTGGTGGTCGGCCTGTCGACTTCCATTGCTGGCGCCTAACCGGATACGGTAAGGTGCCAGCCATATATCACGTTCCAGGTTAAGGTTGTTTCATCGTTCCTGTAGCTACAGAGCCGAGTGGCCAATTGCAAAAAGGTTGTCTGCTCACGTTCTCCTTGAAGAGGTGGGGGAACATGCCGTGCACCAGGTGGAGTGAGAAGGCGATCCTGTCCTTCTTGAAGAGCGAGCGGCAGATGTGTTCGTAGACCAGCTGCAGGAAAGACTTCTGCACCTGCTTCAGGTGTTTCTCCCCTTTGTTGCCAGACTGAAAATCACATTGAAGCCCAAGGAGCACCGCATGAGAGGGGTTCTGAACCTGCACCCGCACAATATTGCGCATGAAGTTGGCGCCACCTTTCGAACTATGGCAATGACGAAAGCATGTACAGCATGTACCACGAGGAAGTGTATAGTTTGTCAGTTCATTATTTTGTTACCCATTCGTGCTTGCATCTTTGACAAAAAATCTAAGATTCTCTTGCAAAAGGTGTGCAAGCATAAAATATTACACAGTGCAATCCACTTGTAACAATACCACATACAGTCGAACCTCGATATAACGAACTTCAATGTAACGAAATCCTCGATTTAACGAAGTATTTTATTTTTCATAATTTCTTGCCCATAGACCCCATGTATTTTTAGTCTCTATATAACGAAGTCTATTTTGCTGCTATTTCAATTTAACGAAGCGCCATTGCCATAGAAGGCAATAAATAAATAAACTCTAAAAAACAACATCGCAAAAAAAATTGTGGTTAAAAAAAAAAATTATGCGCAAACGCGAGCGCTTTGATAGGTTACTTCACGGGGACAGGCCTTCCAACGTTCCTAGGCTGCCCGAGGATGCGGCCATGCGGCGCCGGTAGCGCCGGCGAGGCGTGCGGCAAAGCGGATTCCGCGGGGCTGGCCAGAAAATGCCGAGCCAAAAGTTTGCACGGCATAACAGCATCACCACTGACATTCACTGATCATCATAGTCCACTGTACCGCGGGTAGCGCGGGAGCCAACTTCAGCGGGGGAGCGACGTGATGGCGCGACTATGGCGCGACCGCACGGGCAGTGCCATCTAGGGGAAGACCGAGAAGACCGATTATCGTCTTGCGACCGTGATGTAAAGCAAAGGCGCAAGCACACTGTGGGCGCAAGTAAACTGTGCGGGCAAGAGTGCTGTGTAGGTTGGAAACATTGGCACCGCCTAAACTAAACAGCTTTATTTTTCAACCGGGCGGTTCACTCACGTGCTTGCGGGCATAAGGAAACGTAAAGTTCTTTCTTTGGATGAGAAAGCAAACGTTTTGGACGCCATCCTGAAGAAACTGCCGAGATCACGAGCACTCGGGAAGGGCTCGACGCAATGGACGTACTGAGGAGGTACAGAGCCGTAAATGTAGATATACGGCTCTGAGGAGGTACTGTACACGGCGTCGCATGGGCAGCAAGATGCCGTGCAAGCGCTCTGGCCGCTCGAACGCCGTATGACGCCGCTGCTACTGTCGGACAAGGCGCAAGCAAAACTCGCGGACTACTTTGCCCCTAAATAAATGTCATTTTCGGTGAGTTTTCATACCCGTAAAATGTTTCGAAATTTTTTTTTTTTGCATGCTAAAGCCAAATTTTGATTTAGTGAAATTTCAATGTAACGAAGTAAATTGCGAATTTTACCGACTTCGTTACATCGAGGTTTAACTGTATTGGCAAAATAAACGCACATCTTTGCACCACCACCACATGCGGCCTCGGTGCTTGGGGGCACTGAAAAATAATTTATCTGTCTCGAAGTCTGCAGGAAGAGCAATATTATTGTAAAAGGACTGTGGATAAGCATGATTGATTAGTTGATTGCATACACAGCATCAACGACACTTATGTTGCTGAGGAATGCTTTCAGTATGATGACACTCCATGGCAATCTTGGTGCAACTGGTTCAGAAATGACCCTTCCAAAGCATCAAAGATTTAGAAGAACAAAAATGGCGATTGCCATGGCTACAAAGGCTGACTAACCAATTGCTTTGTAAGGGTTCAGTCATCTGTAAGTTTATATCAGTTTGTGTCCAGCTCGCAGGCCAGGAAGGCAATCTCAGGATCTAGAGACTTTAGGCCTTCCTAGAGGCTAATGAAAGAGCCAAGCACCCTTTCTCACAGCCTTGCCTCGTCGGATCTGAGACTTCCACCTAGAGAGAACTTCAACACGATAGATGTTTGCTCACGTCCCAAAGTGTTATCTCACCGTGCTCTGTTTGAGGGCCGAGATGAAGAGCCTGAGGAAGGAGGCCAGGCTGAAGACGTACATGTGGTTCAGCTTGACCAGCTGCCTGGTCAGGAAGTAGAGCTCACTCCCAAAGTGGGCCAGGGGAAGGTAGGCCTTCCTTTCCTATGACAGCATAGAAGGTTCAAAAGAGGAAATAAACTGGCAGTGGTATTGCAAACTATCAATCGAGCCGTCATATGCAGAACTGCACTCTACGAGGGGGAGCCAAATGAAAACCTTAAATATGCTTTTGCATATTTAATGATTAAACAAAAGTGGTGTGGGCATATGCATTATTTTGCAATGTAAGTCTCCATTTTGCTCAGGGCAGGTGTTCCAGTACTTAACAGATGCACAAATTCTTGCAGGAAAAAATCCTTCGGTGGAATGCAAAGTCACTCCTCCAAAATGTGTTGCATCTCTTCATCGGACAGAAAATGCTTTCCTCCCATTGCCACCTTGAGTGGTCCCAAAATGTGGTAATCAATTGGAGCGACAACCATATGACTGACGATGACAAGCGTGGCTATCTCGTCCACCTTTTTCACTCGGCAAGTTTCCATTAGAATGCCTTAAACTGCTGCAATGAACTCTGTCTTCACTACTCAGTGCGTCCAACCCGGTCCAGGAGAATCTGTCGCAGAACTCGCGCCATTTTGGAACTTCCTAGTCCATTCATACATTTGTCAAAGTGACGGACAAGCATCACCATACTGTAACTTTGTTCGACAATAAATTTCAATACCCCATCACTACCTAAAAAACTAAGGACAACACGCTGCTCCCTATGGTGTGTAACTCAAGTGGGGGGCCATATTTGTTGCAGTGCCACTGTGATGCCATCATGGTTGCTTGTACTGCACTGCCACTCGTTAAACATATTTTTAGTATTGGAAAAAAGACTGCCGATGTACAGGACAACATATTTTAGAATATTACTGCAATTTTTAAGGTTTTCATTTGACTTCCCCTCGTACAAAACACAGTGGGTTTGCGTGACTTTTTTATGGGCGCACTCTGAATAATCCTGCGATGCCATGCAACGTAGTCGTGCGACGTCGCAGTGTCAAGCCATAATGTCAGGCGACGTCAAATGGGACAGTGTCACACGATGTGACCACGTGATGCCAAGGCATCATTGTGGCATCACGAGATGCCATGTCACGTGGCAGTATTACATGATGCAATCACAAGATGTCAAGGCATCATTGTGGCATGTGACGTCACATCACGTGGTAGTGTCACACGATGCTGTGACATACATCCCCCAGTGTCGCGCATGACACAACGTCACATTACACCACAACTTGACATCCAACATTACTAGATTCGATGCTGTGACATTATATGACACCATGACTTTACACTGTGTGCCGTGTGAAAGCAAGCAAAAAGGCAGACGCAAAAGCGTTGGCTGTCTCCTGGCCACGCGACAATGATAAGCAGGTGCGCTTGCGATTAATCTATCCAGGAGACGTCTCCCACTAAACCGCCGATGCCCTCCATGGTTTGAGTTGCTGCAATCTTAAACCTAGGCTTCTGAGAGACCAGCACACCTGGTCGAGCGCCTCCTGGAGCCGGTGAGACTCTCCGAGGGCGGCCTCTATGCCCAGGCTGCTGGCCTTGGTGCGGTGCAGGGAGGACAGCAGACCACGGTTGGCCAGCAGGTCTCCCTGGGAGGACACCAGCTGCTCCAGCAGCGAGTCCTCCAGCTGGGACAGGCGCACCCGCAGGTCCTCTTCCTCCCGAAGCAGGTCGCTCCGGCGCCGCTCCAACTCAGGCTTCTCCTCGCCCAGCACCGTCTGCAGCAGCTGCGGGATGCCCACACGCTTCCGAGTGAAAGTCAGTCCCTCTGCAGCTCGATTATGCAGCTTGTCCCAGCTGGGTCTCTCTTCGAATCGAGAGCAAACGCCGTTCTTCGCTAGCTCAGGCGGCAAAGCACTTGGCTCGCAGTCTCAAGGTGGCGGGCTCAAACTCTGACAGGACTGATCTTTTTCTATGGTCCCCTTTGGGTGTAACACTTTTGGTGTCAATTTTCAGTTACAGCCAAACATTGCAATAAGTTTTTTTTTTTTTTTTTCGTTTTTAATTAATTTGTACAATAAAATTTTATCGTCATTGGATGCGGTGCCACGGGCCTTCACGGTAGGGCGACTTGCCTTTCCGCGGCACCACGGCTAATATCACTGCCACTATCACTACAGATCTCCATTAAAATCAGCTAATAAAACACATTCCGCGTTAAAAGAAACCCAAGGCTTTAAGTTATGATACTTCCGGTTGGGTAACCGGAAGTATCCAAGCATCGCACGTTTATCCCAACATTTCTTTGTGTATATAAATTTTATGATACAGAGTAGGATCTTGCCTATGTAGTACTAGTAAGAGTCATTACACTTGCCTATGTAGTACCAGTAAGAGTATTACAAAAAGCAGAGCTGTATATTGAGTCAATCTTGTATTTCCTTCACCAAGTGACATTGCAGATGCCTGAAAAACGAAAATATCAGCATTGGCCGTCTCTAATACTGCACACATTAAGCTCATAAATATTGATGCAAGTCATCTCCAAACTGCAATCGTCTAGAAATTACTATAGCTTTGAGGAAAAGCTACGTACCTTTTAGACCTTTCAAAGCCATAAGCTCACACAGCTTGCGATAGTTCAGAAAGTTCTCGGTCAAAAGAGAAAGTGCGGCCGCAGCCAACCCCTACCTGTTCCGAGAGACCAGCCCTGGTCGTGGTGAAGTTGACGGTCATGACCAGGGAGGTGGCGAACGGCGGGAGAACAACCGACGCATTCTGGGTGACCAGGAACAGCTTGAAGTTCTCGTTGTAGTCCACCGTTTTGTCCCCAATCTGAACCACGCATCTGGAGCCTAGAGGGGGGAGGCCAACAAGGAGTGGTGCATCCCATCCCTGCCTAAAACTCCACTGCTTGAAAAAAAAAATGTTGTGGAAAGCTTTAAAATGGCAGCTGAAGTTAACTTTGATTTAGCTTTGAAAGTTAAGCATGCCACAGTCGGAAAGAATTGGCTTGCTGCCAAAGACCTGAACCAGAAAAAAGGGAAACAGATGAGGCAGAAGTGAAAACTCCGAGACACTTCAAGAAGAGTTCGCCAGCAGCTAAAGGACACATGCGAAGGAAAAAAACATTTTTTCTAAAGAGCCGGGTTGGGAAAAGGAAGTCGCAAACCAATTTACAACAAAAAAGAAAAAGTTTTAGAGCTATATTTATGGCGCGATACGAATTTGTAGTTGGCACCCGCGGGCGTTGCGGAAAAGTGGCTGCCATTTATCACGTGACTGGCCGCTATTTGTCACGTGGTGCTTGCCCTCTTTCGGAAGCTTCCTATGGTCTCGAAAAGTTACTTATTCATCTTCCTTTTGGAGTATAACAAAAAAACGAAGATTAATAAGTAACTTTTAGAGCCCAAAGGAAGCACCTGAAAAAGCGCAAGCAAACGTGATACACCTGTGCGCCGGTCAGATGACGGCGGCAGCGCCGCGGAGCGGACAAACTTAAGCGACGGCGGCGGCATGGAGAAACGCGTTGAACCGGCGTCGCACCACGCTCAGCGTGCGGCGGCGGTGTGACTTTGCGTCGGCGGTGCACAGGTCTACCACGTGACCGGTGGCAGATTCAGCAGGCGCCAACTACAAATTCGTTTTGCGCCGTAAATATAGCTTTAAACATTTTTTTTTTTCGCTGTAGATTTGTTTTATAACATTCTTTTTTCATCTAGGCTGTTTAAAAAAAAAGTTTTTTTTCCTTTGCATGTGTCCTTTAAGGAAACTAAAGAAAACAAAACAAACAAAAACAGTACAAAATGAGGATGTGGCAACACTAGATACGGTGATGTGCGCCTCGTAAGAGACATGTGTTTACGTACGCTGCATTCCGCATAAAACGCAATTCTGCATAAGACGGTTTGATCGACAGATCAAAGCATCCGCAATTTTTCGTTACATCCTTTCGTGACGCTCAGGACTTAAGGCCCGTTCACACTCTTGCGACCGAGTGCGACCGAGTACGACTGAGGGAGAAGAGTTCTCTTAAAACTTGTTAAATGTTTTTAAAATGAGGGAACAAACTGGCATTGTGGCGCCATCTATGCGGTCACCCTGGAACTGCATTTCACAAGAGCGAAGGTTTTGTGGGATTTCCGAGGTCAAATCTGCGTAATACCCTTAGAAAGGCTCGTTTATAACATTGAGAAAAGTTTTTCGAGCCAAGAGAGAAAGGATAATGCGCGAGAAATAAAACAAAATATGCCAGACCGCCGAGTTTACACTGCTTCCCAATAGATGGCGGCAGTGTGTTTTCTGGTTTAAGAAGTTTTAAGAAACCCAGGTTTAAGAGGTCGCAAGAGTGTGAACGGGCCTTTAGATGCCGGCCCTAAAACGCTATCTGCGTTATGAAGCCCACCTTGGTTGATGAGATCCCTCCTGAGCAGTGGGTACAGGATGGGCTCCAGGTAGTCGACATCCCTCACGAGAAGGGACTTGCCAAAGCGAACTGACAGCTCCAGGGTGGTCAGGAAGTTGGAGTCCTTTCGGAGAGACGGAAGGGCTCACTTCACAGCCACCAAGCGGCAAACAATGTCCCCGTTGCCCGTACATCTACACACCTCGAGAACACTCGAAAACTGTGCAAAACTGTGATTCGTGCAACTGATCTCCGCCTTTTCCTAAAGTCAGCTACAGATACCTAGCTTTCCCCTTACCTTTTCGTGTGCATATGTACCATATTTACGCGCGTATTACCCACCCCTACAAATAATGTTCCTGCACTCCTTACTTACTACTTTCCGAAAAAAAAAATAAAACCAAAAAAAACCTGCGTATAATTTGCATTAACCAAGCAAAGCAATGTCTAGATCCCGCTAGAAACCATACCTTTATTCTGAATACATTCATCGCTGCAGTCACTGCATATACCTGAGGTGCCTCCACTGTTGCTGCTAGCATCGTAATCCTTGTCGTCAAGGCGATTGCTGATGCAGTACTTTCTTAAACTGTTCTGCACAATGTCGTCTGGAAAGGTCGTGGTCATGTTGGATTTAAGTCAATACAGCAAAAGATCTGATAATAGTCAGATCCTTTGCTGAAAGGATCAGAAACCACAAAATCATGGCCGTCGATGGCAATGCACATCCAAAAGCAACGACGCTCCGTACATTGCCGTCACATCAAAGGTGGCGCGGCTTGGCTCAGCTCTGCTCAGCTGCTCGACCCACAAAAACTATGCAAAGATGGCTACCCCAAGGAAGGAGGACAACGAGGAAAAGGTGGGGAAAATAAAGTCCCTAGGCGATACCGGAGAAGGGAGACTCTGGGGAATCTATCCCTAGGACTTCAGGTGCATTGCCGTGAAGCCGCACTGCCGTCTGAAATTCATGCATAACCCGCATCCTTACTTTGGCTTTGATTTTATGTAAATCTTTATGCGGATTAAATGTAAGAAAATACAATATTTTCCGGACTGATGTCCTCAGCCGGTGTATAGACCTTTCCAAAAAAAGGGCTCCTGTCCAGTTTCATTTTCAGTGTTTGTGCGCGGCCCGGCACGCAACGAACATGTGCGTGCTGGGCCGAGGAGATTGCACGCTGGGCTAAGGACTCCTAATAATTGGAATGGCGTATTGTCCGCAGGCGAAAATTTCAGTTAGGATCTTGGGTAGAAGCAAAGATACCACAGCCAGAGAACTGATAGAAGTGTTTTATATAAAGGAATGTGACTGTGTTAGCGATACCTCGGTTTCTTTGAAGGAGAGTGAAGTTCAGTTTTTATCTGGGTTGCTGGTCTGATAATGACTATCGGGGAATGTGTCTTCATGGGTGACTTTTCTATCTTTTTTCTGTTTCCTTTTTCCTTCTATGCAGCGTGCTGCGCATGCTCTTTCTGGATGTCCGTGGTTGATCGGGCACGGATAAACGAGTTGAAAGTTGCATTTGCCCGTGTCTACTCCCTTGTGATTGTCCCTTGTGTTGCACAAAAAACTTCGAGACTCTATCATGAACCAACTAGGCCAGCAAAAAGTTTTATTATAGTCACCCTGTTTCAACTCCGCGGCCTAAGAAATCATGAGCAGTGGGTTTAGGTTTAGCGTGGGAACCAAGACGTAGCTCACCCGCTGTGTGGCCACTTCGAGCTGAAGGTCCTTGAGATGGCGCTTGAGCCATTCGGTCGCCTGGCTCGAGGGATCGATCACAAAGGGACACAGGGAAGACTGAAAGCAAGAGGAGAAGCGAAAAGCTTGGCTCCACACTCCGCACAAAGCCGACCGATGCAGAACGCATCGTGCGTTTACGTCAACCCGTTTTTATATGTTTGGGCAGGATGCGTCTGTTTTGCCCGCTAAAGTCACGCTGCTTGGGCGTCGTACGAGAGACGCAATGTCCGCCGCAGACACAGAACTATCTGCGGGCACGCCTCGGACATGTTCGAAGCACGTTTCCTTCGTGCATGTGCACATGCTTGGAATGTGTATGCAGAGTTTTTGTACGACCAACATGACGGGAGCATCCTACAAGAAAGAGGTGTGCCTCAGAAAGTGCCTGCACACTGTCCTTAGTACTATGGGTTAGTGTGACCGTGGCTTCGGGAAAACTGTTAGGGAATGAAATAAGAACACACGATGTGTAATTCGTCGGTCGGTTGGCCAGTATTCACGAAGTATTTCAGGGGTGCACAACTCAAAAATGGCGCGGGCCAAAAAAAATGTTTATTGAGAACTGCGCGGGTTTTCAATATTTGGCAGACAGGCTTTCAATATCCGGAATCATCGCACTGGTTGCCGTCTTGAGCACATCTCGCAGTGTCATGTCCGTGGGCTGCATGTTGTGCACCCCTCTAGGCACCTACCATAACATCCAGAGTCATCACCCACCCCATGTCTTGGGCGAACATCGATTTAAAAAAAAAACAGAGTGATCGCCCTCCCCTACAAATGCCCCAATGCGGACTCCTCAATCCGATCCGTGAACATTCATCCTACCCGAATGCCGTGGCCGCAGACCTTACGGTTGGAGGACGTCCGTGACAAAGTAAAATGAAAGAGGGAAAGACTCTTCTCTTTGTTTATGTATTTCCTCCCCAATTTCTGCAGCCTTGAACTTGTACAGTAATCCCTCGCTATAACGAAATCACATTTTTCAAATTGTAACTTCTCCACTAAGGCAAAGGGCAAACAATAAAACGGAGCAAACAGGTGATGGAGGGCAGAGCATCGCTTCCGATGCTGATGCGCAGAGCCAGCCAGGGGGCACTATACTCACAGCACCAATGACTGACACCGCCTCACTCCTGTTGGAATCGGGTCAAGGGAGTGGTGCAGCCCAGAGGAGATCATCCTTCCGAAAGCCCCCGACGTGAGTACTCGTACGGATGCGCCTGCGGCGTACTACATGCTACACGCACATGTGCGTCGAATGGAACTGGGAGCGTTTACCGAAATTCGCTTCGATCTGCGAGGTTGAGAAAAGTGGCCTGCCCAAGTCTGAAATCGCCAAAGAGCCCGACATTCCGGCATCGGCTGTTCGACACTGTCCACCATCTTATGGAAAAAGCAAGCAGACTGGACGGATTCAAAGTTTCTCATGCAAGAGAAAGCGCGCCAGCGACCCGAAGGGGAAAGATCACCAACTGCTTTGCGCACATCCGATTTTTTTCTCGCGAGCATGCCTGCCGAGACGGCGCACGATTTCCATAACTGCAACTATCTCTACAGTGGTGTCTGAAAACATATTGGTAAAGTCATCGAGGATAACTTTGATTTGTTCGCACTTGTTGATGCGGACGTTCCCATTGTTGCTCCTGCCACAGATGCTGCAATCGTAGACCTTGTGTGTGGCCAGGGAAAACAGGAGCGATGTCGGCAAGGGACCTTGGAAAACCTCCAACGACTGCGGAGACACAAAACATCTTACAGCTGCTTCAAAACGAAGTGGAGTGCAGCAGCCATGACAGTGTTCTTGCGATCCCTGGAGCAGTTTGAGAACTGATGCCCAGCTGAAATTATCGGCAAACTTCACTTAATTATTTTTGTACTCGGTGAAGCTGCCACTTGTTGTTCATAACCAAGGTTTGTTTTATAAATAAATGGTCAGAGTGTTCCTCAGTGTTCCCATGCACCTGGAAGGCTGCTGGCGCTATTTTTCTGGCTCTCTCGTTTTTATCGAAGTACCGGTTATATAGAATTTTTTTGCCATCCCGTTGACTTCGGTATAATGAGGGATCACTGTATTAAATGCGTGCAAAAAGGAAAACGATGGACATAAAAAAAATGAAACTTTGTTTTGCTTACAAAAAGGTTTGTTGAGACAAAAAGAACAAAGTCAGAAAGACAACACAAGCAGTAACCAATTCGGCGATCGCAAGGTCGGCGAATGCCCCATATCCTGGAATGTAACAGCCGAGTGTAAGGTCAAAGTCCATCTCCTCCCAAGTAAGGTCACCCTGAACCCTCTCCTTCTCCTGGAATGTCACGAACGCAGTTGGTAAGGTTGTGCAGTGTTTAAGACAAAGCCAATGGGTAAATAAAGACTTGCTAGAACGCTGCACACAGACATTTGTGGAGTGTCCCATTTCGAGCTCTGTGTTCGTGGTGCCATCCACACCACGCAGCAACGCTGCCTTAACCCGCGTTGATAGAACGCCGTGCACAGATGCACGCATGTATGGACCAAGAAGAAACTTGCGCAAGAGCCTGCTCCTTGCCACTGACAAGGCACCAGACTTGGCTCGAAGTCAAAGTATTTACCAACATGATCGCCGGCTTTCCCGCTTCCCCCAGCATCGGTCTTCTTCACTTCTGACGTCCACTCGCTCGCTTACTGTACCTGGTTGGGTTTTCTAAGTTCTTGTCAACTATCTGTTTTTCTTTTTGTTTTTACTAACAAAAATAACACAGTAGTGTTAAAAACGTGTTTTCACAAAACAAACATCCGTAGTGTATGCCGATCGGCGGCATTGATTGCACCTATGCAAGCAACAGACTTTGCGATAGTAAAATGTTTATGAGCATTTCTTGCATAAAACAATAAAACTAATCCGGGTTTTGAGTTAAATGTATGTCTTGTGCAGCTACGCTCGATACTGACAAATTGGCATTTTTCTATACTTTTTGTGCTTACCCACTGAGACATGGCCCAACCCACTTTTTTTATGAATTTCAGGCGGCAGGGGGGTGGTGGGCGATGACTCGGTATATTACGGTAAGTTAGATTTTAACGCAGAATGTATTTTATGAGCCATTTTTTACAAGAAAATTGTCATAAACAAACTGCACGGATGAGTATTCTGAAGGAGCGTCGCAAACAAGTGCCACGCTTGAAGCATTTCACAATGTTAAAGGGGCAGTGCAACGATTTTCAGACTTTGGCCAAATAACTGCGGAAATCAATCTGCGTCACCTATAGAACGAAAAACTGAAAGCCGCATTTTCTCGCGAGCGCTAGTTCTTATTTTAAGAAAATGAAACAAATCGAAGGTCGAAGTGCCTCTCAACTCTCCACGCCGACTTTCGAGTGACGTCTCTGGGGGTTCACGTGGTTTCCCCTTGGGCCCTCTCTTCAGAGACCCCAGCCGCTTCCTCCGCGATTGTCGACTTTCAAAGGATTAGCCTCGTCGAAGGTCGCGGCGAGCGATGTATACAAAGGACGGTTCGCCACGGGGCTGACGGCGAGTGTAGCAGTGGAGGGGGACAGGGTTTGCTGACTTCCGCGTATCCCCCAGAGACGCTGTCATTTTAGTTCCCGTAGCCGCCACCGGCGGCTGCAGATCGGCAAAAAATTGTTTTTTGCCTGGCGATTACGCAGCAGAATAGCCGTTTTTTGGGGAAAGGTGACGCGTTTTTGGTCACTTGGGCTTGTATGAACAATATAAAAAATGCAAACTGGCAATTCTTTCAACATTAAAACCGTTGCACTGCTCCTTTAAGGTCATAAAGTTTGAGCCCCCGCAGGGGTTCAAACCTGGGTCAGTGTGGTGGCAGTCAAATACTACAGCCCCTGAGCTACTAGCTCAGCTGCTCTTGAAGGGTAAATGATTGAATTTGAAAGTTCTGTCAGAACTGCAGCTTGGGCGATTTGGTTGAACATGGTGCCGACTTTACACAATCAGCACACATTCTAGTATTCAGGAAAAAACACAACATACACGCATCAGCGCAATGTGTATGTTCTGTTTTGTCCTGAATACTAGAATGTGAGCTAATTGTGGGTTGTAAAGTCGCTAAGGTACAGGGTGTCCTTGAAAACAATTTGTGAGGTTTTTTCACCGTAAAAATAAAGTAAGGATCGCTGAACGCTCATTTGCTGTCCAAAGGTAGCGCTAGAGGTTCGAACCAGATGCCAAAGTTTCAGCCCAAACAGACATCTACTTCAATTGCATGATTTTCGGAAAATTTCAATGGCAAAATGGCGACCATTTTCGCCTGTTTTCGGTTTCTGGCGCCTAGAGCTCCGTGTATTCGGGAGCTCCAAGAGCTGCCATTTTCCCATTGAAATTTTCAAAAAATCACTTATAAATTCTGAATAAGATATCAGTTCCGGCTGAAAGCTTGGCACCTGATTTGCACCTCTAGCTCTACCTTTAGGCGGAGAATGAGCATTTGGCAATGCATAGTTCATTTTCGCAGTGAAAAAAAAAGCCCGTAAATTTTTTTGGGGGAGACCATGTATTTGAAAGCAAACCGGCCAGCGAAAACAAAAGGTTTTAAATAAAAAAAAAAAATAAAGATGTAATTAAAAAACTTTCAGCCTTTCCACTCTGGTGAGGAATGAAGAGCAGCGGAGCTGTAGCTTCTGTTCTCGGCGGTGAATTTCCAGGCGAGCGATCTCCTCTTCTTTCGCAAGGGAACCTGAAGCGCTCGACGCACGCGGTGGTTTTGCAGACCCATTCCCACTGCTGCATACGTCACCGCTCCTTTCGCACCCCGTCTTCTTTCCCCGAAGAAAGGGCACACGGCCGACCCATTGCGAGTCCAAACCGAAGCTGATAAAAGCGTAGGAAACAGCGCGCAAAAAAAAACGAGGACAAAGAAGAAACACACGCGCTGTGGTCATGACGAGTGTTTCTTCTTCATCCTCGTCTGTTTTTCGCACTGTTTCCTACAATGAATTCCAACCAACTCGCCCAACTATCCATTTGCCTATAATAGCGAGAGGTTGCCGCCATCTATGAGCAACAACAGCAATCAGACTAGTTGCCTGGTTGCCGCTGTAGCTTATAGATGGCGGTAGCTGTCCAGAGGTTTGTGTAAGTTTGTGTAGACATTTCTTTGGCACCACACACGATCTTGGGGAACCCATCCCTTAACGGCTCCGCTGTAAAAAAAATAATTAAAAAATAAAAATTGAAGCACAAACCAAACACAGTGTGTGGTTTCTATGGGACACATTATGTGCTCAATGGACCATGTAGGCACGATCAAGCATTCTTTTTTGTCTCACGCCGAACAATGCACTGGGGACGTGTCAAACGACGCAACGTGAACCCTCGCCTGCAAGAGCAACACTGCGTTCTCCAGAGACAGTGGGTCGGCTGGCAGTCCCTCCGCCTTCCACGTGAGCTGCTCCTTCTCCGAGCCAAGGAACGAGCACAGCCGGAAGTCGGCCAGGCTCAGCATCTGGCACCAGCGCCCAACGAAGGAGCCGCGCACTTCTTCGGGCTGAGCGGGGAGGTAGGTCAGGAATGCGGACGCCAGCAGGCAGCGACGAGGGAGTTGCGACAGCTCTTCCTCCATTCCTGCGAGCTGGAGTGTGGGACGACCGTTGTTAGCTAACGAGCAAGCATCCGCTCAACATTCCTAGATCATCTCTAAAGGCTGAGGGATGGGCGCTTATTGGGTTTGAGCACTAACGTGTGCTGGGGCAGGCTCCACCACCTTGCACCGATGCGCTCGCAGAACCGGCAGCCGCGGAAAAGCATATAAACTAGCCGCAGTAACCGACGAGGTAAGAACGGCAGGGCGCGTCTTTCTAGCGCCCGGCCCTCCGGCAAGCGCTCCTTGCCTTTCACCAAGCCTCAACTGCGCACGTCCGTTCGAGGTGCACGACATGCCGAAGCGTTTGCGAACGTAGGCAGCTCGCGCCGAAGGCGGGACACTCGAAACTCTTCCCCGTCATTCTCATTGTCCACGACTATGCGTGCATGCCCTCGGAAGTCTGGGGCTTTGCTCGATCTTCTTATGCTTAGCGAGTGGCGGGTGGGTGCCCGTTGCAACGTGGGTGAGTGCTCGGCCTTTTAAGGTAACGCGCAAAATGTTAACAGATATATTTGCCTTGACACTCGACGAAAAGCCGACCGATGCAGAATGCACCTGGAGCTTGCATCGACCTGTCTCGTTTTGCTTCAATCTGTAGCAATTGTTTTGCGTTTTAAGCTGCAGTATCGTACATCCTATATAAAAGATACGGTGTTAGACATGATGACGGAAGCATGTTTTCTTCATGCATGCTTAGAACATGTCCTCGGGCAGTGTTCGTAGGACCAATGTTACGGGACCCTCGTACTGGGAAGGCCTCGGACAGCGTCTGTAGACTAACTTTTGTATTAGCACCGTAACTACAGCTTTAGGCTTTTCGGGTAATTCGTTAGTTAGAGATTAACATGTTTACCCACAACACATCTTGGTCGCCTTTATGCTAAGCATCGAGGTAAGTTTTTCTTTTTTCCTTTCTTACACTTGCAGTAAGCTAAGAGACATTCATAGCCTGTCTTCTTCCTCGGTGCTTCGTCTTGCAGCCGCACGGGCGCACATGTGGCTTCACGAAAGGCCATCACGAAAAATGTGAAAACACGTTGCGAAATCACTTTGCTCACGGTAGGAGTCAAAGCGCACAACTCTCGCTCACTAGCCCAATGCAATGTTCTTAGACCTCTCGACGTCGTTCAAAAACCATGCTTCCGTTGCCCAGACACGAGCCCGTAGGAGCCGACGGCGTTCCTGGCGCCACTGGCGTCGTCGCCTTCGCGGGCAACAAAGAAAAACCTTTTCTGAACATTTTTTTTTTTTTTTTTTTTCTTGCAAACTTTGCGTTTGCCATGTAGATTAAAAAAAAAAACGACCGCACCTCCACGTGGTGAATGATGTTGATTTGGGGCGAAGCTCTGGTGGTGCTTGTCTGCTTAGACGCTGAGCCGCAGCATGCCGAGCCTTTCGTTCGTTTTCATCCACGTCAGAAAGAGAATGTGTGGTATGGAACGTGGCTATATAGGCATTTGAGCAACCGCAGCGCCCTCTCGTCTATAAACGTTGAGCCAATGCATGCAAAGTTTAACGCAATTATATACGCATTTGACCGCAGTGCCCTCTCCTGTATAGACGTTGAGCGGCTACATGCAACGTTTCATCCATGACAGAAACCCCAGCTCTTGAGTTACTACCCCATCTCAGAGCCCCCTACTAGTCCCGCAGTTGTGGCCGAGTGGTTAAGGCGATGGACTAGAAATCCATTGGAGTCTCCCCGCACACCTTCATATCCTGTCCACTGTGCAAACTTTTTTTCCTTTTAAAATTTTTTTTTGCCTTACACGAGCACGAGCACCAGCAAGATCGATGTGAGCATGGACGCTGGACGGACAAGGCTAGACCCTAAGGAGCTTCGCCCCTAAAAACCTGTTGGTCGCATGACGTCATGTGTTAACGGACCATGACGTCACCTTGTGACCCATTGTGGCAACAACCGTAGCAACAACTGTCGGACCGACCGACTCATGCTGGCACAAGTCACTCGATCGCGCTACCCTTCATCAACGATGATGGAGAGCACACCACCTGACGTAGGCGATCACGAGCTGCAATGGCTGATCAGCTGTGATAGCTCGTCATAGGTCAGTTGGCAGTATAGGGTCGTGTCAGCAGTAAAAGCTATAAGCGAAGACAGCCAATGTGCACGAGCACAATGGGTAAATAATTTAACTCAAAACTGTAGTCCAAATATTTTTAGGGGTTCAACGGGGGTTGGGAATGAAAATGTGCTTCTTGTGAAAGAATACACTGGCAGTCTCGTTTCTAAGGATCAAGTCAATGGATCTGGTTAAATGTGCCGGCAGTATTATGTAATAAAGTAGTTTGGATATGTCCACTTCGAGCAGATATGGCTCATATGCACTCCTGGAAAGTGGCATCTCGAATGTATTCAAAAAAAGTCTATTTTTGTTTTCCGTTTGAAGTGTTTTCCGTTTGTTTTGTTTCAGAGAGCACCGTGAGTAAGCCCACTTTCTGGAGTTGAGTTCTTTAAGGTGGTTGAATGCATGCTCACACTTCACAAACAAACCGCGGTTTGTTTGACTGAGGTTGACTGCCCGACTCTAATGTGGAGGTAGCCAAAGTGGGTACAAAGAACTTGAATAGGGTTCTCCTGGAGGCCTTACTAAGGGACGTCCACTTTGTCAGGGCCAAGTCCCCTAGCAAAATCTCAGCTGCTACTTTGAGGCTTTCATACTCTATTTCACCTTATGATGAGCCGCAGACGATACTACGAGGCATCGAAGCCAATCCAATGCCGTGCGTCATGTGACCTTCTGGAGGGGAGCAGCGACACACATAGTCACGTGGTGCGTTTGCAGTACTGGATTGGTTGGGATGCCTTGTAGCGTCTGCTGCAGTCCATCGTAAGGTGAAACGGAGCACCTTCTCCCATGCACTTCTTTAATCTGCATCAACGGAGCATCTTTCTTCATTATTGATACTTCTTTTTGATGTTTAGAAATTCACAGCCCAGCGTACAATCTCTATAACCCAGCATGTGCATGTTTGTGGTTTTGGAAAGTGAGCAAAGCATGTGCCATATGCGGGAGCTCTAAAGGTGGTACCTGCCAGAAGCTCTTCCTTGAATGGTCTATAGGCAGTTCAACAAAACACCTTTCTCCCTTCCGGTAAGTCGCATTCTGCTTTGTCAATGAACAGCGCCCGTCACAAACGCTTCATTATTTGCGCTGTTTTTGGTGTCTTAGAAATGCTGAAGCGCAGCGAGGGGCTCTGTCGACGACAATTCGGTAAGTATGATCCGAGACACTTATTACGATTTCTTTCCCTTCAAAGTTGTCCCGATGACATCAACTGGGGCCCTTATGGCTGCTGGCGGGTTGACTCCTCGATCGCTGGCTCGCCTTAAGTCCAAATGAAAACTGGCGATGGCGATGCTCCTATGCGTCGCCCACTACTCCAATAATGCAGTCGATCGTGATGCGAAAAACCTCTACCAAGCTGGAAACCTCCGTGCATAAAAACATGCCCAGCGAACGTTCGTCAACATGGTGTCTGGCAAGACTTTGAGCTGGAAGAATAACAGCAACGACGCTCCACAAGGGGCAGAGGTCAGACGTGCCTGCTTGGTCCAGCGCTGGTACTCCCCTTCGAGCTGAAGCACCATCTCCTCGGCGGTGCCGATGGTCTCGTCCGCGGAGCGCAGGTTGATCTCGATCTGCGCCGCCTCCTTGGTGAACTGGTTCAGGCGGTCCCTGAGCCGAGACACCTCTTGGTCCACATCTTCCAGAGCGCTGCCCAGCTTGTCCATCCGACGCTCGGCGGTCGACAGGTTCCTGTCACCGTCGGGCAGGACACATTGCGTCCACTCGTCCTTTGGCCGAGTGGAGTCGGTGATCAGCCAAAAGCCATAATCAGTGCCAAGTCAGTGCTGTGCTAGAACTGCATTGGGGGATGCCGATAAAAATGCTATTACATTTCAAATTTGAAATCGCTATGAGAAGGAGACTGTTTTTCTGGCTCATTTAACGGTTGGCCTCAAGGTTGATGCTACCCCGTAGAAACATGTTTCTTGCTGTCCACAAGACACACGGAAAGTTGTAGCCAATAGGAACCTGTCTCTTAGTGCAATGTAGGTTGTCCTTGTGAATCTTTAGAGAGGCTCCTTTTTGAATATGTTTCCAGCTGTGTGGATCGCTACCTCTTGTAAGGTTCCAATCAAGCGTCAGAAATTTATTCGTGCAGAGCAGCGTATAAAGGCCCGTTCACACTCTTGCGACCGAGTACGACTGAGAGAGACGAGATCTCTTACAACTTCTTAAATGTTTCTAGAATGAGGGAACACACTGACATTGTGGCGCCATCTATGCGGTGACCCTAGAACTGCATTTCACAAAAGCGAAGGTTTTGCGGGATTTCCGAGGTTAAATGTGCGTAATACCCATAGAAAGGCTCGTTTATAACATTGACAAAAGCTTTTCGAGCCAAAAAAGAAAGGATATTGCGCGAGAAATAAAAAAAAAATATGCCAGACCGCCGAGTTTACACTGCTTCCCAATAGATGGCGCCATGTTCTCTGGTTTAAGAAGTTTTAAGGAACCCAGGTTTAAGAGGTCGCAAGCAGTCGCAAGAGTGTGAACGGGCCTTAAGTCTGAACTTGCCGGTAGGATAAGTCGATAGCAATAAATACAAAAAGGATGCAAACTTTCGTGGTATTTTATAGCCATGCCAAGCAAAGCATGCCAACGTGATTGCTCACTTTTTCAGCTTTGCCTGTTCCGCCTCCAGGGGTCCGATCTTCTGGAGAACTTCCGCATACTTGACATTGGCCTGAACCCAGGACGCCAGCGGAGCAGCAGCCGCAGACGCCCTTTTAGCATTCTGGACAACGTTTGCAGGAAGAACAAATATTGTAGACCCCATCCACTTCACGTGAAGATGGAGGACCACCGAAGCTGTTACCTTTGTGATAACTTTACGACATCTATACGATTTACATATCATTGCAATGAAGACACGTACACGACTTTGCTGTTTCTGATTGAGCCCAAGTCTCTATCAGCATCGCGGAAGGGAAAGAAAAGAAGGTTAGGTAGGCGCGTTCTCTTAGCTGAGGTAAGTCAGTGACCGTAGATGATAACGAGGGATCAGGACCTTGCCGTCTAATAATGCCAAGGAAGGCTGACTCACGCGGGTTGCCCCCTCTCTTTATTTATACTTGCCACGACCAGAGGGAACGAAGGAGCGCCGTTTAAACGGGAGTGTTTCGTTAACATCCATGGAGGCACTTTTTTTCCAGATCCTAGCACGTAACAGCTTCGCTGTAAAAGGACGTTTTGTCAGCCGAGAACGGTTATAAGTTCTTGAAGATGAGCAATTGTCGTAGAATGATTGCCCCAACATTCAATGAGACACGTCAAACAGAATGTTTGAATACACATGTACCCCTTTACTGGTGAAAGCACCGATATAATGTGCACGAAAGCAAATCCAGAAGTGAAGACCAAGACCGCTCCACCCCTTTGCTGCAATACACGGCTGTTCACAGGAAGCCCTTCTTCAGAAGTGTGACTGCAAATGTGTCAAAATTTGTCATTTTATTTCCCCAGAAGACAACAAAAAGGAAATGTGCAAAAGAGGGACGTGGCAATGCTAGACACAACGTCGCGTGCCTGGTACGCAGAGACTGGAGTCAGCATCCGCTGCGTTCCTCATGAAATGCAGTTCTGTCTTTAACGGATTGATTGACAGACCAAAATACAACTGCAAATCTTTTTTGAGTTAAAGTGGAATGCGCATATCTTTTCTGAACACAAATTAAATGGCAGTTACTCTTCTGTTCTACTTTAAAAATATGCATCTCTAGAGATGTGAAAAGTTTTGTCTCATCTTGACGCCTTAGCTAGGTAAAATGGGTCAACTCTGAGGTCACTGGAGATGAGAAGATGTCTGCAAGGATAGCATTTTCCCAAATTGGCGAGTAATATTCCAAAGCGCTACTTGATTATACTATTGAGCTGGCCCACTAAGGGTTCTCCCGATGTTCTTGCCAGAGTCAAAGCTGCTACCGACCTTGACGTCAAAGGAAGACTGATTCTTCACAAGGAGTTCCTGGACACTCTGCCTGATCTCGGGCGTCACGGAGCGGACGTCAAAACCCAATATCTCTTCCTTGACGCCTCTCTTTGCCAGGAAACTGCGCAGACAGAAAGAATCCGTTAGGGCAAAAAAACAACATGATGAGCTCATAAAACGTTACGCAAGCTCGATCGTGCTGACAGACCAGAGAGCATGGAACGTGTCCCGCACCAACCATGCTCCGTGTGAGGTTTGCGGTACGCCTGTTTAGCTCAGATGAGCTCTCTTAACAAGCCACACATTGTGTGCGTGATTGAATGCGCTCAGCGGACGTCCTATTGGCTGCAATGGCACAAAATGAAACCAACCAGTGGCGTCGGAACAGGGGGGGCAGGGGGGGCGACCGCCCCCCCAGAGATTTTTTAGTAATGGCGGCTCGCGAGCTCAATATTTCGCAAATTTCTCAGAGTGCGATTTTTAAGATATTTCGCGGGCATGAATTTCTCACATTACGAGTGGCATGGTGATATTCATCATCATGGGATTAGTTATTCGAGGGCTCAATTATTTGCGGTTATTTTAAAACCAGAAATAAGCCGGAGCTTCTCCATTTCTGAAGCCAAATAAAGCAGTAGATACGCGCCTTTGCAAGACCACGCGATGCGGTCCTCCAAGAAGGTTCGAACACAGCAGCGAGCCCTGTCAACCAGCATTTCTAGACGCGGAGACAGGCCCTCAGAAGCAGTTCTGCGAAGCGTTAGATTGTGTTCGCGCCGAGCTTGCAAGACGATTCAAACAACCAGGCATGCAAAGTCTCGCACAACTAGAGCAAATAAATTTGTGCGCTATTCAAGAGAAGCCACAAACTGCAGAAGAACTTGAAAGGAAGTTAGGATCCCGCGCTACTGATTTTCACCTGGAAAGCCTTTCAGGGCAGCTGAACATGGTTCACTCGCTCTCAAGCGGTCAGATCGGCTCTGTACCCGAGTTGTGCCGTGCTCTGGGCAGACAAGTCCCAGAGGTCAAGAGGATGATGACTGAGGTGATGCGCCTTGCGGCACTTATAATGACAGTGCCGGCGTCAGCGGCATCAGCTGAACGAAGTTTCAGCGCACTTCGGCGTATCAAGAATTACCTCAGAGCTACCATGTCACAAAAGCGACTGACTCAGGTGATGCCGCTGCACGTAAATAGTGAGCGAGCAGCAAAACTTGATCTGAGCTCTATCATCAGAGAGTTCGTGTCGAGGACGGCTGAACGACAAACCGTTTTCGGGCACCAGTGAGCTCTTTCTTATTTCACGCTGTTTGAAGACGTCAACATGGGAGAAAAACAAGATCGCCACATTCCAAAAGAGGAAGGACATATATTCGTTCTAAATAAACGTTTGTGAGCGTTTCGATTTTATATATCCATATTGTTCTAGATGCTTCACCCCCCCCCCCCCACCTCACCCCCATTCCGTTGCCCCCCCACCTCAGAAATACTTCCGACGCCACTGAAACCAAGTGCCCTCTTTTTTATTTTGCTAATAATAAAATTTTTCGTTTCGCCTTTTATACAATCTTTTTAAGCCTAGACAACAAACATTTGCGGAAGATTTTTTTTTTTTTTCACTTCCTTTTTAAAAGATTTTAAGATCTGGTTTATACAATTATATTTCATAGTCCAATGGAATTTGAATCGGCAAGGTTTCATGAAAACACAATGAAGGGGACATCCGAGATTTTTAGTTTTGCATATGGTGATAGTAACCACAAAATTCCTCGTAGCATGTGAAAAAAAAAAAATAATTAACGAGCAAAACAAAAAAATAACAAACTTCTTTATATATTTTTTTTATTTTTTTCAATCGCAGGAAAAGATTTGGGTTAGCTAAAAACCCAAATCCTTTATGCACGAGCGAGGATCTCCCAGCCACAGTTTCTAAAAAGATTTGATGACACTTTGGCAGAAACAAGAGCAATGCAGGAGCCAAAGGTGCGGTGAATCTGACCTCTTCATGCTGACCCAGGAGGTGTCGAAGATGCCCATGAGCCGCAGCACGCCCTCCAGGATGTCTCGGATGACGTCCGGAGGGGCCCGCAGGGAGCGGATCTCCGACAGCGCGTCCGACTTGATGCTCCCCACTGCCGCCTTGGCTGCAATCCGGCGTCGAGCAACAAAAAAAACGCAAGATGTTGAGGCACAGAACTCGCACCTTTCTGAAGGGTTCTTACTTCTGAAATCTGGCGGGGAGCATGCTCATCGTGTGCTCTAAAGCACCGGTTCTCAAACTGGCTTCCTATAAACCCGGAGTTCTCCAGAATGCACTCGTTAGTTCCCCAGAAAATTCTCAACCGTCCCTCCCTTCCTTCCACGCCGAGAAAGCTACACACGTGAGTGCGTGGCTTTGTGCAGAGTCTTCTTCGCACAGGAGAGAGCATATGTGAATAAGAGGCGACAGGAAGTCACGTGCTCCCACAGCTGTATGGGGCTGCAGCAGTGTGGAAGCTACGCTAGAATTGACTAGATGCCAAGTACAGGTACGCCTGGCGTACCTGTACTCTGTTGCAGGAGACTGCAACAGAAATATTTTTTTTTGCCAAAACAGCCGCACGGATTGGTATTAAAATGTTATGGCGTTTTGTGTCACCTTGTACGGTATAAATGCTTCTTTATTAAACTGCTTAGAAACCGACGTGGAAATCCTAGGAATATTTTTCGGCAGTGTCCGTAACATCTTCTGTCAATTTTAAAACCAACGCGCATAATTTTCTGATGCAACTGCCTACTTTGGGTGGATTAGCCTCATCCAATGAACGAGCATTGCTGCAATTTCAATGTTACTCTCTTACTATAAAGATATAAAGTTATAAACACACTACGGTATTTGCACAAACATAAAGCGAGTTGTTTTCCGAAATTACATGCTCCAAAATGCACCTCGCGTTATATTTGGAATCGAGTTCAGCCACGAGGTGCACGACTCAGGAGAAAGCCATCCCTCCGGCTGAATAAAGGAGATTGGGTGGGAAAAGAAGTGTGGGTGTAAAAGGGAATTTATTAGCTATTGGGCCACGTAAAGGGGGAATATAGAAAACATGAGAAGCGTTTTCATTGCTGTTTGTACAACACACGCCGAAAAGCATGCCACAGAAATGCAGCGCAACACACGGGAATGCGGGCGCTGCAATCCCGCGTGTTGCGCTTGAGCCAAGTCAATACGAGCCAAGCCAAGGCCACCGACGGTGTTTACGCCACTGATCTCTATTGCAGTAGGCTGGATCGCAAATCGGCAGCCTGTCAGCAGAGCGATTGGCGGCCAATACCTGACACCAGGTACTACACGCGAGTCTATGGGAGAAACGCACAAAAGTAGGAATATTGAAGCTCGTACGCTGTGCTCGAAGGCGGGTATTTTATGATGTGCTGCAATAATTATATCGGGTGTTTGATTTCATTTTTTAGTTTCTGCTCCAGGGTGGTCTGGTGTTTTGTGCGTTGGTGCCTCTGCTTCTTATAATGTATATAAACATTATAAGACCTTTGGTAACCATATTTGAAATTCAGAAGCTAGTATATTGTATCCCATTTGTTGGGTGCATTACACCTTGTATGCACAAATGAAGCAGGTGCATAAATGAAGTAGGTGCAGGCCTGCACTCCGTTGGTGCAGACGAAACCAAAAAGTGTGGAGGGAGCACTCGGAAACGCATTTCCTACGGCAGATTGCCTGGCCTACCTTCTTGGATGAGGGGCTCGATCTGGGCCAGTTCCAGGTCAATCTCCTTCTTGCGCTTGGAGAGCTTCTTGTTCTCCTGCTCCATCTTTTCCTTGAGCGCCTCCATCTCCATCTTCTGGTCGCTCGTGCTCTGTACAAAGAAAGAAGCCCCATTCAGTCACCCGCAGAATTGTCACTAGCACAATGGTGACTGTAGCATAAGGGTCACCAAAGCACAATGGTGACTCTAGCACAATGTTGACTGTAGCTCAAGGGTCCGACACAAGCCCAACGCTTGTGACGTTCGCATCTTCCCTACTGTTTTGGTTTGTATGTTTTGCGCACCGTTTATTTCCAATTGCTCAATGGTCACTGTAGCCGAAAGGTCGCTGTAGAGTGATGAAGCAATCACTGCAGTTCAGCCTCACTGCTTAGTTTCAGTTTGAAGCCATGTACAAGGGTCACATTTCTCGCCCCATAGTGCCCACTACAAATTTTCACTCAGTTTCACGGCAGGACTAGGAACGTATTGAGGTCAAGCGTCGATTCTCCAAATACATTATGCTCCCAAAAATGGAAATTAAAAAAATATATATTTCAGGCGTTTTGGTTAATTAGTTAACAATTAGCCTATTTCACCTCTTTTTTTAGTGGCCTCCACAGCCATCAACTTGGCCCCAGGACTAAAATAATCCAAGCGAAACTCTTCCCTTTTTTTAAATTTTTGACCGACTAAAGAATGCCCTGTAAACAGCCAAGAGCTACAAAGTCACCCCCCCCCCCCCCCCCCCCCCCACAAGCTTTCAAGAGGCAAAAATATATTAAACTTTAGGTAAGCCTTCTAATTTATGCTCCCACTTTGTAATGGGATAACTAGTATGTATGCTTAGTAAGTAGCATGTTCATTTTGACGAGGCTTCCGAGATAAAAGCTAGTTAAACAACTTAGTAATTCAGTTATAATGAGGCTGATGGGAACCTGAAATCGATTTACTAGGTATACTATGTTTCACTAAAATCCGAGTGTAGCTAAGACTACTAGCTGATAGGACCAATCAAGCAGTACTGGAAACAAAACATGGTACAGTCACCAGCCGATTTTTCAAACGCCGAAATTTCAAATAAGCTTGATTATTCGAACACGTTTCTGGAACTGTCAATCGCCTCATGGAGTTAATACATAACAGGGACTGAAAATTCGGACAACGTATGACTTGTTGCTCAATTTTTCTGACTTCTAAGCGGCTACCATGCCGCCACCACAAACCAAACCGCCGTCATTTCTGTTCATTTCAGTTTGGCCTGCAGCCTTGACACCGCATTCTACATACGTCCTATTCCAGGAGGCGCTGCCCATGAGATACAGAAGCTGGACTGAGGCTATAATCGGTCATCGCCTCTTTTTCTCAAAATCGAGCTTCATTTGATTGACGCTTTTGTGTTGTCCGTGGAGGAATCGTGGTCGTCTAAACATCTGGGCACTGCCTGCTGCCATTCGGAAAACTGTACAATCTTCATCACCGGGTCACTACACTTTCCAGGTAATGTGTAAGCTAAAGTGCAGGATGTCCTTAAAAAAAAAAATGAAAGACATTTACAACTCCTTGTAATACTGAATTAGAGCGCAGCTCTTGAGGAGAGGGTATGGAGAGGGGGGTATGCCCCTCCTCCTCTCCTCTCCCATCCTCCTCCTCCTCGTTCTCCTCCCTCCCTCCCTCGTGATGTCATTCACGATCCTAGTGACGTCACTCAAAACCCTCGTGACTGTCGTGACGTCACTTGTGACCCTCATGACGGCCTCGTGATCCTCATGACGCCACACATTGCATTATGGGACGTTTCCCATAATAACATCACTCGTGGCCGTCGTGACGTCGCTCGTAACTCTCGTGATGTCACACGTGACGTCCTTATGAGAAACGTCCCATAATGCAACATGCAAGTCACGAGTGACGTCACTGAGGACCCTCATGACCCGCACGTTGCACTATGAAATGTTTCCCATAATGACATCACTCGTGGCCATCGTGACGTCGCTCGTAACTTTAGTGACGTCACATGTGACGTCATTATGGGAAACGTCCCATAATGCTATGTGCAGGTCACGAGTGAGACCCACGCGCTTACGCCAATGGCGACACCGACGGCGACGTCACTCAAGCCGGAAACAGGCACCTAAGAGCTGCGCTCTAAAATTATAGAGCCTTTCCACTTCACGTGAAGATGGAGGACCAACAAAGCTGTTATTTTTACGTCTAGGACGACCTCAAGGACGATTTCTAGGACAACCTCGAGGATGATGCCTAGAGGACGTCTAGGACAACCTCAGGGATGATTTCTAGGACGACTTTGAGGATGACTAGGGCAACCTCAAGGACAACTTCTAGGACGACCTTAAGGACGATGCCTAGAGGACGTCTAGGACGACCTCAAGGACGATTTGCAGGATGACCTCGAGGACGATGCTTAGAGAAGGTAACAAGGAATCAGCACCTCACTATCAAATAATGCCAAGGAAGGCTAACTCACGCTGGTTGCCCCCTTTTGTGTTTTTATTTATTCATACTTGCCACTACCAATGGGGAGTTCTCTGTCAACATCCACGGAAAACAGCTGCACTGTCAAAATTTACACAGCTTTTTTCACTAGCAAAAATAACTATGCATCGCCGAACGCTCGGACGCCCAAATGTAGCACTAGCAGTACGGACCATGTGCCAAAGCTTCACAGCTTGCCATTATAAGATTAACAAGTTATATGAGCGATTTTCAGAAATTTCGGTCGACAAAGTCTATGAATACACTGGGATGAATGGCATTGGCTGCCAGGAAGGAACCCTATTTTGGCATTGAAAGTTTCGGAAAGTCACCCATAACTTTTGAATAACATAATGACAAGCTCCGACATCTTGGCAACTGGTCTGGACCACTACTGCTCCATTTGGGTGGAGACCGAGCGTTTGGCGATGGACGATTTATTTCTGCGATAAAAGCAACATTCTATTTCTTTTTTTTCTTTTTTTTCGGGGAAAACATTGCATGTATGGTTGACAGTCCTCGATCGTGTGATCTTACCGTCATGCTTGTTGTTATCTGCTGTAGTGCATTGTCAGCCTCAGCTTGCTTCTCAGCAAGCAGCTTGCGCTGTTCAGCAGCGTTAGACTTGAGCTTGTCAACCATCTCCTTGGCCTCGTTCAATTTCGATGTTCCCACCTGTAAAGCAGAACAACATTACTCTCCACCATCCAGTAGACGAGGCTCCCTTTAAAGGGATACTTCAACGAAATTTGAAATATTCCCGTCGTGTTCAAGAATAGGTTGAATATGATCCACAATATCCGTAAATGACAATCGCACGTTTGTATTTTGATCCTGGTGGCTGTATTTTTCGTTATAAACGGCCCACTCTGGCAAGCGCTCGGAGAAGGCCCAGCTTAGAGCACGTGACATCCAACGCAATCGTGACGTAGGTCGTCTCAAGACGAGCAAAGCTACGGCGAGGCTGCAGTCGTCGAGAGGATGGCCTAGTCGTTCCAGCCACCGAAGCGGCTGCTTTTGTAAGAATTTTGAGTGACGGGTTAATCTTCTGTAATCTTGTAGGGGCACAATAGCGACTTCTGGGTCACACAAAAGACATTCTCGGGAAGAGGAGAGTTCCTCCTTCCCCCTTCTCTCGTCGTGGCCGGAGACGAGACAACCTCCGTCACTAGCTGTCAAGGTTCCTAGACGAGCATTACAAACGACGCGTTAGCGACATCCACCAGGAGCTCTTTGCTAATCGTGTAATTCGTTTTAAAATTCCTTTTCGAGACTTTTTTAACAAGATATTGGTATGTTCCATGTGATACTGCTCTTTTGAACACATATAGACCAAAAAATGAGCCCCGAAATTTCGTTGTAGTATCCCTTTAATGTAGCATCGATTGATAAGGCTGCCTAAATAAATTTAGTTAATTAAGTGCACTGAAATTTTAGGTGGTGGATGTATCACTTTTAAAATATTATTGGGATTATTCAATTCACCTCGACTAGATGAACTAGTTAGGGCGGGAAACTACCTAAAAATAGCAATTTTTCTTTAAAAGCCATATTTTTAAAAAGTAGCCTGATCAGTTTGCACAACTCCCGCGAGATACAACCAAGAATTTTAACTCCTATAACTAAAATGTTTTTATTTTTTTTTTTCGTTTTTTTTTTATTTTGAATTTTTAGGCGTGTTTATCTCAGTATGGTGCAGTCCCGCATGGTGCAAAAGGCAGGAACTACCAGAGTGGGAGATTACCTTGAGGTGATCTCTGCGCTTCTCGATGCCAGTCTTCTTCATGGCGTAGATGTCGCGGTAGGTGCGCAGAAGGGACATGTAGTGCTGGGGCGTGGCTACAAGCGGCTTGTCGCACCCGTCGTGTATCTTGAGAAAGCCCAGTGCCTGGATCTCCCTCTCCGTGGACTCCGAGGCATTTTCCCCAACCAGAATCAACTTTGGCAGCTGTTGAAGACATTAGAAGTAACAAAAGCTGGCATGGAATCAAAACTGTTTTTTAATTAACCCAATATTGATCACATGTCAGACTGACATCAATCCATTAATCCCATGTTAGACAAACAATGAATCAATCCAACAAGGGCAGGATCACAACCATGAACTCAACGATTCAAAAGTAGCATTTAAACGGATGGTAGAGTGGCTCTGAAACATATGAGCACTTTTCGTAGCTCAAATGCAAGGAGTTCAAAGCTCAAGTGGCTCCTCGTTTCATGACCTAGAATTTCAATTTTAAAGACACGGTACGAACAGGCATTTACCCTCTTTTCCCATATTTCAACATACCCTCTAACATGCCCTCGAAAATTCCCATCGATCTGGAGGTGAGTCCAATGGTTCTACGCCATACGAGCGCAAGAAATTTGCACCACTCTAGGCTCCCCCAGATGGCACCTGTGACAAACTAACACCGCTAGAGAGCTTAGGTCTAAGAGATAGAGCATTTCAAATCATGGAAAGCGTCGGCAATTTAACGACAAATGCCTGCACGTGTTGCACTATAAGATTTGTTGGTTCTGCCAACGCCGGATTTTTCAAAACATGAGTTCCTAAAGCTATCGCATTAATATCTAGGAATAACAATTACCGAAGACCTAACGCAAAATGTTCACATCCAAACCATGCTAGAAAAGGCAACATGAACTCCGGGCTTTTTAAGAAGAAATTTGCACCAAGCCTTCTAATGAGACTAAACTTGCCACTTATAAAACACTCGTCCGCTCAAAATTAGAATATGAAAGTATCACAAGGAACACTCATCAAAGCTGCTTACCATAAAATACCGCAGACTTCATTGAAGAGCCCACTATTAACATTCCCCAAATTGGGAATTCTGCAAATTATACGTTAAGCACCTGATCTGACTGGACAAGCGCCCAGGTCTAGATTAACCCAATTTTGAAAGTGGGGTGGGCACACCCCCGTCCTTACAAAATCAAGAGGCCCGATTCATTCATCACAAGTACTCACCCATTACGAGTGCTTCACAATTCAAGTCTGAATCTATCTTTTGCCTATGTCAACATATACAGGGGTGGAACTCATGAAATGTATTTGGGAGCAGCCACGGGAGCAGCTGAAACAGCTGTTTTGGAGCAGGTTGGGAGCAGCTAAAACTACATTCTGGAGCAGGCTAGGAGCAGCTCAGATCAGTTTCCATTGCACTTCAGGTTGTGTCTTAGACGAGCACGGGAGCAATTTCAATTGTGTTTAGCAGCACAGATGAACATGAGTGGTTAGGGACCTAGGTAGATTGGATAACAGTGTAACAGATGCGAAAACTTGCAACTTTGTGAGCCTTAATGAGAACCAAAAAGCAACTACCGTATGTTTCTGAAGATGGTGTCCTTGATATTCTCTGAGTGGCTTTCAGCTGCTCAAAATGCAAACCAGCACCGCTTATCGCACAACCCACACGTGCTCGACATAGTAATTATATGTGCGAACCTCTTGACGTGCGAAAGCAACGGACGTGCAGTTGCGTGGAGGAACAGGGAAACAAATTTCGAGTTTATCCTATTGTGCAACTCAATACCGAAGCAGCAGACTACAATTAACAGAGTTATCGTATTCAAAGCGATAAGCATGCAGGAGCAGACCTACCACTCGCTTAAGAGCTACTGGCTGGCAAGTTTTCGGATCGGACCGCGTTTCAGTCCTATCAAATAACAATTTATCTAGCAGGGATGCGGTTCCAACTTCTAACGATGAAGTACTAAAAGGAATCTTTTGCTCATTTGTTTTCAACTGGCTGACGTACGGATCCCGGGCCGCAGAGCCTCAGGCAATCTGACGCTTAACGACTCGACCTCACCTCGGCCGACTTGCTTAACCGCTTATGGTAGAAGAATAACAATCCAGTCGCAGGTGTAGCACTTCGAATCCGAACCCTGCGTTTTTTTTCGCGCGCTTCCGACTAGGGATACACAGGGAGAATAAACAGAACAAAGGATTGCAAGGCCGACCAAGTTAAGCGCGCTAATCGTTGCCAATCGAGTCAATAAAAACCAAAACCAAGACAAAATACTTTTTTTTTTTTTTTTTTTGCGCACGTTGTGCGATTTGGTGCATAATGGCGCAAGGTATTGGCTGTGGCGCAGTTTCCGCGAAATGGCGCAGGATGGCGCAGACAAATGCGTTTGGCGCGAAATGGCGCAAATGGCGCAGCCGTTCCACCCCTGCATATAGAAAACTATCTCAGTTGTGCTTCTTTCCTAATATTTACTATAACCTGCTACACCTAAACTCCGGGTACTGTCACCCTCCTTCCTCTATATTTCAATGGTGTGATCATGTACTCAAAATTTAACTATTACAATCACGGACTCATCAACATAAATTTTCTCCGCTTTCCCCCGTGCATCAAAGACAAACCCTTGCCCTTGTGAAGACTCTGGTTAGGAGTTGCACACACCCCGACATCGAGGAGAGACAGTCCCCAGCACTAGTTCGGGCAAGTGATGTAGAGGAGATGTAGGCAAGGAAGCGAGGTGGGAAAGGAGAAGTGGCTGGTTAGAAGGTTCTGGCAAATCACCAGGTTTATCGTTTCGAGTGTACATATATCAGGCGTTAAACTGTCCAATGAAGAGTGCCGTGAACGTAGGCGTCTGGCTGAACAAGCTAGACATGCCGCTAAACAATGATTTAGACATTTCTGATGCTAGAACGTTTTACGTATGCAACACAATTGCCTAACAATTTGTCGTACATTTAATTATTAATATTGTCATTATTGTCACTCTTCTAAAGATGTGTGCATACCTGCTTCATCGTGTCCCGGCTCCACGTCGTCAGCCACTGGACGTTGCAGCACTTGTGGAAGGAGGGGTTGCTTTCGCGCTTTGCAGTGAACTCAGCGTCCGTGCAGTCCAGGACGAGAACAATGTGCAGGTTCCTCCTCACCCCTGGAGGGAAGTCAGTGCAGGCCGAGGATAGGAAGCAAAGTTGGGCTCCAACATTATACATTACCTCTATACAAAATCTTAACGTCTGTAATGCTCCCAGCGTGCAACCCGTTCATTACGCTCTCTACGACGGTCGTTATGACGCTAGTTCGCAACAATTTGCTTATAGGAAACCTCCCGTAAAACGCAATCTGCATGAAAATGTTAAACATATAAGAAATGGCGAGAGTGCCTAATGGCTCCCTTAATCGCGAGGAGCTTGCGGCCAAATGCACAATATCAACACTCCATCGGCGCGAGTTTTCTCGAAAAGAAAGCAATCGGTTGCCATGCGTGGTGAATGCGTTGTTGCAGAACGGCGCCGAGTGAGACGTCCGAAGCATCTCTTACGAGGTTTGTGGGCATGCTTTCTTGCAGGTGGGTGAAACCAGGTCCCATTTTATGTCACAAAATGAGCGGGAGGCTGTCCCCACCCAAGTGAGTTGAGCGGAGTTTGCTCGATGCCTTTCGGTAAATCAGTGAGGGGTGGCAAGGCTGAGGCGCAATCGGGTATAAAGTGGTGGTAGAAGTAATTAACCCCAAGAATTCCCCTAGTTGGCGAACCGTTGATGGCTGCAGAAAGTTCCAAACAACTTTGACCTTTTCGGGGAGTAGATGAATCCCACGTCGGTTCCAGTGTTGGCCGAGAAAGGTTAGCCGGAAAACTCCAAACTCGCATTTTGCCCGGGCGGCCAATGGCGGCTCAGTCTGGCGTGTATTCAAAGCGTCTATACCAGCCCACTTACCTTTCAGTGTTACTGGACATAAACAAAGGAATATGGAACCATGGCTGAATTAGGCAACGTTGATCGCATGCTGTAGAAGCTTTATTCTCACCGTTTTGCCTATCCACATTGAGCCACTTCGGGGAAACCAAAAATTCTCGATTTCTGAATCAATTACATAAAGTGTAGAAGAGTGTGGCAACAGCAGTGCCAGCTGGAAGGGGCAGCACCACCTATGGCTACATAGTTACGGTGCTCTACAAATTATGTCTCGCAGTGAATATATAAAAAAAGTATGCATATAAGTTGCAGAAGTGTAGTAAGTTGGGCATATAAGTTGCATCGCTGTATAAGCTATGCACCACGAAAGATGTATGAAAAAAAAAAAAGACTTATACACCAGAAAATACGATACACGTGACTGAAGAAAATAAAACAAATTCGAAAGGTTCCCAGACGCGAGAAAACAGAATGGTTGATGCTCTTTGAGAAGGCAGATCTGTGCAGACGTGTCCGCCAATTGGGCAAGTTTGGGTAAAGCTATTCCACAGGTAGATGCAAGGACCACCCACACGTTGACAGGCAGGCAGAGGAAATAAAGCCCTCGTAAAAGGGCCATGTCAAAGGTCGGAGCCTTGTCCCCCAGAAGTTGCTGTAGGCGCCGGAGTAGTTGTGAAGGCTTGTGGTTCCCCAGCTCTTCAGACGGTATGAGCTGCTGGACTTGTCATTGTTCAGACTCTGAAGTTTGCTTCAGAAGCTTTGCCTTCAAAACATCTTATGGGGAGCTGATCGAGGATGATATCCCGGGTCACCATGGCAGTGTTGAGAGGTAGGGCTGCCACGACGTAACCCAGTTAAAAAATTCCCAATAGATTCCAATAGGAATTTTCCCATCGGCATCAGTTAGGTTTTTGTACCACCAATAGGTCACTGCCAATGGGAACCAATAAAAACCCTTTGGAACCTATTAAGGTTCCAAATTGAAAAATATTTCTAATTAACGAGACCCGTTGACCAGTGAGCTTTCAGAAAACCCACTAAAACCAATTGGTTCCAATTAAAACCAGTTGGAATTTTAATTGGATCTATAGGGAATTTTAAGCTGGGAATGAAATCTTTGTGCTTGTGAAGTTATTCTACTGGTGGTAAACTGACTCTCAACTTGAGCAAACCATACCTGAAGATCGGAGGACCAGAATTTAGGAAGGCATAGCTGATAAATTGCTGAAAGGGCAGACGGTGGAAGACCTTCAGAGGTAGCCTTGATGCAGAAGTGTTTGGATCACGTCCGGGTCACCAAGTAAAGGGACCGAAGGCCTCGTCAATTCATTTACAAAATTATATTTACAAAGAGCTAAGTGAAACATTTGAGCCGATCCGTTGGCATCGCTCTTCTGCTCGAGCCCAGTGTCGCACGGCACAATCGTCCCCTTCCGCGCCAAGTACGCTTGCCTGCTACAGTGTGTTCAACAGGTGGTAGCACAGCGCAGACAACCTGTATGAGGGCACACTAGTAGCGTAAAGATGGCCGCCCCACTTGAAGCATGCACCAAACTGGAACGGCATTCAGTCATCCATTTTTATAGGTAGCGAAGAAATAAGGCTGCGTTGAGCTTATTGTGCTGGGCAAGCCTCGTTTCGCCGAAAACTAACGGAGCATGCCAGCACTTGTTGCAGTTGGCTCTGGCGTCGGGAGGCCCATCACCTGCTCTTTCTCGCCTTCGGTCACCCGTTTGCTCGCCACTCGGTCGCTTGATTCCACGCCAACCGTTGGGATAGAATGCCTTAGCTGTCCTGTATGGGATCAATTGTAGTTTATGCGAGACCTGGAGTCTTTGCCAGTGGCTTGCCACGAGGTTCTTCAGTCGTCGTACCCGGACAGTGAACTGACAGCCTTCAAGGTGTGTGCTACATGCCTATGCGGTGTTCGTGCTGCCTCAGTTGTATCTCGTGAACGAGCATTCGATGTCCGCTCGGCACTCTAAGCCTTCCGCGCAAGGATGGGGCGCCGAGCAAGCGGAAGCTGTGGTCTTGCATCAACATGCCCGTCGCAGAGAATGTCGTAGACGTGTTGGCGCCGAGGTCTCTTTGTGCGTTAGGAAGGAAAGCATTTGACGTCGAATCGTGACATGCGTGTGCTTCTTGAAATAAGCTAAACATATCAAGATCGTTATAATGCAATATACTTAACAGTTTTAAAAAAAGTAAATTAGGACGCGATACCGCCAATTATTTTTTTTTATTAAGCTGCAGTATTGTTAAAATGTTAAACATCTTTATGACAGAATATTCCCCAAATTCAAATTATTAAGACGCAATGTCGACAAACTGCCCAAAAAAAGTCAAATCTAATAATGCCACAACTTCATCGATATGTAGGCAATATCACCGAAATAAAATTTTCATTCATTCACCGTGCAATATCATTGAAATATAACCCCAGCCAACGCCATTCATTCGCATCACATCACGCGATCGTCCGCACAATTTATGGACCACTTAAGAAGGTAATGGGAACGCATTTCTGGTTCGATGAAGAGGCGCACAATAACGAGGAGCAAAAATGGTACGACAAATAAAGGGGCACTAAACTTTCCAGAAGGATTAGAATACACGCGTAAAAGAAAATCTTTCCCCGAAAAAGAACAACTTGTTGGTGCAATATTTAGGTAGGGACTCATTTTTACCATAACGACACGCTTCATATTGAGACGACGTGCCGAAATAAAAATATAAAGAAAGAAATAAGGTGATGGCACGAGGCAAGCTGAGGAGTGTGCTGATGGCAGTCAGAATAAAAAAAAATAATAAACCGAGACGACAACGGGTGACAGGTGAAGCATCGCTTACGGTGGCAGAAGTAGCTAAGTGCCGAACCCCTGTAGCCCTCTTCGGCGGCCTGGTCGCGCAGAGGAGCCAACAGTGGCTCTAGCTCCTCTTGGCGGAAGAGACCCGGCACCTCGCCCGTTGCCAGCAGGCCATTGACGATCTCCAGGGACTCTGGATCGAACAACTGATGGTCCTCCAGGAGTAGAAGCATCTGCTGGTTCTCAATACCGGATGCCTGCACAATCTGGGGGTCAACAGATGTACCCTATTTATAAATATAAGCCAACCTTTTTTTTGGGGGGAACTTTTGTCAAAATTTAAGTGTTGACCATATATAGAGAAAAAGGTCCACCGTCTTCCATGCACTTTGGCCGCTTCGGGACAGTGGGGCATAGATGCGAAGATTGGTGGCCCCGGTAGACCTGGATTTCCGGCGACGCTTCACTATACACAAAGAAGCGGCAAACTACCACTTACAGATTGGTATACCTACCATATAGTACCGCGCATCCACCCATTCCACATTAAGCGCCCATCCCCTAATTTGTAAGATCTGAGAAAATACGCACAGTACATTTATATGTAAAATTTATGACCAGACAAGCGCCCATCCCCCATTTTTTGTGATTATCTCTGAAGTTTGAGTGAGCGCTTGCCCGGTATTTTACGGTAGTCTTTTTTAGCTTTATAATGCGAGAAAACACAAACAGACAAAAAAATTAGGTAGACAAGCACTCAAACAACTTCAGTAAGAGCAGCAAAACGACCGCGCCAAACCTTTCGTCTACTTACCTTTTCCATTTTTCTGACGCTCTCTTTAGCATTCTTTCTCTCCAAGCACCGGTGTCGGCGCTTGCAATTTGCCGTATTCCACTCCAGTATTTACGCCACTCAACCGGTGGCCAGTGAAGCACATAAAGAGTGATGCACAGTGTCGTCTGCGCGGCAATCAAACGAAAGAGTGTGTGTTGTCTGCTTCCCGCGTCTATAAGGAGATGGTGCCATGCGTTACAGGCACTGGTACTTCGGTCATCCACAAAACTGCCCACCGTTGACCCTGGCAAGCTTACTGGTCTCATTCTTTGCAGAAAAAAAGCTATGCCTTAAAGTTTCGTCAGCGAAAATGCACCACCTCCATGCACATTCGGAGAACATTCTAGCTCCCTAGACGTCAGTTTTTCTGGCTCACTTTACAGCTTAAGGTCCACTGTAGCCACCCCATATTCCGTGATTTCCTCTCAATTATTGAGAGTCGACCACCCAAGGAACAGGGCAGCTCGGGTAATAGGACAACCCACCGCCTTGAGGTCTGCCATGAGGTTCCTGGTTGCATAGTTGAGGGTCATCTTGGGAGTGAAGGTGGCCACGCCGTGCATGTGTGCCACCACCGAGGCGGCCATTCTGCGCCCCATCCCGGCAACGCCGGCGAGCAGGAGGGAGCCACGCGGACACGACAGCACCCTGTCGATGCGTGCACACAACTCCAGGACCTCCAGGAAGAGCACCGTGTTGCCAACCTCCTGGACTTCGTGACCTGCGCAAGTGCAAAGACGGTAAGGCCAGACAGAGTCAATCAGAGCTCAGCATTCCCAGTTAAAAAAAACCATTGGCTCCAATTAGGATATTCAATTGGAACCAACTGGAGTCAATGGAATTCAATTGGTTCTGGGTCATCCAACTGGTCATTCTAATTAGTTTCAATGTTTCCAATTGGTTACACCAACTAGGAACAACAAAATTCAATTGGCACTGGGCCACCTAATTGGTCACTCTAATTGGATTCAATGTTTCCAACTGGTCATCCCAATTGGGATCAATAAAATTCAGTTGGCACTGGGCCACCTAATTGGTTACTCAATTGGATTCAATGTTTCCAACTGGTTATCCCAATTAGGATCAATAAAATTCATTTGGCACTGGGTCACCTAATTGGTCACTCTAATTGGATTCAATGTTTCCAACTTTATGATTGATCTCCGATTGGGATCAATAAAATTCAATTGGCACTGGGACAGAACTTGCTATAGGCCCGTAGCTCTCAAGTTTTGAGCAGCGCTCCAGGCGAGCAAAATAGAATATTTGGCTCGCGTTTCGAACGTGCGTCAATACGCTACCCCACTACAGCTTTTTATACACCGTTTCATTATAAGTGCCAGCGTAGCAGAGGCTACAAGAGCGAGCTCCGAGCTCTTAGTGCCCCTGCCAAGCACGCGCGCTCGTGCAGTGCGAGCATCGTTCAGGGGAACATGCTTTAGCAAGTATAGCTTCGGCGTCGCTATCAAGTAAAGTGAAACATACGGGCTCACGGAAGCTATGAAAAAGAACAATAAGCTTGAAGGAATATTTAATGGGACGCTGAGGCCGCGAGCTGCATAATTTTTTTTTATTATTATTTTAGTTCTTTTTTAGACGTTTTGTTGTCGCGCGTCTACAGATGTTGACAGGTGCTTCCATTCGAACGTGACACGTGCAAAATCAAACGTTACAGCGCCGCCTAAATGGTGCTGCCAGCATAACATGGTCACGCCTTGCGGACGCGCTCGCGCCCCCTGCCCGAGAGCAACGGGTCTATTATCTCTTTCCTCACCACAGTTTCCAAAGATCGCAATTTTTTTTTTTTCAGTATTGCGTTGCAAAAAATTTTTCAACAACGCAATTTGAAAGGGGAAAAAAAATTCGTACACTATTTAATAAAAAAATAAAAACGAAAAAAAAAAATCTGTTTCTAGAATTAGTCGGAATTGCCGGCAGCGTCGGTGTACACTGGGCGGCAAAGATGGCGCCGCGAGCCTCGAGGACGGAGGAAGCACGAAGCACATGGCGCCGATGGCGTGTACGGCATTCGTAGCATGGTTATGGCAATGATTCAAGAAAGTTTGTTTGTGTTTTACTGCTGCAGAGTGCTCAATGGTGCGGTGATAATTACTTCATTTGACCTGCCAGCTTGTTAGAGCGCGAATGAGTGGCAACAAACGTTTATGGGAGCAAGGTAAGAGAATTTCTTTGTCCTTTGCTGCGCTGCAGTTTGGGGATTTCGGATTGTTAGATCTGCTGAGACACTCGTTGTTTGATCTTCAGTGAACGATGCGAGGGTGAATATATAGCTTTAGAGAAGAAAATTTTCCGGGCAGCTATCAGTTCGGAAGTTGTTGGGTATCCGCGATGAAAGTTATGTGCGTTTTAAGCATCTCAAAACTAAACTATGAATTGCTGAAAGGAAGTGTCTAGAGTTCCGTCCAGACGGAACGATAGTCGCCACTAAAGTTCCGTCCATGTTGGGTCTCGTATAAAAGAAATGGTGAAAGCTAGTTTCTGAAGTGGTGGTGTAGTGTAGTGGAAAGGTGTCTGCTTTACACGCAGCGGGCCCGGGTTCAAACCGCAGTGTGGGGTTACTTTTTTTTTTTTTTCTCTCAATTTTTTTGTTGGTATTTACATTTCTTTTTTACAATTATCACTGAAACATATTAACCCATGTTGTCGACGAAACTTTGCTTCCTTTCCGGAAGTGCAAGGGGGCATAGCGGGTTTGGGTTGCTGTCTGGACTCCGCGAAGCGGCGTGTACGGAGGGCTAAGTGGTTTAATAGGTTTGTAATTAGCAGCCGCATACTGTCGCCGCGAAGCGGCGTGAACGCAGGCGGGGGGGTGTGTTAACGAGCTCCCCAGTGATACACGCGAAGTCCGAAAAGAGTGACCCAAATGGCACGAGCTCTCCGCGTTCCAGACGGAACTCTAGTGGCGACTATCGTTCCGTCTGGACGGAACGCTAGCCACACCGTTGCTGAAAACACTGACTGGGCACAGTTTCAAAAATTGAAGCTTTGGGATTCAAAATTAAGCGATCTCGGGGGCATTTTCGATGAGTGGGAAGTGGGGTGGGGGGGTCGGTCGGTCGGTGATGTCGGGTCATTACTTTCGGAAGTTGATGACTTCTAATAAAATAACAGTAGGTGCCGAAAATTTTGCATCTCATCCGGCGGACAATTTGCAGCTATGTTTCAAAATTTACTCTGTCTCCACTCAGGGTAAGTTCAAAAACCTACCCGCGTCTTGCGTTGCCTCTGATCCATTCGAGTAAGATTTGGAACACAGCCTGCAATGCACGATTTCTTTTCGAGATACGAAAGACACTTATTTTTTCACCCATGCACACTTTAAGCATATTTCAGGTGCACTGGCCAGCTTTACAGAGATGCCTTTGAATTGACTGTTTCTTCTCCTTATAGCAGAGATTGTCTCACAGGCTCATAGGAAACATAGTAGTCTTAAACCATCCCAGATGCAAATTTAGCCCAGTCTCGGCAAAAGCTTCATCTCCTAATTTTGACCAGAGTGTTTCCGTCACCCAGGGATGTTTGCCTTTTAATGCAAGGCCTGCAGGTTTATACCACTGCAACTAATTTCTTTGCAGCGAAAAAAAAAAGTTTAGTATGTTTCTAAGCTTGATTTAAACATTTATAATCCAATAAGGTCATTTAATGCATATTTATCCTTTATTTTAGGGAAGCTGCAGCTGCTATCCTGGAAGAAAACGACGATGCCTAGAAGCAAAAAATCATTTCTAATAAGTTAAATAAAGACTGTGTGATTATCTACCTTTAGATCTAGTTGCAACTTTTTCTAGTTTGGGATATCCAAACACTAATGGTTGTCCCAATTCATATCTGTCAATATGATTTGAACAGTTGGACCAATTGCTTTTTTCCTATTGGGAGTCCGAAAACAGAAATAGGTGTTTTCCAATTGGTTGCATCCTATTGACAATGCCGAACTGGTTCGAATTGGTGATGTTCAATTAGATTTCGACAATTGAAACCAATCGACTTTTTTTAACTAGGACTCCGAAATCACAGATAGGATTCCCCATTGGTTCTAATTGTCGATAACTAATTAGAACCAATTGACTTTTTCTAACTAGGAGTCCGAAATCACACATAGGATTCCCCATTGGTTCTAATTGTCGACAACTAATTGGAACCAATTGACTTTTTCTAACTAGGAGTCCGAAATCACAGATAGGATTCCCCATTGGTTCTAATTGTCAATAACTAATTGGACCCAATGGTTATTTTTAACTGGGTTCTGATGTCACTTCAATCGCTGCAAAAGAAGCAGACAAACTTGCACTCCGCACAGTCGGTGACCGGTTAGGAGTGGAGGGTTTTGCCATAAAGCCCTCCATTCTTTTGCACAGTGAACGCTAGAAAGGAGGTAAGTAGGAACTCGCCTTCTCTCCAGCAATTGCTCTGCTAAAGACTGAAAAGCTTTGTGAGAGGAGCACTCTTAAGGGGAGACACTAATCTTGAAATATGAAAATTTAGGCATCTGCAAATAGTGGATTTTGGGTTTAAAGAAAATTGAAAGCAAATTGTGGTTTTGGCCGAATATTTTCTAATCGAATATTGAATAGAGTTTCTCTAAGCCTTTCATTACCGCAACATGCTTAAACAAAAACCTAGCTAAAATTTCGAAGGTTGCTGCCAAGCTTCCACTTGTCCATTTCTAAGATAAGTTAATTTTTATCTAATAAAAGTGAGGCCTTTCAAAGCCCAATGCATACATCGGGGAGGCAAGTAAACAACATATTTGACGTGAGGTTATACAGCTATACATAATCGAGGGAATTTATAAGTCACGTATGATTTACGCAGGTTGTCAGGGCATCTCTGCTTAACATATACCGTAATATCCCGAGTCATCGCCCAGCCCCCAACCGCCTGAAATTCGTTAAAAAAGTGGGGTGGGCCATGTCTCGGTGGGTGAGCACAAACACTTGAAAAAAAGCGGAAAAAACCGCCTATTTTTCTCTGCGTATCTAGCGCTGATGCACAAGAGATACATCAAACTCAAAACTCGATTTAGTTTCATTGTTTTATAGAAAAAAAATGCTCACGCAAAATATTTTACTATAGCGAAGTCCGTTGCTTGCATACGCGCTAGAAACACCGCCGATCTGCATATAGCACGAACGTCTGTTCCGTGAAAGAATGTCACCATTATGTTCTCCTAATTAGTAAAAAAAAGAAAAGTCTACAAGAAAATAGAGAAATCGACCAGGCGCAACGAGCGAGCGAGCGGACCAAAGAAGCGACCAAGAGCAATGCTGGGAAAGCGGGAAAGCAGGCGGTCGCGTTGGCAAATACTTTGGCGTCGGGCCAAGTCGGGCGCCTTGTCAATTGCAAGCTCTTGCGCAACTTTCTTGTTTGGTGCGTACATATGTGCGTCCGTGCACGGCGGGCTATCAATGCACGGTTGGGACGCTCTGCAAACGTCTGTGTAGGACGTTCCAGCAAAGCTTTATTTACGCTTTGGCTTTGCCTAAAATATTGCACAACAGCGGTCGCGACGGGCGGGAAGAAGGAGCGGGTTCGCGGTGACCTTACTTCGGCGGAGACAGACTTTGACCTAACACTCCGCGGTTACGTTAACAAACTCCTATTTTGTTATCTCCATCGTTTTCTTTTCGCATGGATACACGACCACTTTGGGGTCGCTCACGGAGGAAACGCGTAAACAAAAAGAAGTGTCTTTCCCTCCTTCGTTTTACTTTATCACGGACGTCCTCCAACTGTAAGGTCCGCGGCCGCGTCATTCGGGTAGGATGAGTGTTCGCGGATCGCTGAGTCCGCGCTGGGGTATTTGAAGGGATGGGCGATGACTCGGTGTTTTTTCGGAAATCGATATTGGCCCAAAAAATGGGGTGGGCGATGGCTCGGGGATGGGCGATGACTCGGGATATTACGGTACTCATGCGTGCAAGTTTACTGGTGAAAATTCAACTGCAATCTTTTATATTAACTTTCAAAAAATCATTTTTCAAATACAGCAACTTTCGTGCACCATGCCGCTTTGAAAATGAACTTCCCTCCCAATCACGCGGCTGCAATATTTGTACATTTAGAAGAATTGATTGCGGCGGGTTAGCCCTATTGAGTGTGCTTCTTACCAGGCACCGGTAGACTGCGGAGAAGCCGGACCCACAAAAGCGAGCTCTGCGTGCGTTGCTTCCCCACATTGCATCAGTGCTCGGTAAGAAACGCGCTCAAGGGGGCTACAACAATCAACACTTTGAAATATATGAATATTGCAGTTTATCTTGAATCGACTATCGGATATAGTATATCCGCACAATGCAACGAAAATTTAAAAAAAAAAGTTTTTTTTTAACATTTTATTTTTGATTTATAAGTTACAAATAACGTATATTGTAAATTAATACTACACTCAGGAAATGCATTGCTATATAGTTACATCGGTTCAAAGTTTCACATTCAGGCTGTCTGCAAGCATCGTTCTCAAAATTCATATTTTCGTCAGAACACAGTTGTGCCCATGGTATTATGGCACACCGTGCATTCACGAGAGCGCCCATCAAATCATTCTGGCATCATTGTCGTGAGGCGGCTTTTGTTCAGAAGATTGAAGTTTGTCGGAACTTTTAAACTTAGCAAGTTCGAAAGTCCGAAAATCGTTGAATTTGTTACTGAAAATCATTGAACTTTTACCGCAATAAGCTCGAAAGTTCAGAAATGTCCGATTTTAAAGTGCAAAAAGTCGGAAGTTTGAAAATAATAGAATTTCTCAGCGCCAACAATTCAGAAGTTCGAAAATCGTCCCATCTTTTATGTAATAAGTTAGACGTTTCAAACCTTTGCAAACCTTTTGACCCTTTGGTTTGACCTTCAAACGTCAGGTTCGTAAAACGTTTGCGGCATCCCTAGTTGCAAGTGCGCACGCGTTGTGTTGTCGCATGAAAAGAACAGAAGCGAACGAAAGAGCGACGACCCCTGCACGCAATCGACGATTTCAGCCTAGGCTGAAAGAGTAGGCTGGCTCACCGAGTCCGTAGCCTTCGCCGTTTTCCAGGTTACGATGAAACCACAGTAGAGCATTTCTGCCCCAGAAAGAAAGCAACCGCAGGATTCTGAGAGGGAGAGGCTCACCGTATGTGCTCACTGCTTTCCGAACGATGCCTTCCCAGTCGGAGCGCTCGAGCCTAGACAGTGAGCGTCCCAGCTCAGATGCGTGGCTGGAGAAAGCGCCACCTTGCGACACGTAGAAGCAGCCTGACAGAAAGAAAGAAGAAAAGTATGCGTCTTCATGAAGGAAACATTCCACGGCGGGGACAGACAAACTTTGGCCCGCAAGCTATACGCAGCCCTTCGGGCCACTGCATGCTGCACATCAGCTTTCTGAAAACAGTTGATTCACGCGTGTGCCATCCTCAAGGACGCCACAGGAGAGGAACCACGCCAGCGAACGTCAGAAACTAGACTGCTTTTTACTTCAAAGGCCAACAAAGGAAACCATATGATAATGAACCTATAGTGACCAACAATCTGATGATGAAGTTAATGTTGCCAACATATAATCATGTACAAAACAGTGCAGTCTCATTTCGATATACAGTAATCCCTCGCTATAACGAAATCACATTTTTCTCATTGTAACTTTTATCGAAGTTCAACGTGGTCCCGACTGAAGTGCATGCATTTTTAACCGGATTACTCAAAGAGTATCGGCGGCCAACCCACGCTCATTACGAAGGCCATGGTGCCGAAAGCACGCGAGCCTACACGGAGGTTCACGGACACGCTTGCGTTCTCTCCCCCTTCTCCACCGAGGCAAAAGGCAAACAGGGAACACGGCAAACAAGAAAACAGAGTAAACGTGTGACAGAGGGCAGAGCATGCAGGGTGCCACTTCCGATGTCGATGCGCCGACACAGGGACATTGACGGGGGCAGCGAGAGCAGCGTCAACGTTCCAACGCTACTCACGGCCCCCATGGCCGCACTGCCCAACTCCCATCAGAATTGGGTCAAGGTAGCAATGGAGCCCCGAGGAGATCATCCCTTTTAGAGCCCCCGACACGCACCTGCGGCACACTACACGCACACGTGCATCGTATGGGAGATTGGGACTGTTTACTGAAAGTCACTTAGATCTGCAAAATTGAGAAAAGTGGCCAGCCCAAGTCCGAAATCACCAAAGAATTGGACATTCGGGCATTGGCTGTTCGACACTGTCCACCATTTTGCGGAACAAGCAAGGTGTATTGGACAGGTTCAAAAAGTTTCTCGTTTCTCATGCATGAGAAAGCGCGCCCACAACCTGAAGGTGAAAAATCATCAACTGCTTCGCACACATTGGATTTTCTCTCACGAGCATGGTTGTCGATCTGCAGCACGATTTCCATAACTGCAACGATCTCTACAGGAGCGTGTGAAAACATAATGGCAAAGCCACCGAAGATAAGTTTGATTCGTTCGACCAAGTCGATGCGGACGTTCTCGTTGTTGCTCCTCCAGAGATAATTGAAGCATTCTTTACCTCTTCGATGGCTGACAGATGTATCAGTGAGCCATCGGTGGCGTTATCTGAGAGGGAGGTACTGCATCTGCATTTGAACATGAGTGTGAAGTTTTGAGGCGATATTTGAACATGAGTGTGAAGTTTTGAGGCGATAAATCTGCACATCTGGTCGCCTGGTGGCCGTGTGTTTTTAATCTGTATGTGTGTAATCTGTTTAACAAGTGTCTTTGGTTCACTTGTCTTTCAATAAACCTCAGTTGCGAGCAGGGGCGGATTAAGGAATTTCCTGAGGGGGGGTTAGGTGTTGGTCAGCATACCCTATGTTTAGGAAGCCCCTCCCCCTCTCCTTTGTTTTACGCCCTAAATTTTACACATGCATGAATCAAGAGAGGGATCAGGACATCCGGACCCCCCTCTAAATCCGCCCCTGGTTGCGAGTCAGCCATTGTCCTGTCGTATTTTTTACCCGTTCTTCATCCCTGTTTATCCGAGGCTGTTTTTCATCATGTTTAACTTCAAAATGCTCATCCTTTGAAGTGTTTGGCACATGGTTATGCATCAGTTGATGGCTCAGGTCATCTAACATCATGCTCAAAAGAGGAGGAACGCTTTGCTTAGGGGCAGGAATGATTGGGGCAATCTGGGAGCTCGGTGAACCCGAGCCTACTTTGGGGAAACTCCACAATCATGGGACCTCAGTGTGAGAACCCACGCATTACTGAATGCAATGTCCGTTATACTCAATTCCAAATTGTTCGGAAAAAATCTTTATCGAGAGGTCAGGTATCGGCCGCATGCCACTCGCCTTTCGCCTGCTCCAAGGCAGAAGAATCTCCCCAGTCCGAGCGAAGGATGCCCGACAGAATGGCGTCGAAGCGCGCCCTTGCCTCGTCGTCCGCCAGGCGGTCTCGCAGCAGACGACAGCCCTCGTAGACCCAGGGCTCGAGCACAGAGGGGGACCCCGCGGTGGAGTACCGCAGCAGACCCCGCGTCCACTCGGTCAGCGTCTTCGGGGTGAACACGTAGTGGCTCTGGTCATCCACCGAGAACTTGGATTGCATCTGGACGGGGCGCGCGGAAGATGTGAGGTGCAAATGCCTACACGGCAATCTAGAGCTACGAGCTACGCTTAGAGTATGCACGCTTCCTTCTCCCGCGAGTGCCGCAGTTTTGGTTGGTGCTCGGTGCAGAAAGGATGCCGTTTAAACTTTCCTAGAGGACAGAAGACCATCTCCATCAAATTCGGATAACTGCAAAGAATAACTTTTGAAGCAACGGGATGTCCGAACTGTTGTTTCTTTAATGAGCTGCCTCTGTAGCGGCTCTGCGGCGAGCAAATCAACCAAAACGTGTCCCTTTGCACACGAGTGGAGGCGCAAAACAGTGGCCTCTCCACATATGAAAAGGCGTGAGGGAGTGATCACGTGTGTGACGGAAGTTCTGCACCAGCAGACTCCGTTCTCTTCCGTGATCAAAATCACTGACGGAGTTAGAACGGCAGGGTGTGTCTTTCAGATGCCCGGCACAAACTCCACGCCTTCTGCTGTGCTTTAGCTACGCACACGCACTAGAGGTCCACGAGACGTTGCGGAAGGAAGGACGCTCGTGCTGGTGGCGACTGAAGCTCTGCCCTGCCACTCTCACCTCGGCAGTAACTACACGAGCCTCGCGGCCACGCTTTTATCCAAGCTTCACTTTTATCTCGGCTTCGTGAAATGCCAAACACCTAGCCAAAGAATGGCTCACGATAACAGCACGACTAGACACGGAATGTTTGGAGCCCAACACAAGGCAGTTGAGTCGCAGGAACATTCTATGGGAGATTTGCAACAGCGTCAACAATGGCTGGAGGTCCCAGACCTGCTCGAGCAACAGCACCATGGACGCAGCGAGGGTGTCCAGCTTCGGAGGAGAGCTCCAGTCCGAGGGCTTCCCGGCAAGGTGCACCATCACGGGACGTAGGTATGCACTGTACACCCTCACCAGCTGCTCCTTCTCAGGGTACCTGCAAAGAGTCACAAGCACGCGACGCACCTTTTCGGACCGGCACTAGAATGTTATCTTCGATGCAGATTGGTCGAAGAAGGTATGATTGTGAAAAGATGTAACGTCGCGGATAGATTCAACATTGTGGACTGACCTAAGGTCGCAAACAGATGCAACATCATGGAAACATTACATCACGGCCAAATGCAACGTCACGAACGGATGCAATGTCATGGACGGATATAACGTCGCAGGCAGATGTAATGTCACTGACAGATGTAACATTACTGACAGAGGAAACATTGTGGAGAGATGTAACATAAGAAATGTAGCATAATGGACAGATGTAACGTCACACAGGTGTAACGTCACGAAGAATTGTAATATCATGGACAGATCTAATGTCACAGATAGATGTTACATCTGTTAGATTAGAACCGTATTGTGGGTCAAGTGGTAAGATTTGAGGCGATGGCACGAGTTGGTTTAAAACAAAACTCAAAAAGTTTAATTAGTGCAGTAAACCAGGTTACATTAGGGTAGGAAAAGCAGTTGCTTCCGTCCGTTTCGTTTGGCGTCTTGGAGCCGTCTCTCTACTGGCTCCCTTCAGAGCCAAGCTTGACCGAACCCTCTGCGTCAGTGGAGAGAGTCAGGTGACGGGAGAGGGGTAGCGGGACTGGGTGACGTAATGGCAGAGAATTTGGAAACGAGCAGGGGAAGGGTTCCCTCTTCGCGGCACCACGGCTGGGTAGCATTAGTGGTTCATGGACAGTGTCTAGGAAGTTTGAGTTTTCGTTTTGTCTGGCGGGGCCGTTGCCTTCAAAACTGAAAGGTGTCTGGCCATCTGACACACCAGTTCCAAAATTCAATGAAGACCGACTCTCTGTTCACTGAAGTTTGGCAAAGGCCTAAGCATCTTTCTTCCACAACCGAGCTGATCTAATAACTTCAGTGTACATTCCATCTCCCTGTGGAATTCCGTCTCCCTGTGGAATCTGACCGAGCCGACTCACTGCAGTGCCAGGATGCGGGCGAGGGAAGTGAAGCGAGTGGACAGGCGGTGCTTGCCCAGGGAGCTGCCCGAGCTCATGGTGGCCACAATCTGGATCCTTTCCAGCCCCACCCAGTCCAGGTCTTGGTCGTAGAAGCCACGGTAGCTTACCACCTGAACGGTCGAGGAGAAGCTTATTAAAAGGATTCAGAAGCAACTCAATCGATGGGTACCAACAACTTAATTTTCGCAAAGACCTCATTTTCGTGAATTCTGAAATTTGAGAAATATAGTGGAAAAATCAATCCCACAAATATATCGCCTTATGGCGATGGGTACCTAACAAGTCATGATCCACATCGCAAAATTTTGGGCCTGAGAAATGTTGCCGAATTGCACACTTTGCCAAATTCGCAAAGTATTGAACCTGCGAAAATAAAGCCGTTTAGAATATGCACCGCCAGTGAATGTTCCCAGAGCACCGTATTCCGTAACGTCCACTCAACCGCAAGAATTGGGCCAATCGTGCCTTCTATTTGGCCGACTGGAGCAGGCGGAACATGCCCGCTTTCCCGCCCCAATTCGATTGCACAGGACTGCAGCTCTGAAACCACGGATTACAGCTCCACCGCAACACACCTGGCGTTCAAACACTTTGCGACAGAAAGAAGCATATCCAACCTTGGCGTTCTGCTTCGTCCCACGGAAGTCTACGAGGCGGCCCTGACATCTCATAATTATTGCGTTGTCTCGAATAATTACATGCTGAAACAAAAGTCTATGCTCTATCCCTTTCTGCTAACCAAGATAGCCTTGGAATGACTGACTTCGTCGTCATCTTTTATCCATTCACAGCGGTGCTGATTTTGGTAGAGATCAGCCTAAACTCCAAGTCCACCCCACTATTTTTTTTTGCAATGCCAACCTTCTCTGTCCTCTCACGAATTTCTTATTCTTAATAAAATAAAATTTATGCCATGTTTTTGGTTTCTATGTCATGGTTTAGTGTTGAAACACTCCTATCAATGCCACGCACTCGATCGAGTGAAGTGAGTTGGTCAAACTAACTCGAAGCCAAGTGTGTTCCTCAGGAAGAAGTCATGTGGCACACTACAGAAATGACACTAAAGTGCACTTGGTTGAAGTGCACAAAATTATCCCGCCTGACAGGGGTATAAAGTATTATTTACAGCACCAAAAAATAGAACAGCCTTCAGCAAAATGTAATTGCAGATTGCAAAAGAACCCAAAATGTTGAATATTCAGCCTCTACAAAAACGTTCAGCCTTTCCACTCTCGTGAAGAAGGAAGACCAGTGGAGCTGTACTCGATACACTGTGTGCTTCTTCATCGTCGTTTGTTTTTTGCGCTGTTTCATACGATGAATTCCCACCAACGCGCCCAAGTATCCATTCTTCTATTATAGCTGGAGCCTGGAAAGGTAGACGCCATCTACGAGCGACGGCGGCAACCATACTGGTTGTGTGCTTGCCGCCGTCGCTTATAGATGGCGGTAGCTGTGCAGGTAGGTTTGTGTCGACATACCGGACACGATCCTGGGGAACCTAGCCCTTAAGAGCTCCGCTGTAAAAAAAGGAAGTAATATTTTTGCACACTGATTTTTACACCTCCCCTTAAACTGACGATTATTCGGTGTTATCAGCAGGGCGACCAGTATTGTAGCTTCCCAGACTGCCAAAGTCAGTGGGCTGTCTGTTTCAAGTCCCTCCCTGCCAAATCTAGCGTAATAAAAAACCAAATAAACGAGTATTACCATACTTTATAAGCCTTATTTGAAGTTTAATGCGGTACTGACCAAAATGCATGTATTGTGAACCAGATTTTTCCAGGAGTATTACCGGCCAACCGTACCTATTACGATAGCCAAGTCATCAAAAGCATGCCCAAAAGACTGCCCCTCTACGCCGTGCGTCGATGCAGCAATGCGCACGGTTCCTTTCACCGGCGTGGCGATGCGCCAAGGAGCAAAGCACTCATTCCGAAGCTACACACGAGGCACCAGTGGCGCCCGCAGCTGACTCGGACAATCGCCAACTCGCTAGAGTCCCCTCGCAACCGGGCCAGGGAAGCGAACAGTGATGGAAGTTGCATTGGACCTTTCGCAGCAGGTTTTGTAGTAGGCGAAATATTGGCTCGGAGCAGACACCGACGCTTTTGAACTCGATAAAATATTTTCATTTTTTGCCCCCTACAAGTTTACCTCGGTGCAGGCGCTCTGGCACTTTGGCCCTCTGGCGTAAGACGTAGCAGACTTTCGTTCATGGCGCATTTTGGTGCAAATGGTGTGGCACTTTTATTACTGAAGGAAGCAGGCAGAGATTATCTGTTCGGGAGCTCCGGCACGAGCGTGCGACGTCACACGCTTATCCATCGAGCGAGGTGAATGCGCAAAGCGATGTGCAATGTGAACGCGTCTCCGGCGTCCTCTGCTTGCTCGCCTAATCGGCCTGCTTTAGCTCTAGGCGTGCCTCGTGCAATGCCTCGCACAAGGCCTCGCAAAAGAAAGAAGTAGACTCGAGAGAACAATGCGGAACAGAAGCGGTAGCCAGCTGGGGCCCGGCGTGTTTGTCGTGCCAACGAGACGCGGGAATTTAATCGGGAGAATATGGCCTTTGTAGGGGAAACGACAAATAGCTATTGCATTTCAAACTAGTCTGCGGCAAAGCACTGCAAAAGCGCAGCCCCGTTTTCTCATCCCTCCGCTCTCGCGCATAAAGGAACTCGTTCGGGTGGACTTTCCCGTTGTATTACGCATCGTCACCGTATCATTGCTGGGTCAGCTCAAGCGTGTCTGAAGATGTCACCTGCTGCAGCCAGGCCACCAGCTGGCAGGTGCCCCACTTGTCCGGCTTCACCAGGTTCAGGTCCCTGAGGAAGAGCACCAGCTTGTCCGCCTCCCTGGGGCGCAGGCTCCGCCCCCTGCCGGTCGTCACGGCGACGCAGCACTGCCTTAGCTTGTGCAGCAGCTGCGACGCGGTCGTCTGCGCGCAGCAGTGCACCGCAGCCACTTCCACCGAGTGCAGCTGTTGGAGGCAGTGGCTCAGCAAGAGGCTGCAATCCACAGGCAATGGTAGGGTTACAGGCACCAAATAATCTACACTTCGGAGCGGCAAAACTCCTCCCGAAATATATTCTGGATGCCGCCATTTTGTTGATTAGTGCAGAGCAGTCGCGATTGGCAACGGTTACAATTTGAAAATGCAACTTGCTCGGTTCCAGATATGGTGTAGAGAAGCTCGGGCAATATCATTTTGGTCTTGCAGAATGCTTTTGATAGGGTCTATAAATAGACTATGTATAAAACTATCAATATTCCATTGTCCTGTGGGCTCCACCATTTTGGTGCATAGTGCGGAGCGAGCACAAGTGACAATACTGCTGCGACTGTTTATAACAAAGTCGGTTATAATGAAAAAGATCGAGGTACACCTAAGCACTTCTTATGAGTTGTGAATGCGAAAGCACGTACATCATACTTGCTCTACGCGTGTTGGCACGCTGACTGGCACCGACCTAGCGCTGACTAGAGTTCCTGTATAGGCTCCCTACGGGAGCCAGAGCTGCACGTTCATCTCCGTAGCGCCATCTTTCCTGCACGGCATGTTGATCCTGCTCCTCACGTGACTGAATTCGGCGAATAGCGGCGCTGCGCGTTCGAGGTGCGCGGCGCGCTCGAAGGCAAGGGAACGTACGCCGGGCCACGTGCAACGTCTGTTTTCCAGCACGGCACTTGATCCGGCTCCTCACGTGATTGGATCACGGCGAATAGCGGCACGGCGGCACTTAGAAAACAGACGCGCAACTCTGGCTCCCGTAGGGAGCCTATACAGGAACTCTAGCACTGACGGACACGCAGCGCCATGAGGTGGCCAATTGTTGAAACTGACGTGCCGTGTCAGTTTCAACGACCGGCCACCCCATGGCGCTTCGTGTCCGGCGAATGGGAGCCTGGTCAACGTGCACTAGCCAATGGGACCAAAGCAGTGTAGAAGGTGCCGTGGCCAACCGGCGAATGAAAACTGGCTTGACTTGGAGAAGGATTTAAGAGCCAATTGGAGTGGTTTCAAAGCTGATGACATCGGCTCGCTCCATGAGACAGTTAATGCTTTCGCATTAATAACGGTTATAGCAAAGCGATCACGATTTCCCATTCACATCTGACCTTTTTCAACGTATTTGTGTCTGTTTTCAGCGAAGATAATTGAGCGGCTTTTGCGGATCATTAAAAAAAAAAAATCAAATTCGGAAGGTTGACCAATTTGCAGACGCCACACTTTGTTGCCGCGGCCGAGCAGCCACCCGGAACGGGCCGCAAACGTGCTGCAAGGCCACCCAGCAGCCTCTACATTATCGTCTGTCGGAAAGCTGATACCGTTTTTTTCTGCCACAAACTGCTTTAACCTCTAGAAGGGTGGTGAGCTGGGCTCGTTGGTACGATGACATGTGGAACATAACAGCATGTGTGTGTCTTGCACATTCCTTTCCATTGTCCTTTGTGCACCGTTACGTTCAACATGCTTTAACCTTTCTGGAGGACGAAGAAGCACTTCCAGCATAAAATAAATGGCAACAATGATTTCGAGCAACTAGATGGCCAAAGTGTCACTACCGTATTTACTCGCACAATGAACGCACTCGCGTAATGAACGCACCCCCCAAGTCGGCTCTCAAAATTTTGACTTTTTTTTTTTACTCGCGTAATAAACGCACCCCCAACTCGGACGTCAAAATTTTGACCCCCTCCCCCCATGTGCGCGAAATGAACACACTTTTCTATCCTGGTGCAGCGAGGTCGCGAATGCATGGGCAGCGTGGGCGAACGAAACGCCTTGCGAAAGGCGTTAAAAAAATTCGCAAAGATCCAACGGAAGCAAGAGAAAAAAAACATAAAAAGGAGCTTTTTTTTTTTTCTTTTTTTTTTTTTCACAGAGCAGTCTGGACTTTGGATTCGCGCGCCGCCGCGCGCAAGGAGGTAAGAAAGATAAGCGGAGAGCCCTTGCCTAAGCAAACAAAACAACTTGCAAAAAGCTGGAAAAAAAAAAAAAACAGGGAACTGAAAACAAAAGAAAAAGAGGAGCTTTTCTTCTTTTGCACAGCGCAGTTCGGTTATGGGTTTCGTGCGTCGCGCGCCATCGCGCGCCATCGCGCGCCATCGCGCGCCACGCGCAAGGAGATAAGAAAGATAAGCGGAGAGCCCTTGCCTAAGCAAACAAAACAGCTTGCAAAGGCGGCAAAATAAAAAAAACAAGAAACTAAGAGAAAAAAAAAGTTTTTTTTTTTTTTGCACAGCTTAGTTTGGTTACGGGGTCGGGCGCCGCGCCCAAAGAGATAAGAAGTTACTGCCATCGTTCAGGATAAAAGGACCTTTCATTATGCGAGTAAATAGGACATAGGACGGAAAAATTTTACTTCGCGTAATGAACGCCCCCCCCAACTTTGCATCGATCTTTCGGGAAAAAAAGTGCCTTCAGTTCATTCTGCGAGTAAATACGGTACTCTGAACACAGCTTATTAGGTGCTCTGGTGAGGCTGGCGCTGGTACGTAATCTGGAAGCTCCACTGCTTTGTCTCTTTCCTAGTAGATAATTTTACTGCTGCTGTCTCGGATTGTGTACGAGGAAATATTCCTTGAGAGAAAGCAAATATGCAAAGCCCACCTCTTCCCACAGCCTTCGGGACCGACGACAAGCAGGGGCTCCACGCCCGAAGACAGCCAGGGCAGGATGAGGTCGGCCGACCGCAGCACGTCCACCGTCTCCACCACGGGAGGAGACGGGCCGGCCAGCGCAGACAGACTCACCTCGACCGACTCCTGCAAGGACACATTGAGAAAAGGTTGCACCCAACACCAAAGGTCTTAGGCATGGGTTCTCAAGTTCCACATTATCCCTAGTTTTCCAAGTATTCGAAGAACTCAAATACTTCGAACACCCAAAGTGCAAATCAAATCGAATATCAAGCATTATTCGCAAAGTATACAAAGTTTTGAGTATCTGCACACCCCCGAAGCCTATAAATCATCCTAAAGTTTTCATTTATGCTTTATTGGAGTCGACAGACCTTCAGTTTACCGATATATGTTCACTTTTTTTATTTTAGTGTGTCAGATTGTCTTCATCCTTTCCATAATCTTTGCAAGTGAAGTTTTCAATATAACAAATTAGGTTACATCAAAACCAAGTACATATTTGTAGTCAGATTGTAATTAATGGAAGATAAGCTAAGTAAATATAATTTGAATTGAACGCAAGTCATACGAAAAAGCTTTAGAAGCAGTGTTGGCCCCATTTATAAAGTGAAAATAAGTTTTGGCACAATGTTGGCCCAAATTCCTCACATTTCGGCAAAATGTAGCGGGATGTAGCAGGGTAAGTGCTTTGGCACAGTTTGGCACAAATGATGCAGCATTCGCATCACTGCACTACCGTAAAAGACAACTGAAACAAAAAGTCTGCTCCTTAAGTCATCCCAGAAGGAGAGGCCCCTCAAAAAATAGGGTTCCTAATTAGGGCATGGTTGGACGTTCTCCTTTTCTTAAACCCCAAATTTTCAATGGAAAAAACTAAACTCTGAGAAAACTGCCCCCAAATTTCACGAAATATGAACCCTGAAAAGAGAAAACCCCAGTCTAATAAAAGTCTACTGCCATACAGCCAAAAATTGCCAACCCCATATTTAACGCTACTTACCCGTTCAATACAGGTGGGTTGAGGATTTTGTGTTAGCAGTACTAGTACGACAACAAAACCTACCTGAGGATTGTACCTGTCCAGTCTGTCTCTCTTGCTGTTGTAGCAGGAATCAAATGCATGGTTTGGATCCGGAGCAATCACTCCCATCCAAGAGAAGATCTGAAAAAAAAAAAAAAAATATCCATAGGGCACAAACTTTGTAACTGCAATGTGCTCGAATCGTCAAAGCTTTCCTCAGAGCCAATTTAAAGTTCTGCGCAAGAAACCCACAACGAGTGAGCAATTGAGTATAAAGTAAAGCAGCACCGTACACCATACTTAATAAACAAAACTAACTACACTCATTAAACAAAAGAAAAAAAGCCAGATTTTCGACGTATGTAGTTCATTCGCTGCAGGAAGTAGTCCTTACAAGACTCAGTTGACAGAAAAAATACTGACACTTCCAGCATTTGAAATGCATAATTTATGACAAAATTACAATTATAAGTGAGTTTAAATGCACGAACAAGTAGGACCCTATCTGCTGGGGGAAACGCTACGTTGGCGCCATTTCACACTTTGCTTTGAAATGGTATTGGCAGGCACCAAATTTTCCCGTTTTAGTCAGTGCCCTGAAGGAGTGGTTCCCCCCCCCTACACTAGTAGTTTTGATAAATGCCGTTGGATCCTAAAAAGAAAACAAAAAATATTTGCTGTTTTCTTTAGGTCTGTCGATCCAACCTTTATATGCAGAATTGTGTTCTATGAGGAATGCAGTGGACGCTAAATCGAGTCTCAGCCTTCCAGGGAAGTGACGCCATTTCAGTGTCACCACATCGTCCTTTGTACCATTCCTTTTTGTTTACTTGTTGTTTTTAAACCTTTTGCAGCCTTTTTTTTTTTTTTTTCTTTTTACAGTTTGGTTGGTGAAGTTTGTGGTGCAGGTGCTTGGCAGCCAGCAAACTCCCTTCAACCTCGGCATGCTTCAGTCACATTTTTTAAAGGCTAAATCGGTGTTACTTTCAGTAAGAATGCAATTCTGCATCAAAACCGGCGATTGCTTGTTCGTATACTAAGAGGGCCGTGATATGTACCTTAGTTTACCCGATAAAAAGAGAAATCAGCACTGCTAACTACGGTTCTCTGGACGATTATAGCTGCTACTCACAAACAGTAAAGATACGCACCTCCCGTGCACACTTCTCTCTTGCCATCTTGTTGAGGTTAGCTGCAATTCCTCTTACAAGTGCCAGCGCAAACTGCGTCCTGGACCTGACATCGGCCAGGTACGACAGGCCAGACCTGACCACTCCCAAAATGGTCGTCTCGACGCAGAACTCATTCTGAATGGAAGAAAGACAGGTTGTTCCCAGTGTGAAACTTCCATCACACGTTTCTGGTATGAACACATTATTGCGAGTCATCGGACGTTTCACAGTAATGTGAGGGGCAGTTTGATACTTTAGCCTCATGTTCCAGGAAAAAAAAAGAATAATCATCAGATAGCCCAAAAAACATGCTTTTTGTGTAAAGCTAATAAAATTATAGGGGCTAGAGAAAAACAGTCATTTGCATTAGGTCCCTACTTCAAACTCTTATTTCCAAGTTCCGCCCATTAAATAGCACGGCGAAAAAGCCGAAGCATGCACCTGATCTCGCCAAACCACCATCACACAGTAAAGTCCGTCTGCTATGCCAATAGACATACACGCTACCGCAGCTCTGAAGCCAGCTCTAGACACACCACTGCCATAATATTGTCTGCCAAAGTCAACGCAGCAACTGGCCAAAGCAGGGCGAGCCGTAGCATTGGCGGTGATGACGTCCGACGACGACGAAATAATGGGCCGACCCCGACACAAGAGTCGAGAATTGAATGCATCGCTGAAGGAGTGTAACAAATATATTTATGTAATGCCAAAGTGCGCAATAACCCTGCACCTTGGGGTTTTTTCGCCGAGGACGAAGGTGCAAGCCACGATTTCACGCACGCTCAGAAGCAGATACTTTTGATGAGCTTTTCGATAACGTTCTTAATGTTGGTCCTACGAAGTCCACGGCTGGCCACGACGACAAAAAACGTTTTCTCAAGCGAGTCCGAGAAGCCGTACCCCTCGAAAAAAAAGTGCCGACTGCTTCGAGCACCTCTTGGTCTGGTTGTGGTCTGGTCCTGGTCGCCAAGCAACCATCTTTTGCACCAAAGCAAGATAATGTCAGTGTATATTGTAAAACCTAGACTGGCGACTATTCCCAGATGTGCAGGAAGGTCCAATATGAAAATGTTACAGAGTGCCGGTAAGACGACCGAATTTTGGCGAAGGCCAATGCCATTGCTGGTAATGGGGTGCAGTGTCGATCCAACTCAAAGAGGGCACCGTCCATCTCACAGAGACGCATCGACGAAGTGAAGCGTTCTTTCGTAGAGCCGTCTGTTTTGAACTCCCCGGGCCACCACTGTGCAGAGGATGGAATTGAACGCCCGCTCGACGTCGATGGCGCCCGTGATGCAAGGTTCGCCGGAGGCCTCGTTGCCGACGATATCATTGTGAAGTAAGGCGAGGCTGTCTCGTGTGCTTAGAAGGTTTCTGTAACCGGTTCGGAAGAGATGGAGCTGTTCTTCGACTTTGAGGTGCTGAGGTTCTACTACGTATAGTCCGCAACAAAGGTACCTTCCTCCTTTCCAGCACTGTTGCAGTCCCTCGAAAGTTCGATGGAGAAAATGAAACATATTTTTTCACTCCACATAAATAAAGTATGCATTGCAAAAAGCTCTAACTCTGCTAGCAATGGGGGCAGAAGTTTGAGAATGTGACGTCAGCTGAATCAAAACGTTAAAGGCAACGACAAAACTTATTTATGAGCGGACGTCCACCTAAGCCTAATTTCGTCGCAACAAAAAAAAGAACTCGCAGGGTCTCTTACGTTATCCTTATAAGATGAAGGCGAAAGCCCAAGCATTGATGTAAACATGATAGCGAACCTCCAAAGACAGCGCACCCTCTGATGACACACTTTTTGCGCAGTTTCATGGTACCTCTCGTAAATTTAGCACCTTTCGTGTCGTTGACATGTTTCCATACTTTTCCTGTCGCAGACGTGTTTTCGCTCAAAAACCTTGAAGGTCGACTGAACGATGAGACATATATAAGGCTTTCGCCTTAATAATTTTGTGGGTGCATCTGGCATCTAATTTAGTGAAACAAACTCGTCAGCGAGGAAATAAAAAACAATATTGTCTTTCTTTGTGACAATCCTTAGTGAAATAAATGTCACAGGCACCCGCAATATTCTGTTTTATTTTGACGATACTAGGCCTACCACAAAATAGCGCGGAAGTGCCCACTTCATTCGAGCGCCCACTATTACCATTTCCTAAAATTGGGAATTTTGTAAATGACACACTACAGCCCAATTTGACCGGATAAGCGCCCATGTCTAGTAGATTAACCCAGTTTTCAAGTAAGTAAGGTGGGCACTCCCCGTTATTTTATGGTTGGTGGGCGTCGGCACACAATGAAACTTCTTTCTCTTCTATCTTTCAATCCAGGTAACGTCATGTCCTCAAGCTTTCGCATCCTATCCTTAACGCTAGCATCACATTCAGACAAAGTTTTGACTTTCTGCAATGCACAGTTTATTTCTGCGCACAAAAAAACCGGCTTTCGTTTCCTCGACTTAGCCCGGTAGTTTGAGGCATGATACAAGTTTGCTTTCAGCACCCTTCACCCAGTGAAAAGAGCCCAAGGTGAAAGGGTGCTCACCAACTGCACCACCCACTGGAGGGCTCGGTAGAAGTAGTCGTCGAGGAGACCGGAGAGGACTCTGCGGGCCTCCTCGGTCTGCTCTTGAAGCCAGGAAGAGACCACAGCCGTCACTTCAACATTCTCAGGGCTGCGCAAAAAAACAATGTGAAATTAACTATACATTAGCTGTACAGATAAGAGTTTGGAGGCACGAAGAGTACAGCGAAAGGATGCACATAGTTCTCTCCCGATAATTCAATTAGCATTATTAGTCATAAGCAATTACTAGCAAAACTGATTATATTTCCGCCTGCAAGAACGAACGCTTCTCCGTACTTCTAGAAGATTTCGGGTTACGATAATAAAATTAGAGGGTTTGGGGAACCTGGAAGATTAATAGAACCTTTTCGAAAAGTTCAACGAGCAACATTGGCAGTCGCCATTCCTCGGACACGAAGCGCGAGATTGGGTCCAAGCCTTCGCTGTATGTCGGCACAGCCCTAGTGTCTAATAGACTCTTTCACCCTCCATAGCATGGGCACTGCCATCTCGGAATCACGTGACGCCGCCGCCATTAGGGGACTTCAACTCGTCGCTCGTCCCTCCGCTCTCCTGTCCGCGCCTCGGCGAAGCCATTGTGTTCATGTTTCTCATCGTGTTTTATCGCGTTTATTGCCTTACTCTCTAAAGCATCGCCTGATCATCTCCGATGCTTATATTTGCTGCTTAACTGCATTCCATTATTATTTGCGTAACTTGCGCAGTTAAGCTTACGACATGTTTTCACTATTTTTGGGCCGGATACACGCGAGGTGTTTACAGGGGGCACGTGAGTCAGTACTGACACAGATTGAGTATGTAGGTGACTCTAGGACAGCACAAAGGTTCAAAGGCCAAGTATTTATGACAAGTTGTGATTGCCTGAAGCTGAGCAGGTTGGTTATTCATGCTTGTGAGATATGCCAGCTGAACGAAACAAGAAATATACAAGATGGAAGAAGACAGACAAGGAACATACCAGTGGAGTGCATGTGTATGTTCCTTGTGTGTCTCTCTCTGTCTCGTATATTTCTTCTTTCGTTCAGCTGGCATATCTCACAAGTATTTATGACAACTTAGGTTTGCTCTAGAATGACCATTGTATGAAGCCACTATGTGTGCTTTCTGAAAGCATCGTGTTTTGCTTTCTTTAAGGGGCCCTAAAGTGCTTTTCAAGATCTTCGTTTTATTATCATAATTTACACTACGAGCTCTAAACATCCTAAAAAAAAACCTTAATTCTTTCATGCGTGGCCGATTTGCACAATAAAAAAATTATCAAAGTTCTCGACACTTACCTTTGGTGCAGAACGACAGATGGACCTAGAGAACCTTACTGAATATGGCCGAACGACGGACTGCGCCTGTCGGCCACTCTCACGAGCGATGGGCTCCTGCGTGGACGAGCGGTCGACCAGTGCCATTCGTCCACACGGGAACCCATCGCTCTCGAGTGGCTGACAGGCGCCGTCCGCCAATTGACCATATTCAGCAAGGTTCTGTAGCACCATATGTCGTTCTGCGTCAAGAGTAAGTGTCGGGAACTTTGACAACTTTTTAATATGCAAATCGGCAAATAGGATGCTTTGAGATCGAGCTATGACCATACGACAAGGATCTCAAAAAACACTTTAGTGCCTTTTTAACAAATCGAAAACGGTTGCTTCTGATTATAGGTAGGATATATAAGGTAGGCGACGAATGTATAACTCGTATTTTATCTGATGCTCGGAATAATGGTAACCTCAACGTCGCGTGATTTGTACATTCTTAATATCGTCGCGGATGAAAACGTATCGACCAGCGTAGAACTGAAAATAAAGGTTTACTTGGCAAACTTGCGCCAGAAACGACAAAAAAAAAGGATGACCGTCAAGACAGCAGCAGCGAAAGTCGCGTCATCGGTGTGACAGCTGGCCGGAGCGAGACTGCAAAAATGAGTCTGCCTCATTGTTGGATGAGTGAGTAGGCAAGGCCAAGCTCGGCTCCTTATCTAATTCACCCAGTATCTCGAATATTCGACCTCAAATGTTCGAGAGTGGGCTAGGATGAGACTGACTCGGCAAGGTCACGTTGGCCCGCTTATCTTTTACACTCGGGTTTGAGTAAGCTCGAATCTTTTTGAAGTACAAAAAGTGTTCCTTCTCGGTCATGCATGCAACAATATTACGCTTAAACGCGTCGGATGGATCGGTTTATTTATAAATTTAAAGCAACTTCACCCACTGCTTGGTCACGTGTCTACAATCATTTGGGTGCTTCAAATATTTTCTTCTGATATCACAATTTATTGAAAGGAATTCCTTCAAGAACAAAAGTTGAGACTTCCCGAGTGCAAAAGACTGTCACGGACCATGCAACGCCAAACAAAAGCCGTCAGTGCAACGTTGTTGTCCATGCCGAATCGGGATTTCCTTTCAGTGGCCGGTGATGCCCAAATGTACAAAGCGCATCGGTCCAAGTAAATAAAGATTTGTCTACACTAGCCCATGAGGTGATGCCTGGTGCCATAAGCGAAGGTATTTATAACGAATGATTTATTTCCTATTTGGCAAGCATCGTAAAATGCTTTTAAGGAATACTTTACGAGGGCCAATAGAATCAGAATGGACTATCGAAATATTTCTCGAGCACTCAATACACGAGCCGAGATGGTTTTGCTGAATTTTGTTGAATTCTGTTTTTCTATCTTCAGTTCAGCTTCTCAATTCTTTTATTTTAATGTAGGCAAATGTCACTGTTGGGTATTGCTTTGTTGGAGGTTTTGTTGTTTTCATGATGGAAGTACCTCGTATTATTGTATAACTTCTGGTTTTTTTTTTTTTTTCCTTCTCGACACTGTTTTGTATTTTGAGGGGCTGAAGAGCAGTCAAGCTACTTCGATCCCAGCACACTTACATGGTAAATAAAGTCTATTATCATGAAGCGAAGGAGAAGCCCCCCCCACCTGAGGAATATCATCCCCATGCGGGATATGGTGGCCGGGGAGGCACATCCGAGGTCGTGTGTCTCGAACAGGAAGTTGACGTCGGGCCCAAACTGGATGCGTTCCCCGGACGGCATGGTGAGCAGGTGGTTGTCGTCCAGCACCGAGTTGAGCGACTCAATCCACTCGGGGTCAATGTCTCCGTCACAGATGATCCACGAACGGACACCTGAAACGGGCTCTACACGTGAGCACCATATTTACCTTGTGAAACTCCTACGAGCGATTCCGAAACATGGTTCTAATTCGCAGCCCATGTCTCGAAATACTAGGTTTTTTTTAGGGCGACAGCTTTGCCGGTGACACTTTGCAGGAATTTCGGTGTCGGTGTTTGTTGTCTGTCGTCGCAGCAGAGGTGAAAAAACCCTTCTTCTCTGCCCTCTGGTGTTCTCATTGGCTGCGCAAAGAGGGAAGAGACCCCCACAACTTGCCGACGACGGCGCAACAACGAGGAAGTGTTGTCTGCTAAAAATAACATCAAGTCTTCAAACATTACTCGCATTATAATATGAAATCCCACTTTGGCAGTATTTACAAATACTTTGGAGATCAATACTGGAAACTTTTGTGGCAAGCGGGCGAAAACTGAAAACCCTCACATGCACACATATTCGTTTCGAAAGAAATGCTATCGCATTTAAAGATACAGAAACTAGCATCCTGGGAGGTTCTAGTTTCTGTTATGTCTTTGGAGAACAATACACACTTCATTCGCACTGTGTTTCGCCTTGCTGGGAAAAATTAGATGCTCCTCGCATGTGATGTGTACAAGACAGTTGCCTTGCATGTCAGCTGCTTTGGCAATAGCCGCAACTGGAGCGCCGGCTCTTCCCAATCACACTTTTAACGTTTCTCAGAAATTGAATTTAGACGATAACAGCTCATTAAGCTATGGAGAAGCTCTGTAAGGTACTGCCGGTTCAAAGTCTGAGATTGCCGAAATGTTGTGGAAGCACACCTGCCAAAATGAAATCGAATGGAAGAAAGGTGACAACTTTTTGCCCTCAAAATTATTATTCAATGCTTTTAACTTGGACAGCTTGCAAGCACTGTATGTGTATGTGTTCCCATTATATATTCAAAAAAGCCTTCACACCAACTTCTTTTTTACTAATTCTTTAAACAAAAACTCGACCACTGACACATTATTAAAATTAATTGATGCAGCTTTGTTTATTCGATTAAATGCGATAAAATGCAGTACGTTTACCAAGAACAATGTTAGTGAAAACAATTAAGAAAGGAAATGGTACGGTGATGAAATGGTTGTAATATGCCGTACACACATCGAGGACGACATCAAGAATGACTTCTAGGACGACCTCTAGGATGACCTCAAGGACAATGTATAGGATGACAAGAGCAACTTCTAGGACGACCGCAAGGACAACATCTAGGAAGACGTCTAGGGCGGGGTCAAGGATGGCATCTAGGCCGACGTCAAGGATGACCTTTAGGTCAACCTCAAGGACAACGTCGAGGATGATGTCCTAGAGATGAAGTCAAGAACGACATCCTTGAGGACGACAACCAGAACGACGTCTAGGATCCCTAGGATGACCAAAAAGACAATGTCGAGGATGGCAACAAGAGCGTCTAGGATGACCTTTAGAATGACCTCTAGGACGACCTCTAGGACTACGTCGAGGACGCCGTCAGGTCACATCAGTTTCACCTACCGGGGCTTACAAGATTATGCGACCAGCACTTACGCGAACGGAGCTTACGCAAACGGCGCTTACGAGCTCACGCGACTGGAGCTTATGCTTCAGCCACGGGCGTTACGTGACCTTGATTGTGACCTTGAGCGTGGTTGGGCTATCAAGCTACCGCTTTAGAGGACATATGCAAAGGAAAAAACATTCTTTTTAAACAGCCTGGATGGGAAAAGAATGTCATAAAATTAATTTACAACAAACAAAAATATTTTTTAGAGCTATATTTACGTCGCAAAACAAATCTGTAGTTGGCGCCGCAGGAGCCGTCACTAGTCACGTGATAGACCTGTGCGCCGCCGCCGCCGCAAGTTACGCTCTGAACCAGAAACAAAAAAATGCACACGCAGAAAAAAGTCTGCTGGACCGTATACACAATCACACTCATCCTTGTTCTGGTCGCTCCACATAAACAAACACCTCTGGTTGCACGATTACATAAATTAATCCGTCACACTTACCGTAATATCCCGAGTCATCGCCCATCCCCGAGCCATCGCCCACCCCATTTTTTGGGCCAATATCGATTTCCGAAAAAACACCGAGTCATCGCCCACCCCTTCAAATACCCCAGCGCGGACTCTGCGATCCGCGAACACTCATCCTACCCGAATGACGCGGTCGCGGACCTTACAGTTGGAGGACGTCCGTGACAAAGTAAAACGAAGGAGGGAAAGACACTTCTTTTTGTTTACGCATTTCCTCCGTGAGCAACCCCAAAGTGGTCGTGTATCCGTGCGAAAAGAAAACGATGGAGATAACAAAATAAGAGTTTGTTAACGTAACCGCGGAGTGTTAGGTCAAAGTCTGTCTCCGCCGAAGGTCACCGCGAACCAGCTCCTTCTTCCCGCCCGTCGCGACCGCGGTTGTGCAATATTTTAGGCAAAGCCAAAGCGTAAATAAAGCTTTGCTGGAACGTCCTACACAGACGTTTGCAGAGCGTCCCAACCGTGCATTGATAGCCCGCCCTGGACGGACGCACGTATGTACGCACCAAACAAGTTGCGCAAGAGCTTGCAATTGACAAGGCGCCCGACTTGGCCCGACGCCAAAGTATTTGCCAACGCGACCGCCGGCTTTCCCGCTTTCCCAGCATTGCTCTTGGTCGCTTCTTTGGCCCGCTCGCTCGCTTGCTCGCTCGCTCGTTGCGCCTGGTCGGTTTTTCTATTTTCTTGTAGACTTTTCTTTCTTTCTTTTTTTTACTAACTAGGAGAACATAATATTGACATTCTTTCACGGAACAAACGTTCGCGCTATATGCAGATCGGCGGTGTTTCTAGCGCGTATGCAAGCAACGGACTTCGCTATAGTAAAATATTCTTTCGTGAGCATTTTTTCTATAAAACAATGAAACTAAATCGAGTTTTGAGTTTGATGTATCTCTTGTGCATCAGCGCTAGATACGCAGAGAAAAATAGGCGGTTTTTCCCGCTTTTTTTTCAAGTGTTTGTGCTCACCCACCGAGACATGGCCCACCCCACTTTTTTAACGAATTTCAGGCGGTAGGGGGGTGGGCGATGACTCGGGATATTACGGTACATGAGGACTATGACATCATTTACTTTAAAAAGACACAGTGAAATTAAAGAGAACTGCATCGCTGCAGCAAAAACAAAGCCAAAGACAACACTAAAATACATATAAAAAAAAATAAAACATGGGTGACTTACCCGAGCCAAGAGAAAGTGCATGTTTAATGCTTCATGATGCAAGCTTCGAAGTGCCAGTGCGCAGAAAAGCGTGCGGTGCACTGTCAGAGGAAGTTACCGAGAGGCTCCTTGATGACTTGGCGTGCGCTCGCCGTCAGCACGCCGTCATGCCACTCCCGCGTGTCGACGTCGATGTGGCCAAGGAGCTGAGAAGAAGCAACAGTCTTGGCTGACAGTTTGACCACAACTAGAAGTCTTTCAAGTATTTGGTTGCAGGTGCCCACTGAGTGAGATCCTGACAAATACTCAAAAAGAAGATGCAGACCTAACTATCAGGTGTAAAATGCCAACACAATGCATTCTCAAACTAGGCTCCTAGGGACAGAGGGTTTCTCCAGAGCCCTAAGTAAAGTGTTTTTCCAGTTTAAGCATAACTATAGCCAGCAGGCATTCCCTAGTATGTGCATTATTGTTTACAATGTCTGTAGGCTTGTGTACAACTTGACTGTACCAATGCCGAGGCTTTTGATCAAGAACGACATGCATTCCTCAAGATATAAAAGATTTGAGGACCCCTGGTCTATACAAAGGATGGCCAGATTGCTAACTGGATGCTGATAAAGCCTGTCACTAATGCGCTCTCTAAAGTGCACGTTTGCAATGTCCAAAGAACGAGGCAACTCTGAAGTGTGGTTAAGCCGAGTGCTCCACGAGGTATGTGCAGTACAGAGAGCAACCATAAAACCACGGTGCTATGAACTTGACATTGGCATGAGGAGACACAACCTGGGCTTCGAGTGACCACTAGTAAAAATAAACGATCATCCCTTTCTCGCGCCATCGTACCAGAGGCAGTGATGACTCGGAACATGTTTTGTGTTGCTCTGCGGTGACATATTGCACAGATGAGGTCATTACGCACTTTGAGCCTCAAATATGAAAACATCATTGCAAGTGGCATTTCTGAAAGAAAGCTTTGTCAAGGCCAATGCTCGCGTGGAACGCGAAATCCACAACCCAGCTTTGACCTTGCCATTTCCCGTTTCCTTCGGAGTGCGTGCCTGTTCTCTTCCCCTTCGCCTCCTACACTCTCCCACTCTATGTACAAGCATGCCTGCTCAACAACTTCTAGACAATGCTGTAGAGCTAGATTGTCACAATACCTCAAAGGCAGATTAAGCACACACTGTCTAAGCGCAAACAGCAACCTTGGTGTAGTTTCTTGGACTTTTTTTTACGTCACCTTCTGAAATCCCGGACGACCACTGATGCAGCGCTTGTGCGACGCTTTTCCGTTACAAGAGCGCATTAATTGAAACTGCTAGGGGCCAGCCGTATAATGAATAACATGTAAAAAAATTGTAGAGCCCTTCCAACTTACGTGAAGATGAAGGACCAGCAAAGCTGTTATTTTTTCGACGTCTAGGACGATGCCTAGAGGACGACGTCTAGGACAACATTGAGGGCAACTTCCAGGACGACTTCAAGGACGACGCCTAGAGGACGTCTAGGACGACCTCAAGGACGACTTCTAAGATGACTTTGAGGACAATGCCTAGAGGACAATGTCTAGGATGACCTCAAGGACGGCTTGAAGGATGACCTCACAACTTCTAGAACGACCTCAAGGACAACACGTAGGATGACCTCTCGGACGACCTCAAGGATGACTTCTAGGACAACCTCGAGGACGACGTCTAGGACGACCTCAAGAACAACTTCTAGGATGACCTCGAGGACAACCTCGAGGACGACTTCTAGGACGACCTCAAGGACAACTTCTAGGACGACCTCGAGGACGATGCCTCGAGATGATAGCAGAAGATCAGGACCTCACTACCTAATAAAGTCAAGGAAAGCTGACTCACGCTGGTTGCCCCCTCTTTTTATTTTTATTTATTCATACTTGCCACGACCAATGGGGAGTTTCCTGTCAACACCCGCAGACACATTTTTTCCCAGATCCTAGCACATAACAGCTTCGCTGTAAAAATGAAACATCTTTTCATGTTATGCCAGTTTAGACGAATTCCTTGCAGGGAACGACAATATTCGTAAAAAAATGAATCAGTGGTGCTTGGGCTGGGGACACGCGGGTGCACGTCTTGGTTGGTGCAAGCCGCATGGACCGACCCGCTCGACCCACCTGCTGCCTGGGCATGGCCTTGGGGTTCAAGGTGTGTGTATGGACGACCTCGCCGGCGTGCCTGAGGGCGTGCAGCAGGAGCCTGCACAGGGTGGTCTTCCCCGAGCCGCTGGGTCCCACCAGCACCACCCCCATCCTCTGGCTGAGTTGTTCCTTCAGCTCAAGTACCTTGTGCACCTGGGCAGCAGGGGACATTGGATGACATCCCATAACAGGAATCTTCCAACTTTCACATAAAGCTATGCTGTGACCATCACATTACACCGTGACATCATGCAACACCACGTGACAGTGTGATGTTATGTCGCATCATGATCTCGTATCACAATGCCGTGTGACTTCATGACGTCATATCGCATCATGACCTCACATGACTTTGTGATCTTTTGTCACATCATGATGCAGGGGCAGATTTATGAGTCAGGCTTGGGTAGGGGGGCAGTAGGCATTTGGCTGGCAGGTTGGGGGCGGGGGTCTGTTGAGATACGACCATCAGCACTACCTATGAACAATAAAATCAGTATCATCAGCACCACCAGAGCTTCGCCCCAATCAACATCATTCACCCATGGAAATGCGGTCATTTTTTCATTAAAACAAAAGCTGACCTCAGGTTATAGTTACTCTCTCCATGCCCGCTGGGTTACCCGAAACCCAAGAGACGTGGAAACCGCAAAAAAGGTAGATGTTTAAATAGGATTGCAGGGCCCCTTCAACTTGGACCGGCTGCCAAGGAATGCAATGCTGCTCAAAAACCCGGACTCCCTGTCATTGTTTGGCCCGAAATTTCAGGTTGCTGTGCCATGCGATGTCACACATACATGTAGCATCTGCCCAGGTCATTTGCGATGCATTCGTTGTATCTGGGAGTTCATCAAATACAATCGAGACATGCTTACATTTTTTTATCTCTCTTGACTAACAACTGAGGAACCCTCCCCGGTCTCGGCATTAAAGCAATAAAGCAGCGCAGAAGCCCAAGGGCCTTGTGAATCATAACGAACATACTAGGAAGTGTCTGGTGCATAATTTGCATTGCTAGATAGCTCAGATTGTTACAAAAATGATGCTTAAAGGGACACTAACACTCCCCCAAAAATGTTTTTTAGTCTATCGCCAGGCGATTCGACATGGTGTCAGGAGACTCGCAATAAATATTTTGCTACAGTGTCACATATTTTTAATAAAGAAAAAAAATGCAACTACTCCAAATCGAAACTGGACTAGGGAGGAAGAAGAAATATAGAGGAAGAGAAATTTATTGTAAGTCACGTGTCTGTGCAACTTTGTTTTTCAATATTTTTTTTTAGAAGTTACAAAAATGGGCATCATATTTTCTGTCAACTTTTAGTATTGAGCATGTGCCTTTAATGACCCATGACTGATTATATTTGGTGGTTGTATCTAAACCATAGGAAATGGCACGTGATCACGGAAAAGAGAGTGAGCATGACTCAAACCGGCCAGTTCTTGATGGGCAGTTTTTAGGCCGAAAGAAACCGAATTTCGAGCCGCAAATTGTGAATTGTGTTCTGGGTAGTTGGGCTCTTAAGTGTCATGTACAAACAAAAACCTCGGTGAGTATAAACACCCTCTCGGTGTCCCTTGAAACTAGAAGAGCATATCACTTAAGTGCCGGGCTCGCCGACAAAAATTTGGAGCTCGGGAAAACCCCCTGAGGGTGCTAGCCCTCAGTTCCCAGGAACCGTTCGAGAACTCTATCCTGTTCTGACATTGTATAAAAGTGCACACTGCTCGTTCAGGGTGTCTAGCAAATTATTATTTTGAAAATCCCCTGACTTTTCCAGGTTTCCCCTGACAATTTCAGGTGAATTTCCCTCACCACTGTACAGGCGGTTAAATATATAAGACCGTTACAACACGAGGCATTGAGCACTGTGGGGATCATTTTTCACGAGCATAACCCAACTTGCACATTCCAAAATATTCGGGTTCATCCAGTCCGGATGAAACGAGCAGTTTCTTGCCGCCGACATCGTCAGCGAAGAGGCCACTTCTGGAAATACCATGAAAACACGACGCTCAACCACACACGTCAATAACCGAATGGCAGTATGACCGCATGGCCGCTAGATGCACACTTTCGGCTTAAGGTTTGGATTAAATTGGAGTCTGCGGCTTTCCATTTGTTACTAAGTCTATTAGCTCTAACTGGATCTAGACCAGTGTCACGCCCTTAATTCAATCCAATCCAATCCAAGGCTTGGACTAGATTTGTCGGATGCTCCCTTTGCATAGGGCAACACATTCTACATCGGGTGAGCAGAGCCTGCACTCCGCTCTAAGCAGAATTTATTGCCTATTCTTCTGTCCTCAAGTCTTTGCTCAGGGCACTCGATGGTGTTCCCGGCTCATTTTCCCTGACAGGGCTCACTTTCTGACGATATCCCTGACAATTCCCTGAATTTTCCCGGTAATAAAAATTTCCCTGACAATTCCCGGTTTTCCCGGTTGCTAGACACCTTGTCAATTGTCTGGATGACGTGTTTTTCTTATTTTACTACCACCTCGTGTTGTTTACCTCGTAGGGGCACTGAGGGCTCACAAAGCTGCATAGAAGTGGCTTTCTTTTCTCGGTCTCTACCGTCATTGATGTTTGCACTGCTGTGCATGTTTTTATTTTATTATTTTTGTGTGTTGCATATATGATGTACTTATCCCCCCCTTATGTAATGTCCTTCCCAGAAGGAGCTTTAAGGTATTTCAATAAATAAATAAATAAATTGATGATAAAAATAAACGGTGTTACGCTTGAATGTGAACATTGAACAAAAATCTATCCGGTTGAGGGGCAGAACAATTAGAAAGGATGTTCGGCCAAGCCCTAACTAGGAGCCCAATGTTCAGAAACTTACTTAATCTCTTCCTTAGGGGTGACCATGGCGATAGCCGTCGAGGAGTACATGATATCATGTGACATCATGTGTCACTGACATGTGCTATTCTGTGACACTGACATCATGTGACCAGACGTCGCACCACGTGGTCATGTCATGTAACATCGGGCAGCACGACGACGTCACGGAAAAACTATAAATGCTACTTGTTTAAAGTACCTTTGGGATATAGCAAATAGACAGGCAGTTTTCAGAGAGATCTTAAATGCGATAGCATTTCTTTCGGCGGCCCATGTAGGAAAATTTGGATTCGTAACAAGAAATACATGCGCGGGTAAATGATAAATGCATAAATTGAGAAAAAAACAATTCCAAACTTTCCCACCTCCCCAGGGGAGTCAGGCCCATGACCCCAAGGTTGCGAGCCCGACACTCAACCACTGCGCCAAGGCAGAGTTGTGAAGCGGTGGCTACTAAATGAAGTAACATTTCTTTCACGCCGATCAGCACCACGGAACGTGCAAGCAGCGCAAGTGGGTAGCTTCGGGTTTCGCTCTCCCTGGACAAGGGCTTGTGCAGCCGACGCACAATTTAACGCAAGGAGCACAAGCTCGTGTCTCCACGGATTCCCTCAGCTTCCAACAGAGGGCGCAATTTCGAAAAGGGTCTACTACGATAAAAGTCGTATGCTCGCTGATCTTCACAATGTCTCGCAAGAGAAAGGAGGGGACCGGAGAGGACATCACTGAACAGAAGTAGCGGCCCACTAAGTCTCGCGATGCGTTCGTCATGCCATTGAGATGTCGGAAAAGAAAGAAGGGCATTAGGCTAGGGACAGGGAAGCGAGGTAGGCTCGTTCTGCTACGACCGAGAACCGAGACGCAACCAGGCTTGCCCCCGTTCATTCGGCGGAACGTGGCTTTCGTAAAAAAAAACGTCAATGTAGCCTGCAGCCAATTTTTCTTCGGCCCATCGTCGAGACGGCAAAGCCGCGTCGAACGACAGAGAGGCTTGCCTGCATGTCGTTTGGAACCAGCCCGAGCTCCTTGTAGGCCTCTCCAATGGCGGCCACCGTGTCGGCGTCCCGAAACTCCCGCAGCTGGACGTCCGGGAAGACGTCTCGGACGAGGGCGTCGAACTGCTGGCAGTCCCCGAAGGCCAGCTTGGGAAGGGTGTTGAGACGCACCGCCTGCACCACCAGGCCGCTCTCCCAATACTCCCTGTCCAACTCTGAGCGGGGTACGAGAAACCGGAACAAATTACACACGCCGACGACCGAGGTACGGTGGCTGGAACGCGTCTTTGACGGGTGTGTTCGGCATATCCTATCCCAACAAGCATACGTCAAACATGGCCCCGAGGTGGCAACAGATGATGTCGCGGAAGCCAGAGTGCCCCGCTGTCGGATGGCACGATTTTAGCGCTTGGCGCCGGAACTCCCGGCAAAAAGCACGAGCAAGTGCAAGCGTTGACGTCGTAGCGGGTTCTTAGCTACCAGCTGCCGGAGCTTCCGTGGATCGCCGAGCTGGAGAGCAACCTGTGGTGGAACAGGCGTCTGCTACGCGAATCGTCGCTGCTGCGACGCCGCTGGGGTCGTGGCCGGCGACAGCGCAACGCTTCCACGAGGTCGTGAAGGGGAAATTGAGGGACCTCTTTTTGGGTGGCGGTAGACGCGCCAATCGGAGACACGTCTCAGGCGCCGCGGCTGAGGCGCCGCTAAGCACGCGACGCCCAGAGATGTTACGACTTTCTCACTAAATTTAGCGGAGAAACGCTTCCCACTACATTTAGAAGAAAAATTGATTGGCTAAATTTAGCAGACAAATACGGTACACGTCGGTGAAACGAATGCCAGGGTACCGCTACTTATGCTTGCAAGCAATAACATAGCACTTTTGTTTCACATTTTGGTAGAATTTTCCCCGACGTCGCTTGTGCAGATTTACTCCCAAGTAGCGGTCAAAGATGTTTTCACATTCAGACCCACGTGCAAGATGAGGTTCTTTCAAGAAGCCACATTTGGCCAATGAGGGTCGGACGTGAACTGTTTATATTTACCATACTGTCTGGTCGACATTACAACAGCACTTGCGCAGTAAATTCACGGGGCACATTGACAGTTTCTAAAGTACTTATCGTAGCAATAAGCGTCTAAGAATCCAAATGTCCGATAAATAAGACGCTAGAAACAAGTTTCATTGAACCTCACAGTTAGTGGGCCTGACAAAAAGCATAAAATGCTACGAGTATTAGATAAAAATATATTGTAGTTTTCTTTGTTCAAAAGCTGCTTCTACATTATGTAGCTTTCTTCGTTGGCTCCCTCTAAAACGTAAAGTCAATAAAATTAATGGTATCTAACTGAAATTGACAAGGCCAAAATAAAGTAGAACACAGAGTTATTTCAAATTACCAGCTCTCGTCAGAGCCCAAGCCATAAACTCAAGTGCAGCTTTATCAAAAGGAAAAAAAAAAAAGAGTTGCCAACCGAGAGGAGCAGAATCCCTGGCACTTTTCAGCAGCCTCCCACAGGCTTGCAGGACACTCTTGAGAGCTCTCAGCCCCCAGTCATAGTGCTGCTGCGGCATCAGCAGTTCCCTGCAAAAACAAACACAAAACTATACTAATTAAGAGGAATGTTTGGATTTAGGACATGGTAAAGTATATACAGTGATGTGATTGGCCTAAGCCATTTTGGAGCACCTTTCGGAGCAGCCAAAACAGTGTTTTGGAGCAGCAAAAGTGGCCTCTTGAGCAGCCAAAACAGTGTTTTGGAGCAGCAAAAGTTACTTTTGGAGCAGCCAAAACAGTGTTTCGGAGCAGCAAAAGCGACTTTTGGAGCACAAATTCTTAAAAAAACTAAAAATATTTGTTTCAAGTGCTAGGGCACTTTTTGTTGTGTTGTGACGGAACTTGCTGCTCGTGTTTTTACTGCTGAGACATCCCAGAAGTGTACAGTGCTGTAGGCGTGGCCGAGGAATTCCGAAAAACCGCTCGCCACCGTCTTACTGGTTCCTGACGTGCCAGATTTTCGTCAAAAGTAAGCAAGCGTAAAACAATAGATTGCAAGCGCCCCGGCTGGTGCCTCAGTCACGCAATCATGTTCGCATGCACGTGAGGGCAACTTCGGCAGACTTGCAGTTGCGTGTGCTTCGTATACGAGTGTAGACAACTGCTGTTTGATCGAAACCGAAGCCATGCCCCTCAGCTCCGTCGCCAACTGGTTCCCCCTCAGCTCCGTCGCCAACTGGTTCCCAAACTTTTATGCAAAATGCAACTGTCCAGCATATGACAGAAAAACAGTCCAGCGACATGTGCTTGCCAGGCTGGCAGGCGAGGTACAATCTAAACACACAGAAAAAAAGAACCTGAGTGCATCGATGCAAGACATCACGAGCCAGAATCAAAAAGTTCTTGGAGCGCTTTGTGCAACAACTGAACTCGAGCGAAATAAGCGTCCTGTGCGGGTTCAGTGTGCAGACATTGCCTTCCTTGGTTTAGCTCACTTCTCTTCAACTTTCTTTCGCGGCAGTATTTTCATGTACTCCCTCTCGAAAGAAAGCCCACTGAGAGAAACTTATAGGTAATCAATACTTCGACACAAGTGTCTTTAGTTAAAAAGAGATTTTTGTAATAACGTATGATCTAAACAAGAACAGGAATGTTGATGAACATGCGGCGGTACTTACGTTAGTTTAGAAAGCGCCATATCTACAGCGATGTGGGGCAGCTACGCCCGACGTCGCGTGACCATGATCTCATGAAGGCAGGGACCAAATATAGTTTTCCCACAGCCGTTGCTTTCAGGAGCGAGTGCTTCAGCTCATAAAGTAACCTCCGCCGCGCAAAAACGTGGTTTCGTTTCACAGCATGACGGCATGGCCTGTACCTGGCACGTTAGCGTCGAAGAGTCCGCACACACCCGCGTTTATCGTTAAAAAAAAAATTAAAAAGGCGCGAGACGAGATTTACGAGGCGACGAGAGCACAAAAAGCGAGACTGAGTTAAGAACCATGCGAAACCAGGGGCCCTAATCTGGACTCTTGGCGGAAAAGTCGGCGAGAAATTCGGCGGCTATGATTGGCCGGCGCCAAGGTCAAGTGTGGTGTTGGCCAATCGCGGCCGCCAGATTTCTCGCCGTCGTTTTCGCCAAGCGTCCAGCTTAGGGCCCCAGGTGGACGATTGATGCAGGGTACTGTGTGTCGGGCGGCAGCTTGCGTCACCTACCTCACGCATGCTCAATTACGATGCTCCGTTCAGTTTCGGTATTGAAAGGTGACCGAAATTGGTCCATTGGCGCAGGCTTGGCGCGGATTACCCATATTTTGGCAAAATGTAGCATGTAGCAGGGTTAGCCCCTTGGCGCAGTTTGGCGCAATTGGCGCAGCAATCACATCACTGCATATACTGTTACTGTCTGTATACAGTGATCATATCTACCATATCTTTATTGTTATGCTGTTGAACTGAGAGAAGGCAGAGGCTGTCAGGCACCATGCCTTTCTTCTGCCCCGTCTGCCCCTCTCTGGATGACGTCCACAAAACAAATAGATCAATTTTAGAAGTCAACTAAAACCAGCAATTTCATGTGAGTGACAGGATCAATTCTAATGCAATTAAACCACAAAAATTAAAAATTTAAGAAAAAAAATGAAAGCCGTTTACAACTCACTGTAATGACGAATTAGAGCGCAGCTCTTGAGGAGGAGGAGGGAAGGGTACTGAGGGGAGGGTATACCCATTCTCCTTCCTCTTCACCTCGTCATCCTGCCTGCTAGTCCTCGCTCTGAGCGGCGTCGGCACTGGCGTCGCCGTCGGTGTGACCGTGAGATCACATGACCCTCGTGACCTCGCGTGACGACACCGGGGTCACGTGACCTCACGGGAGTCATGCGACCTCACGGGAGTCACGCGACCTCAGGGGGTAACGTGACCTTACGGGGCTTAATGGACGTCACCGGGGTCACGTGACGTCACCGGGGTCATGTGACCTCACGGGGATCACATGACGTCACCGAGGTCACGTGACCTCACAGGAGTCACGTGACGTCGCAGGGGTCTTGTGACCTCACAGGGGTCATTGGCATCATCATCAGTGACATCATCGTGATGACATCATCATCACCGTCACTGAGGACGTCATCAGTGATGTCACACGTCCCATAATGCACCGTGCGGTTCCGCCGACGGCGACGCCGCTCAAGCCGGGAATGGGCGCCTAAGAGCTGTGCAGTAAAACACTTTCATCCTTTCCACTCTGGTGAAGAAGGGGGACCAGCAAAGCTGTACTATGGTGGGACGACCTCTAGGACGACTTCTTGGACGACCTCAAGGACGCCGCCTAGAGGGCGACCTCAAGGACAACTTCTAGGACAACCTTGAGGACAACATCTAGGACGACCTCGAGGACAACATTTAGGACGTCTAGGACGACCTCAAGGATCACTTCTAGGACGACCTCAAGGACGACGTCTAGGATGACCTCAAGGACAACTTTTAGGATGACACCTGGAGGACGACCTCGGGGATGACGTCTAGGACGACCTCTCGGACGACGATACCTAAAGAAATTAAGCCTTTCCACTCTGGTGAAAGCCATAGTGGAAAGGCTGGAAAGGTCGCCGCCATCTATAAGCGACGGTGGCAACCAGACAACCGGCAAGCCAGTTGTCTGGTTGCTGCCATCGCTCATAGATGGTGGTAGCTGTCCGGAGTTTTGTGTCGACATTTGTTTGCCCGCGGTCACAATACTGGGGAAACTAGCCCTCAACAGCTCCGCTGTAATTATTTGTCTGCCAACTTACACTAAAGTTTCCAGCAGGAAATTATTTTCTACCCTGGTCAAGCAAAAACTTAAGGAAAAAGAGAAGTAAAGCTACAGTGTGGAAATTTTCTTGTTCAATTCACATCCCTGTTTGTTTTTGTTAAATTATACACATTTATGTTTATAGTTATTTGGGAACACTGGATAAATCTGCTATAATTATCATTACACCCACACCCTGATATGCACCTAAGGGAAAATAAATGGTGATGATGATCTTAATGATGATCTATGGTCTTAACAATGCTGCATTCTCCACATAAAGACAACAAAAAGGCAGGTGCAAACTACATTCGGTGGGACCGGATGGATGAATAGACACAGGAGACTGACATATGTGTAAAGAGACCTTTCTCGCTTGCGTCGCTTCGGTCGCAGAATTTTCATCCTGCTTCGCAGGGGTAGTGTAAAGGGGCTGAAAATTTAAGGAAAATAAATGGCGTCCACGTGTCGCACAGCCATCTGCCCGCACCTAGTGAGCCTAGACTTGAGAGGGAGCATATGAAGAGCATTTGCAAGTTAATGATGGACGCCGCCTGGGCGCATTGGTCCCTAGTGCGTGTGCGTTGCGCTGTCACCTGGAGAGGAGAAAAGCAGATGGAAAGGCAACTGACGACCGACGCTTCCGTTCTCTTCCCCCCACTGCAGCTTGTATTGCAGAGGCGGGCCATAAATCACGTGACGTGAATCAAACAGTTGGAAACACTCTGTAATCTATACTTCGCTTCATCTTAAAACCAACCGCAGAGGATGCTACGACCCATCGGAGCCAATCCAAGGCCATGTGAGTGTTACGTAACCTCGGAGAGGGGGCGCAGTGACGGGCAGAGCTTTCCGTTCATAGAGCTGGATTGACCGAGATAGCTCGCAGTGTCCGCTGCAGTCCGAAGCAAGGTGAAACGAAGTAAAGGAGCACTGCCCTTACCTGGCCAGGTCGAAGATGGCGACCAGTTTGGAGCCGAGCGGTCGCGAGTGCCTGAAGCCCTCGGAGAAGAGCAGCACCCGGGCAATGGTGTCGTTGTCCGGCCGAGACATGGCCACGGGGCGGAAGAGCTGCTTCAAGTTGTCCGGCAGCTTCTGGCGCCCCCCGTAGCCCTTGCCCACGGGGTTCATGGTGATGAAGATGCCCGCATTGGGGTCCACCTCAACCTGATGAAGGAGAGGCCCACTCGGTTGATCCATAAGCAATGGACTATCCATATGGTACGTCTCAATGGCGCTTCAAGTGCGGGAAATTTATAGGTACTCTGACGATGTGGCATCCCACAATGACATGACATCACACGTGACGCTCTAATGTCATGACACTGTGCAACACCTGAACTAGACATCAAGTGACATGACATCATGAGTCATTTAACGTCCCAATGTGATGCCAGGGGACGTTACATGACTCATGACGTCAAGTTCAGGTGTCACATGACATCAGGGGGTCATGCGACACTGCATTGTCACATGATGCCATGGTGTCACGTCACTTCTCGACGTCAAGGTCATATAAGCAATGTGGCCCATAGGGGGCTATATTGCTTTATGACCTTGGCCCGTGTGCCAGTCGAGCATAATGGTTAGGGGGAAACATGTAATTTTTCTCATGAAACCCAACCCTACAACACATTTATGTTAAAGGACACATGCAAAGGAAAAAAAAACATTTTTTTAAAAATCCTGGTTGGGAAAAGGAAGGACGACCTCAAGGACGACTTCTAGGACGACCTTGAGGACAACGCCTAGGACAACCTCGAGGACGACCTCGGTGATGTGATTGGTCTAAGCCATTTTGGCGCACGTTTCGAAGCAACCAAAACAGTGTTTTAGAGCAGCAAATGTGGCCTTTGGAGCAACCAAAACGGTGTTTTAGAGCGCAAAAGCGGCTTTTAGAACAGCCAAGACAGTGTTTTAGAGCAGCAAAAGTGGATTTTGGAGCAGATATTCTTAGGAAAATAAAAATATTTGTTTTAAGTGCTGTACAAATGAAGGGCACTTTGTGATGAGCTGTGTTCTGATGTGACGTGTTGTGACGGAACTTGCTGCTTCTGTTTTTACTGCTCAGACATCCCACAAGTGTACAGTGCTGTAAGCATTGCCAAGCAATTTCGAAAAACCGCTTGCCACCGTTTTACTGGTTCCCGATGTGCCAGATTTTCGTCAAAAGTAAGCAAACGTAAAACAATGAATTGCAAGCGTCCCAGCTGGTGCCTCAGTCACGCAATCATGTTCGCATGCATGTGAGGCCAACTTCGGCAGGTTTGCTGTTGGGCATGCTTCGTCGCGCGAGCGCAGACAACGGCTGTCCGATCGAAACCAAAACCATGCCCCTCAGCTCCGTCGCTAACTTATCCCCAAAGTTCACAAAATGTAACTTTCGAGCATGCGACAAAAACAGTCCAGCGGCACGTGCTTGCCAGGCCGGCAAACAAGGTACAAGCTGAACACACAAAAAATAAAGAACCTGAGTGCATCGATGCAAGACATTGCGAGCCAGCCTCAAAATGTTCTTGGAGCACTTTGTGCAACGACTGAACTCGAGACAAACAAGCACGCTGTGCTGGTTCAGCATGCAGAAATTGCCTTCTTTGCTTTAGCTCACTTCTCTTCATCAACTTTCTTTCACGGCAGATTTTTCACATACCGAGGTCCCTTTCGAAGGAAGGTCCACTGAGAGGAATCTAGATAATCAATACTTTGACAGAGCAGTCTTTGAATTAAAGATGGATTTTTGTAGTAACGTATGATACGATTTAAACAAGAACAGGAATGTTGATGAACAGGCGGCGGCACTTAGTTTCATTTTAGAAAGTATAGTGATGTGGGGACGGCAACATTCGACGTCGCGCGACCACGGTGACTGAAAGGCAGTGACCAAATATAGTTTTCCCACGTCGTTGCTTCAGCTCACAAAGTAACTTCTGCCGCGCAAAAACGGGTTTCATTTTTCGTTTCACAGCATGACGGCATAGCTGGTACCCGGCATGCTAGCGTCGGAGCGTCTGCACACATCCGCGTCTATCACTGAAAATATAAAAAAAAAGAGATGAGAGACGGGACCCACAAGAGAGAGCTCGAAGCGCGAGACGCTAGGAAAACCATGCAAAGCCGGGTGGACAATTGATGCACGGTACTTTGTGTCAGGTGGCCGCTTGCGCCACATAACACACGCCTGCTCAATTATGAAAGAAAGGAAAATCTCTCTAACCAAAAAATTGATATGGAGCCCGACGTTTCAAGGCCAGCTCGGCCCCTTGATCACGGGTGACTGTTTTTGTCCTTGTCGTCGTCTTGCATATTGCCCGGTGTTGTTGGCTTCTTTAAAACAGCTGTTGTATCTGCACGCGCTTTTTGGTTTGTAGCGCCTTGCGTGACGCACCGCAAACCGGACACGTAGGCACTTGGCAGTGTCCCGGCTGACCGGTTGACGTTATTTTTGGTGTTCTGGATGTACCAGGACTCTAATAAAAGGCGTCTTCGCCAGTTTCTTTCCGTCCCAAGAATAGAGCAGTTGTTGAATTCAATCGTGTGACCCTCTTTTTGGACGTGTTCTGCCAGCGCACTGCCCTGCACGTTATTCTTTTTAACGTCATATTGATGCTGGCGTAGACGTTCCAGGTGGATGTCCACCGAAAAGTTTACGTTTAAGCCTGCTCAATTACAGTACTCAGTTTAGTTTCGGTTTTGAAAGGTGACCTAAATTGGTCCTTTGGCGCAGGCTTGGCGCAGATTACCCATATTTTGGCAAAATGTAGCAGGATGTAGCAGGGTTAGCCCCTTGGCGCAGTTTGGCGCAATCGGCGCAGAAATCACATCTCTGCGACTTCAAGGACGACTTCTAGGACAATTGCGAAGATGGCTGATGATGTCGCCCTAGACGTCATCCTCGAGGTCGTCCTAGAAGCCGTCCTCGAGGTCGTTTTCTAGCCGTCGTCCTCGAGGTCGTCCTAGAAGTTGTGTTTGAGGTCGTCCTAGATGTCATCCTCGAGGTCATCCTAGAAGTTGTCCTTAAGGCCGTTCTTAAAATCGTCCTAGGCGTCGTCCTTGAGGTCGTCCTAGACATCATCCTCGGGGTCGTCCTAAAGTCGTCCTTGAGGTCGTTCTCGAGGTCGTCCTAGAAGTCATACTTGAGGTTGTTTTCTAGGTATTGTCCTAGATGTTGTAAAAATAACAGCTACGCTGGTCCTTTATCTTCACGTGAAGTGGAAGGGCTCTAAATTTTTTTTTCGTGCTTTAAAGCATAGGTTTTCCAACTTTTTCATCTCAAGGAACCTTTCTGGTTCCAGCATTGGTGCGGTAAGGCAGCGCAGATGTCTACAGACCTTGCAAACAATAATGTATGCACTCGAGAGCATTTGGCTTATATTTATGCATCGCTGTGTGATTCAGATCTACTAAAGCGGCGCTTAAAGTGGGAAAACACTACTTAGCAGAAGGGATGATCGAGAAAATCTGGGAGCTTGGGAAACCGCGAGAGTGACCTGGGGAACCCCGGCCCCGAGGAAACCAGTTTTATAACCCACGCATTAAAGACCTTCGATTGCATCTCTCGTGGACGGAGGAGGCCTTGCCTGTTTGTCGAGGAGGTCGACGTGTGGCGCCCTCTCCTTGAGGGCCAGCTGGATCTTCTGAATCTGGACCGACAGGGCGGACAGCACGGACTCCTCCAGCCGGTTGAACTCGTCAAAGCAGCCCCAGGCTCCGCACTTGACCAGGCCGACGAAGATGCGCTTCATGGAGCGCACGTCGATGCCCTGCGACGGAACGTATGTACCTTAAAGTCCAGTTTGTGTGTGCAATTTTGCACCGAGAAAGTGCCAAATCGACACTGCATTTCTGCTAGTGTCAGCACTTGCTCGATGCCGAGTTAGCAGCACTGTACCCTGTGTGTAAAGGCCAGTTCTCACGTATATTTTTGCACTGGGATAATGCAAAGTCAGCGCTGCATCAGTGCTACTGTCAATGCTGATTCAGCACTGAATTAGCGCTGCATTGTGCAGAAGCAGAAAGAGCAGCAAAGTCAGCACTTTGTCTGTAGTGCTGGGTTAGCAGTGTGCTGTATGTGTGAGCAAGTCTCAAGTACTGAAGAATGCTGACAAATTCCTGTTTGTAGCAAAGTCACTGAACTGGTTTCAATGGGAAAATGTTGAATTCACCTACGTAATTTGCTACTGTGGGTGGATTCGCAAAATCAAAACTTTTTCTAAACCCCAAGATTGCTATTGCAAACACAAAATGCTGGTAAGTGTGACAGTAGCTGGGAACCTTTTTACCGTTGTAAATTAACCAGGAATAGACATGTGCGAGTACTAAAATTTTTATGTTAATTAAAATATTGGTGCGCTGAATTCAATCTTCTAACCAAATATTACGATAGCAGATGCTGGTAGAAAGAGTTCCGAAGCTCGAAAAAAATCGAAAGGAATTGGCTTCTTAATTAAGACACTTGACCACAACTATTTTGGTGTAAATTTCTATATGAAGACATTTAACAAATAACTGCCAATTTCATATTGCAGCATTATCTTCTGATAAAACCTATAGTATTTACGCTCAATGAGAAGTAGCCTTAGGTTTCATAGAAAACATTTTATGGAAGAGTCACACTTACTGTAAACAACTTTATTTTGGCGGGCTCGATATTTCTAAAATTTTGCGAAGTGCATATATATATAGCTTTTACTCTATATTTTGTGAGTAGAAAATTTCACGACAGGGAGTGGTATGCTAGGTGTTTGTTAGCATGGGCTGATGTGTTCGCACATCAATTTTTCACAATATTCTTCAGGACACAAATTTTGCGAAAATTAGGTCCTTGAAAAAATTATGTCATTAACGATATAACATTAAAATATATTATACCTCATATCTAGAGATTAATTTTCCTACAGATTCTGTTTTTTGTGTAAATTGGTTTGGTTATAACTTAACCAATTCACACAAAAAACGCAGAACCTGTGGGAAAAAATATACCATATTTACTCCCATAATGAACACATTTTTTTTTCCAAAAAATTGACATATTTGGGGGGGGGGGGGGGGGGGTTATTACACGAGGTAAAATTTTTGCATTTACACACTTTGCTCAAATGTCATTTTAGGTGCCAATATGACATGGCAGGATACTGTGACCTGTCTCCGCTGATGAAGGCGCATCCATGGCTGGTCATGAGCGCACCAATGTAACTATGCTCTATAAATTGCAAACCTTTTTTAGGGCACTTTTGGACTGCCTTTTGCCTTTTTCTTGTGTTTTTTTGTACGCTTGTATACCCACCCTATCATAGTCTCAATAGAGACTGATAGTATTTTGAAATAAATAAATAAAAAAAAGTGCCCTACAAAGCTCACTCTGCACGGAGAGTGACACAAACATTCTTTGGCCTAACCACTTCCACAATATCACTGTTCGAAAGCGGATCACAGACGATGGCGTGTTTGCTAACATCAATGTTGATAGACGAAGCACGTTGATAGATGAAGCACGTCCGGGGCTGGGCAATTCCTCGACCCCAGCATCGCTAGGCATGCGCGCCGCTCGGTTTCACGGTTGATCACTTCCGCAACCACGCAATTGCAGCCATTGCGAGAGCAGCTTGGCTTGGATTGGCTTGACTTGGCCTGGCCTCTTGGCAGCAAAGGAAAATTGGCAGGCTTGGTGACTAGCCGGCTAAGTGGGACGCAGCTCAAAACTCGCGGAGCTGAAAATTAAAAATCTGCTCATTACGCGAGAAAAAAAAAGTCCAAATATTGATGCCCGTTGTGGGGGTGCGTTCATTATGCGAGTAAATACGGTACCCCTCCCCCCCAAAAAATTCCCCTAAATTCTAAAAAAAAGAAAACTAAGAAAAATGGAATTATACTCATATTTCTCTCTCACCTTTTCTCTATCCCAGTAAAACCCTCCGAAGCACCATATTAACATCTGCCTAAATGCAACACCTTTTACAGTGCACAAAGTACAAATCTTCCATTCCTGGCACTGCCCAGATACTTCCCACTGATGATCGGGAATTCCAGTTTCCCTGAGCAGGACAGGGGACAGAAACTTGCCTCGTCGCAGTTGAAGACCAGCACCTGTCGACCCATTGCATTGCCAAGGGCCTTCACCGACTCAGTCTTGCCCGTACCCGCGGGGCCGTAGGGGTTGCCGCCAACACCCATGCGCATTCCTGCCAGGGCACAATAGAAAATATTAATTACCATATTTTTCGGGCTGTAAGTCACACGCCCCGTATATGAAAGTTTTCAGAAAAAAGTTGGTGCATGAGTTGCGCCCCATTGCACACAGCCTTCACTCGACTTTCCACCCGTTGCCCTTCCTTCCGATCCCCGGTCCAACCTCAGAGCCCAGAAATCCCTCCTCCGACGGGACACGTGTGCGTTCATCCCCCCCCCCCCCCCCCCTTGTGTCTTTTCGTTCCCGATAACCTTTTTTTTAATCCCATTTTGGACGGTCTGCAAAAATCGGTTTCTCAACGTATCGCACTGGGAATTACCACAAAGGTGTGGCTAGGTGGTGCACGCATAAAGTTAAAATATCAACAAATAAACTTACCTTGTTGAAAAAGAAAACCTGTTTCGGGCAATGTACGGCGCCATTTCCCGAGCGACGCAGACGGTCCTTGTCGTCTTGGATTTGCTGGCGACAGCTGGCGTATACATGGAAAATCTTTCGCTAGATCGTCTGCTATCAACACCCGAATCGGCGCACCAATTGCACCTTTGTTGCATACACCATCTGTCGGCAGTGTCCACCATCTGTGTGCCCCTTGTAAATGGCACCGTAGATTGCCCGAAACATGTTTCTTTTTTTCTTTTCTGAACGAGGTAAGTTTATTCGTTGATATTTTAACTTTATGCGTTGCCCCACCTAGCCGCACCTCTGTAGTAAATCCCAGTGCGATATATTAAAAAAAAAAAATGTTTGCGGACCGTTCAAGGAGACATTGACGCGTTAGTATAATGCTGCACACTGAAAACCATGGTAACTGAAAAATTACCCTCCTTCAGACACTATTGTTTGTGATAAAAGTACAGTCGAATCTCGTTGATTCAAAGTCTCCTAATTCAAACTTGCGGATAATTCGAACTAACATGCAGGTCCCATCCTATGAGTCTCTATGGGAGGAAACTCTCGGTAATTCAGACTTTGCTTTATTCCAACAAATTTTCGGTCCCTCTAGAGTTTTAATTAATAAGATTCAACTGTAGTGCTATTGCAGAACGTACTGTGGGTTGCTCCGCGATGATGCTGCACGCACGAGCCCTCGACAAGGCAAGCGTAGTCGTGGGCGGCGTCTTCGCAAGGAAGCCCCTTCAAAGCTAGCGCTTGACCAGGAATGGAATGCAAAGTTTGCGACTCTCACAATCACAAACCCTGGCTTTGGTCTCGCAGTTTCACGTTTCCCCGTTTCCTCCAAGCACGTGCTTGCTCTCTTCCCCCTCGTGCACACTCTCCCACCATGCGTGCGAGCGCGTTGCATAGGTGTTACGCTGAGACTTGCATTCAGTCGGAGAATGCGAGTACCAGCAAAACGCTGAGGCAGCATTCGTGTTGAATCTGAGCCCCACACCTGCTTCCGGTAGGTGATGCAGAAACCCCGGCACCACAACTTCTTTACCGAGGAGGCGGTGCTCAGGTGGGAGCTTACCTTGGGTGAGGCTGATGAAGCACTTGTCGGTCAGAGGAGTGTGTACCAGCTTGGGTGCGTTGCCCTGGTACTCGTACGAGTACTCAAACGTGGCGTCCACCATCTTCACTACGGCCAGTCCGTTCTGGATGTAGAACCTGACAAGGAACGATGACCGAGCACCAAACGCGGTACCGGCGGGAAGACATCTCGGGTCAACGCAGAGCAAAACCAGGGTCGGCAAGCGAGCGATCTCCAGCAGTTATTTTCTGCTAAACTTTTTAATGCAAAATGCCGTTTTGCACAGAAGCGAGATTTTAATTTTTATAGCCGTTGCAACACTAGTCCCACCGTCCCACTGCCAGCTAAATTTAGCGGGCTAACGCCCCGCTAAATTTAGAAGGACACCACCAGGGAACACGTGGCTGATGCCATCACAGGTCACATGGCCACGTGACCACATGACGTGCTTTGGGCAACCCGACCTCACGTGACATCCCAGTGTTATGTCGTGGCATAACGTGTTGTCTCAGTGTCAACGACGTTATTAGATCTAGTCACGTTGGGCATCAAATTCTAACTTAACGCCCCGTGTGGCGACACCGCGGCTGGAGGCCGTGCCGTCACGCTGCCCAGATTTGTGTATGTATCACTAATGCATTCTCCAAACGAAACATTTGAGCAATAGATCAAAGTACATACTATTTTATTCCTGGCAAGTTTTAGAATATCACGTGCGAAGGCCATTGTTAGGATAACAAAATATGGTTTATAGCTCGCCGGAACAGCAGCACTTGCCAAGCCCCTCGTAGCCCCGTCGTCCTTCTCTTCTTCTGGCTCTGCACCAGCTAGTCCCTTCACGTGCGGCTACCGCCGTAGTCACCTGCAGCTCCCTTGTTACAACTGTCACACTCCTCCCCCTCAACTCACAGTGTCAATCAAGGAGAGTACCGTATCGGAGGTCTGCGCTGTCTAGTTGAACGTCTCAAAGTGTCATTTCTCACAGGTTCGCCCTGAACATCCTGTCCTGAGCGTTCCCGCACCGCACTCGGAGTCTGTATATCGGCTCTAGACACACAAGAACCACCCATGTCACGCACACGCTCACTAGGTAGGTTTACCACACTGCCTAATGGTGTCTGCCTAGCTACGCTGTCTTCGGGCCGCATGAAAGTTTGTTGTCCAAGAGGCATGTTAACTACACTCTCCAATGGTGCCTGCACATCCATGTTGTCTTGTGCACTCTCCAATGGCTGCTGCACATCCAAGGTGTCTTGTGGTGGGACTGGTGCTCGTTGCCTCAGGTGATCCCCGTGGCGATTCCAGGTGCCGCCCTCTTCCAGCATCACTCGTGCCGACGATGCACTGGTGGGATGCTCAGCTATTGCAGGGACCCAACGATCTCCTGGTCTGAAATTTCGAGCCCAGACACGATCACCAGGCTGTGGTAATCCGTCTCTTCTTGCAGATTTGTCCACTCGCTCCTTCTGCTGTAGCTGCTTGAACCCTACTCTGACTCGGAGATCTGGGTGCAGCAGGTCCAGGGGAGTCTTTAGGCGCCGCCCCATCAACAACTCTGCTGGTGTTCGTCCAGTCAGGTGATGCGGCGTCGTTCTGTAATTAAAAAGAATTCTGGGAATCTTGACTTCGAAACATCCTGGTTTAGCTTTCTTTAGCTTTTCTTTTATCGTTTGTACCACCCTCTCTGCAGCGCCGTTTGAGGCAGGGTGATACGGTGGAATAGTGATAGCACGAACTCCATTTCTTGCCAGGAATTCTTTGAATTCCGCACTGACGAACGCCGGGCCGTTGTCACTAACGACCACATCAGGTAGGCCGTGTGTGGCAAAGATTGATCTCAAGCACTCCACTGTGGCTTTAGCCGATGGTGAGGGCACCCGGTGCACTTCCACCCACTTGGAGAACACATCAACTAGCACCAAGAAATAGATGCCCTGAAAACGGCCCTCCAAAGTCAACATGTAGACGTGACCATGCATTTTCCGAGAATGGCCATGGTGTTTGTTGTACCGACCTCGGTGCCCGCCGGTGAACTTGGCATATGGTACAACCATTTACTTTGTTTTCAATAGCCTCGTCTATGCCTGGCCACCAGACATGGCTCCGAGCGACCATTTTCATTTTCTCAATACCCGGATGTGTCTCGTGTAGCACGCTCAACACCGCTGGCCTTAGTGATGTTGGTACTACTATTCGGCAACCCCACAATACACAGCCGTCCTGCACTGAAAATTCCTCTAGTCGACATGAGAACGTCCTCCAATCAGCAGATTCCGGCAGACGCTTCCCAGACCACAAAGCCTCTCGTACTGTCGACACTATGGGATCCTTATTTGTAGCCTGTGCTACCGCTGCTGCCGACAACAACGACGGAAACGCCTTTTCCAGCATGAACACTTCCCCAGCCGCGTGGTCCTTGAACGAGGATCCAGGCAGTGGCAGCCGACTCAGCCCATCCGCATTTCCTAGATTGACCCCTGGTCGATATACCAGTCGATAGCAATAAGCGCTCAACGTTAACGCCCATCGAAGCACTCGAGGAGAGCACTGTTGTGGGATTCCCCGATCATGTCCTAAAAGACCCAGCAATGGCTTGTGGTCTGTGCAAATGTCGAATTGTCGACACCACAGGAATTGGTTGAATTTAGTCACTCCGTATATTACGGCCAGGGCCTCTTTATCTAGTTAGCTGTAGTTTTTTTCAGCTGCGGATAGACGCCTGGATGCAAAAGCGATAGGCCTTTCTTCCCCGGAACTTGTTCTGTGCGCCAAGACCGCACCAACACCATATGGTGACGCATCGCAGCATAGTACCACCGGCTGGCTCGGGTCATAATACACTAGCACTGATGCAGACGTCAACATCGCTTTGCTTGTATTGAACGCCGCTAGTTCCTCAGCACCCCAACTCCAGGCCTCCCCTTTTTTTAAGACTGCCTCCAGATTCTGGCAGTGGTCATTTTCTGTTGCCCCTGTGACCAAGATGTCGTCAAAATAGACAATGGTGCCGTTACAATCTCGTAAAAGATTTTCCATCTCTCTTTGAAATATGGCGGGAGCCGACACTACTCCGAAAGGCAGCCTGTTGTATTGAAACAGTCCTTTCTGCGTGTTAATTGTGACAAACTTCTTAACTGCCGGCTCCAGTTCAATCTGCTGGTACGCATCGCGGAGATCTAGCTTAGAGAACGTTGTTCCCCCAGCAAGCTTCGCCCACATCTCTTCCAGTCTCGGTACCGGATACACTTCTGTAATAGCCACTTGGTTGACTGTGAGTTTAAAGTCGCCACAAATTCGTATCCTACCATCCTTCTTTAGTACAGGTACGATAGGCGCCGCCCACTCTGACGTTCGTACGGGGGTCAAAATCCCGTCGCGCTGTAAGCGTTGCAACTCTTGCGCTACCAGGTCTTGCAACGCAAAAGGTACAGTTCGCGGTCGGAAAAACCTGGGTCTGGTTCCCTCCGGTACGCTGATAGTTGCTTTCATTCCTTTCAGCGTCCCTAATCCTTCAGAAAACACGGAGTGAAATCTGCCTGCCAACTCTTCAGTGCTGCTCACCTGATGCCCATTGACGAGCTGATCTAGAGGCATGTTGAAAGCCCTTGCCCAGTTCCGTCCCAGAAGAGCCCGGGAACCACCTCGTACAACAAACAAAGGTAGTAGCTCAGCTTTCCCGCCAAACTCCGCCATGACCGTCGCCTTGCCGACTACGGCAGCCAGCTGACCGAAGTAGCCCCGCAGTTTAACGGTTGATGGTTCGATGACGGTATCTGGAAACCGTCTTTCGAACTCAGTCTCATCCATAACCGAAAACACAGCTCCGGTGTCCAGCTCCATTTGTACAGTTTTTCCTTGTATCGTCACTTCTGCAAAAATTGGCGGGTCCTTGAACTCTGGTGCCTCTTTTCGGCCGTTTCCTGGTAGCGCTATTTTTTCGCTCGGGTTTAACGGCCAGAGGTCCCCCACGACGCTCGAATCTGACTCTTCACTGTCTTGAGCTCGCATGACGTGCACCGAACGGTTTGCTGGTGTCTGAGTTGAGTTCAGCGTCTGCTTCGTTTTTCCTTCGCGATGTTTGTCGTTGCTGCTGACTCTGCCTTCGTGGTTTGTCTTGTTCTGGCACAGTCTTGATATATGACCTCGTTGCCGGCATTTGAAACAAACACTATTTACAAACTTGCACGTTGATTCCCGGTGCTTGCCGCCGCAACGGAAACAGCTGCGTCGCTCTTCCGCTGACTGCGCCGATGTCGACGGTGCTGTCACGCGGTTCACCGCTGTCTCGGCTGTCCCGCTCGCTCGGCCGGTGATCTGTTCAGCACCTCTCGCGGCGGCTTCCATGCTCGTGATTAACTCCACCGCCCGATCCAACGTCAAGTTAGGCTCTTCCAGTAGCCTCCTCCGCATCACGTCATTCCTGATGCCGTGCACGATGCGGTCCCGAAGGTTGTTCGCCAACTCCGCCCCGAATTCGCACCGATCGGCCAATTGGCGCAGGCCGGCGACAAACTCCTTCACGGTTTCCCCGATGTCTTGTGTGCGGCAGTAGAAATGATACCGTTGTACAATCACCGACGGTCGCGGGGTGAATTCTGCCTGCCAACTCTTCAGCGCCAGTTGTTAGGATAACAAAATATGGTTTATAGCTCGCCGGAACAGCAGCACTTGCCAAGCCCCTCGTAGCCCCGTCGTCCTTCTCTTCTTCTGGCTCTGCACCAGCTAGCCCCTTCACGTGCGGCTACCGCCGTAGTCACCTGCAGCTCCCTTGTTACAACTGTCACAGCCATGCTTAACCGAAAAATTGTGCCGTTGCAATGCGCCAATTTATAACATGATTCAAGCTCGACACTAGCACAGTGGCAACGACGCTATTTCTTTGCGTATGCAAAGCCTTTAGCATACAGTAATTTAATGCTCATTATTAATGATACACGTTACCAAACTCTAATGCGCCGACCACAATTGGTGGTAGTCTGTACGGTCCACGATGCAAGACAACCTCTTTAGGTGAAGGGACTGCACACCTCGCCCCATCAGAGCGGGCAAACATATAAGGCCCCCTCCTCGTGTTTGCTCAGTCTTCTCCTGGAGGGCGCCACAAGATCCAGTCAGTTGTGACTGGTGTTGCGGGCCGTCACAATCACAACGAGTCTCCACTGTTTACGCCGTCTCCAATTGTGTCAAACATTTTGTCTTGAGTTACGCAGTTTACTTGGACTACTAACACCTTTATGCATCGCAGCCTGCAGCACCAGCATGGTCCGACATTCGTGACCATGGGATGCAAGTGCTTTGCTCCAAATTGTTATTCCGGTTACCAGACTCGCAAAGAAAAGGTAACTTTGTTCGGTGGTCCGTTGGATGATGAGTGTTTGGTGCAATGGGCATGTGTGATTTCCTCCCAAGGATTGGCCGCTAACACCAAATGACGCTGTGCGTGTAAGGCACTTCACGGAGCATGTGGTGTTGAGGACAAAGCACCACGGTGAACTCGGGGGAGAAGTGTTGATCAATGCTCCAAAATGACCAGTTCTGCTACCACACGCGGTGCAGTGTATATCATGCCGAGGGTACCTGTCATCTGCCCTCCAAAAAAAAAACAAAAAAAAAACAGCAATCTCCCGTGCTCCTAGCACGGAAAAAAAGTGAGGAGATCATCAACGCATGAACCATTGGACATAAGCCATGGACCCATGCATGGACCTTGATCAGAAAGGACCGTATTTATTCGAATATAAGGCGAGGTTTTTTTCCAAAATCCGTAGTCTCAAAGTCATACCCCGCCTTATATCCGAAGCTCAGTATAGCAATATGACGATTTTTTTTCTTTTTCTTGGGTCCTTCAACTGCCCCCTCGCCTTATAATCGTGACTGCCTTATATTCGAAAAAATATGGTAAATCTTGTGCCAGCTTGAACGATACATACCATATTTACATTCATAATGAACGCACTTGCATAATGAGTGCACCCCCCAAAACAGGTACCAATATTTTGAACATCTTTTTTTCCCCTCGCATAATGAACGCACTTTCAATTTTCGATTCCGCGAGTCTCGAATTGCGTCCAATTTAGCTAGTTACTGAGTCAATTTTCTTATAAGCCAAGCGATCAGGCCAAGTCAAGCCAAGCGAAGCCACTCTTGTAATGGCTGCAAGCGCGTAGTTGCGGAAGTGATAAACCGTGAAACCAAGCGGCGAGCACACTTGACTAAGCTCGGGTCGAGGAATTGCCCAGCCCCGGACATTCTTCGCCAATCGGATGCACTGATGTCAACAAACACGCCGTCGTCATTGGTCCGCTATTGGTCAGTGAGCAAAAGTGGTTAGGCCCAAGAATGGTCGCGTTGCTCTCCGTGCTGAGCGAGCTTCGTAGGGGCGCTTTTTCTTCGGCAAAAGGCACGCCAAAAGCGCCCTAAAAAGGTTTGCAATTGATAAAGCATGGTTATTATGGCGCGCCCACGACCAGCCATGGGTGCGCCTCCGTCAGTGGTGACGTGCTGCAGCACCCTGCCATTGTCATATTGGCATCTAAAATGACATATGCACAAAGTGTGTAAATGCAAAAATTTAAGTAAATTTATAAAAATGGGTAAATTTTTTGGAAAAAAAAAAAAAATGTGCGTTCATTATGCGAGTAGGAACGGTACTCTTGGAATTTATTAATTGGGCTCGACTTTAAAAGCGAAAGACAGAACTGAGGCTACGAATCCTGCCGAGTCCTTCCAAAAAGATAAAGGTTATAAAGCTAAGGAAACAGCGCCATTGCATGCTACCACTCCAAATTGGGACTTGTAATATCAAAACAAAAGCTGGACGCTGAATTGATAGCATGCCAAAAAAAACTCAAGCTGTTGGGAGAGGATGGCCTCAAGGAGGCTTTGGAGAGGTAATCTGCCTAATGCTCCACAGATCCTTAAATCGGTGATAGACCTCTCCGTATACGGTATATGCTTACAAAGAGCAACTTCGATTATGTTATGTCCTGCAAATTTAATCAGGACGCGATTGAGAGATTTTCTGGCAAAGTGTCGCAAGCGGCTGGTGAAAATTATCATCCAGACACGCCAACATTCTTGCAACTCTACCGCACGTTGATGCTTTACAGCTTATTAAAACTGCCAAAATTTGGCAACTGCAAAGTGCAAGAAGATGAACCTCCACTTTTACATTTTGCTGCCTTTAAGGATGTTTTGAAAAGCAGGACGTCAGACACCTACAAGCAATACATTGCAGAGTTGCGAACAAAGGTGGATGGACTCAGAATGACAGAAAAATGGGAGTGTGTGGACGTTTCGCCCACTGACAACAGTATCCCTGAGATCGTGGCCTATGATGTGGCTGGCTTCCTGTCGAGAAAGATGAGACAGATGTTTAGCTGCACTGTCTGCAGGGACATACCCCTATCTGTGAGAGCAAATCAGGCAAGTGAGGTGGCTTTGATCAACTGCAAGGCACAAGGAGGCTTCGTGTAGCCTAACACTAAGCTTTTTAAGATATTTAGGATAGCTGAACAGTATTTTTCGAAGCACAGCGATGAACGTGATGTCTTCTGGAAAACGATTGACCACGTGAAAGAAAGTAGCGACATGTCATTTCCCTGCGGTGAACACAAGACTGACGCCATGGCCAGGATTCTTCGGTACAACCTCCTTATGCGAATACGACAGTACTGCGAGGGAAAAAACAGAGACGCCCCAAAGCAACGTCGAGAAAAAAAGAAAGAGTCTTTATTGTGCAACTTGTAGTGTGGAACAGAACTGAAAAAAACAACTATGGTAGACTGTCCTTCAGTGAAAAATGGTTCACTGAAAATCAGAGCAGAGTGGAACACTGCAAGCCATGAACATTCCAGTTAATTAGTAGCTGTGGTAGTGGCATTGTTTGTAAGTGCCTATATTGCGCTTGCTTTAGCTCATTATTAGGAAATTGAGTGACTCTTTTCTTGCTGAGCATCAGAATATTGCTTCCATTCATTTTACAGTTGAACCTCAATTTAACCAAGTCACCTGAACCCGCTAATTATTTTGTAAAATCGGGAACTTGGTAAAATTGAGGAAGGGAGACCTCGCGCACAGGCTGCGCGGGGAATCCGAATTTGTTAAATCAGGAAATTTGTAACATTGGGTTTCGGTAAATCGAGGTTCAACTGTATATGATTGGGGTTCAGTTTAATGAATTGTTGTGCAGCATTATTTGAGACTATGTTGAAGTTTGTGATTCTTGTTATATTAATAATATTTATTTCTGATGTGCCCTAAGTTAAACCTGTTTGCTTTCCTCCATTGACATGTGTGGTTACCATCAAAATAACTCTAAAATCTCCTAATGCAAAAGTAAATGTGCTGACAAAGTTGACCTTCCACAGAATGTTGTTTCACTAACTTCTGCTCGCAAAATGTTCCAGCCAATTCTGTGAGCAGTGAAATCTGGTGCAAATCAAAAGTTTGCAAAAGGATGGGTTGAAATGTAAAACAATATTCACAAATTCAGCTCACACCACGTTGTAAACGAAGATATAAATTTAAAAATTGAGCCAAATCAACTGAAATTTGTACAAGAAAGCTTTTTTTGTGGAAAGGATCCATGAATGGTTTTTAAACAGTTTAAATTTCATACCATAAGTTTTATGTTTATCATTCTTTAATTTGCACTTTTTTTTTCGGTTGCTCCAAAGCTACAGTTTACCTGGAGTTTATCTGGGTTAATTGGTTTTACAAGCACTCACTAAAGCTCGTGTTGGGATACTGAAGAAACTTAAAGTACAGATGTAAGCTAGGCTAACAAGTATCCACAGGACCAAAATGGTCTTCCTTTTTACTCAAAGATTGCAGCATCTTCGTTTGTCCCTTTGCCATGGTTAGGGTGAATAGTTCCATGTGCTCAGCAGCATTAAGGTTCCATACGAGTACACGATGGAATGCAAATGGCCATTCTACATCGTACCTTGCACAGACAGCCCGCCCCGTGCCAGAGGCACACGAACCGGCCTCCACCGGCCTCAGGCTTACGGCGCCATCTGTTGGTAACACTGTGAAGCGCAGTGCATGGGGGGCATTATCTCGTTGTGGCGGAGAGCGGACTATCGACACCTAAAAGGTTTGTTTTACACCGTGGTACGGTCTAAGCGAGAAAGGAGCAAAGATCACCTCAGCTGCTTCTGCCAGTGCCAGTCCGTGACCTTGGAGGTTCGGTACTCTTGAAGTTCCTCGATGATGCTGATCCTGTGGACGCTGTCCAGCACCAGGGCCTTCAGCTTCAGCTCCAGCACAGGGTTGCTTTCCAGCTCCACGCCCGTGTAGTGTTCCAGCTGCCTCTCCACGTCCTCCGAGAGACGTGGCAGGGTGCCCCGCTCGATGGCTTCCTCGCAGGCCTCCGTGAAACGAACCCACTCCGCGAGGCACAAGATCTGCAATGCAAGGATGGGACAAAGTCGTAACGAACGTAGCCGCTATACCCTTCCTCGAGGCAAATCAGGTTGTACAGCTACGGCGTCTGGAGCGCGTCTACAACCGGTGCGTCCGCGTCGTGTCCTAAAATGTGGTCCCTCAATTTCCGCCTGGTGACATAGAAGCATCACGTTGTCGCCGACCCCGATCCTCACAGTAGCACAGGGGTGGGGGTGGATGCGGCAGACGTCTCTCCTGCTCCGAACCGCTCTTCGGCTCGACAGTCCACGGAAGCTTGTGGGGATTGTGATCCCTCAACATTCTGTCGCGTCAGCGTTTTGGCGCGCCGTGGCGGCCGCGCTGGCGTAGCGAGAGGTGGCGCTGCTTACCACTGTGAGTGGCTTCCTCCTCTCCCCCCTTGGGGCGATTTCCGTAACGAACCCCCGCACAAAGGAGATCGACGTGTCGCTCCTTGATTGGCCACTTCGCCCCCGCCGTTAACTTAAAACCAGCGGACAGCAGTCTCGCTGCTCTCTTCTTCCTAGGATTCGGCGGCGGCGACAACGGGGAACCTTCCGGCGCACCGGTGAGCGTTTACCCCGTCCTTTGTACATTTGTGAACGACCGTTCGGCCGTGGGCGATCTCCACACCGACGGCGTTCGCCAGCTTATAGCCGCTGTGTTGTTGTTATTTTGTTTCATTGGAAATAAACAGTTTATCACCGTTACCAACGTGACTGGTGTCTGTTTGCGCTCAACGAGCTGCATGCCACGCGAGTACGAACCCGCTTCGCGGTAGAGCGTCTCGCCGCGAACGTGGTACTCCCAAAGGCAGTGGCCCCAAGGAGAACCACAAATTGGCGCCCAACAAAAGGGCTGACGACCAGAATTCCGGTACGTTTGTGTGGCGACTGCTGCCGAGTGACGAGTCCTTGTGCAACCAGCGCTTACCGTGACAATGCAGACCGACTTCTCGGATTTGCTCACGCTGGCGACCGCGGCCGACGCATTTGCGCGGCCCCTACTTCAACGGGAAGCCGAAATGCCAACCCTCCAACGAGAAGCGCCCTGCGACGCTCTCCTGGAGCCGAGCGTGGCTCCGACGCCATTGCGGACGGGCGTCATCGCTCCCGGATCTTCCCTGACCGCACGTGCTCCGCCGCCGGCACAAAGCGAAGCCTACCGGTCTCCCCACGGAGAAACCGCGGCGGCGCCTCACCTTGCTCGAAAACGCGGCACGTGTGATTGAGAGCCTGACAGGTGCGTTGCGAACGACAACACTCGCACCACGGGCCCAACGACCTCCGGTCCGAATTCCCGTCCCGACTTATCGGGGTTACGCAGACAAAGCGAGCGCTACGGACTTCCTTGACGATTTACGGAAGTACCAACGCGCGATGGGAATGTCCGATCGTGAAATACTTGAGCGCATTCTGCCAATCGCGCTCGTCGACGAAGCCACCCGCTGGTTCCGACTTGTCGGTGACCAACCCGGAACGCTCGATCAGTTCCGAGAGGCGTTCCGCCGCGAATTCCTTCCCGCCGACTACGAGAGAAGGATGCGGCGGGAGCTCGAACAGCGAACCCAGCATCCGGACGAGTCCCTGCTGGAGTTCGTACGAGCCATGCAAGAGCTTTTCGAGCTCGCAGAACCCTCAGCTCCCAATGCAGAGCGAGTGGAACGCGTCATACGCCAAAGCCACCCGACTTTCGCTGCGTATCTTCGAGGCAGCCGTTTCCGCGACCTGAACGAGCTCGCCTCCGAGGCCCGGCGCCTTCAGGGTGACATTCTCGCGGCCCGTGCGTACCGGCCTCCGCCTCCAGCGTCAGCGGCCCTCGAACCGCGCTGCGCGTGGAGCGGGGACACGCCATCTCGAGCAACAAAGCGCTACGATTCCGCAAACTATGCGGAAGATCGGGGCCGAGACACGTACGCAATCTCAGATCGTGCGCTCGACCCGTACTCCTACGGTAGACGAACAAGCCGGCCGACGCCGCAGTTCAGAACCACCGACTCGCGCCCCAACGAGGCAGCGAGGCAGGAGCAAACGAGGATCCCCCAATCTCAGCGAGCCGATGCACGCTACGACAGAGCCGGCGAAAACCAAAACGCACGGCGGAACCCCCGGCGAGGCGACGACAGAAGATGTTATCGGTGCAATCGCCTCGATCATCTCGCGCGCCAGTGCCCGGAACGGTCGAACACGGAATCGCACCGTGCGGGAAACGAGCAAAGCCACCGGTAAACGGCCCTTGGACGGACGGACCGGTGGCTAACAAAGAATCAGAGGGTCCCATGGCCACTCTTTTGCCGACCGCCTACAGAATAGGCTTCCCGACCGGCACGCCGGCACCGTTCATTTCTGTAACGATCGCCGGCAAGGCATTCAAGGCACTCCTCGACACCGGAGCAAGCGCTTCGATGTTCGGCGACGAAGTGTTGACTCACCTCCGACAGAATTCTGTCCGACTCCGAGAATGCAACACTGCCTTTCGCCTAGCCTGCGGAACCGCCCTTTCGGCTGGTACCGCGCGGCTGGTCGCGAGATGGGAGAATCGAGTAAGACGACAACGCTTCGTTCATCTCCCTGGCCTATCGGTGCCCATTATTTTGGGCAGAGACTTCCTTGCCAAAACAGGCATTGTAATCGACGTCAGCAGCGCAGGCTACCGGGAGGGCACGTTTGCACCCCTGAAACCCTTCTGCGAACCCCCGGCCGTACCGCCAACGCCACCATTGGCGCACGCGACGAGCCGTCGAGAGGAAGCGAGGGACTCCCTAAACCGGGTCATTGACCCTAAGACACCGAGTCCAGCGCCGATGGCAGCGAGCGCCGCCCCCATCGGGGAAATGACGCACCCACTGCTCACGCAATCATGCAGCGTGTCAGGGCGAAAAAAAGCCCGACTGTCGTCGTTGTTGCGCCGCTATGACGCAATGTTCACGGACCGACCTGGCTGCACAAATGAAGTGCGACATCGCATTGACACGGGCGACGAACTGCCAAGAAGGCAGAACGCTCGACCCGTAAGCTTGGCTAAACGAAAAGCCATCGACCGTGCCCTGGACGAAATGATCGACACCGGAGTCGTCCGGCGATCTAACAGCCCCTGGGCATTCCCCGTGGTGCTGGTCCCGAAGAAAGACGGCAGCTCACGTCTTTGCGTGGACTACCGCCGTCTCAACGACGTCACACGAAAGGACGCCTACCCGCTACCGAGCATCGACTCGATTCTGTCCAACTTGGGCAGTGCGCGGTACTTCACCACCCTGGACGCTAGCCGAGGCTACCTCCAGGTTCGGATGGAGCCAGGTGACGAGGCAAAAACAGCCTTCTGTTGTCACCGCGGGCTTTTTGAATTCACACGAATGCCCTTCGGTCTGTGCGGAGCGCCAATGACGTTCCAGCGATTGATCGACCGAGTACTGGGAGAAGCCAAATGGAAACACGCAATGGCCTATCTCGACGACATTGTCGTCTACTCCAACACCTTCGAAGATCACCTACGTCATCTCGAGGACGTACTCGACCGGCTAAAAGCCGCGGGAATGACCCTGAACCCCGAAAAGGCTCAAATAGCCGAAACCCGCATCGCCTTGCTCGGGTTCGAACTGGATCGCGGGCGCCTTGCGCCACATCCCGACAAATTACAGGCAATCCTGGAGTTTCCTGCGCCAACCGACGTGAGCTCCCTCCGTCGCTACCTGGGAATGGTGAACTTCTATCGCCAATTCATCCCAAACTGCGCGACGCTTCAAGCACCACTGACACGCCTATTGCGAAAGTCCGTGAGTTGGAGCTGGGGTCCCGAGCAGGAAGCGGCCTTTCGCCGCACCTCCCGAGCGCTCACGGACACAGCTGAACTCAAGCTACCCGACTTGAACAAGCCCTTTCTGATCCAAACAGATGCCAGCAATCTTGGCTTGGGCGCGGTCCTGCTCCAACAGCACGAAGGTGTACTCCGACCGGTGGCCTTCGCCAGCCGCTCGTTGACGCCAGCTGAAAGGAACTACAGCACATGCGAACAAGAGTGCTTGGCCATCGTCTTTGCACTCCGGCGTTTCGACATTTATGTCGACGGGACCACTTTCGTGATCGAAACAGATCACCAAAGCCTAATATGGCTCTCCCGACTCCGCGAACCCGCTGGTCGCCTGGCAAGATGGGCTTTGATGCTGCAAAAATACGACTACGTCGTGCGGTACCGGAAAGGCAGCACAAACGTGGTGGCAGACGCATTGTCACGAGCCCCCGTAGACTGCACACAAATTTCCGCAAAGACCCAGGCCGAGCCAACGACATCCACATTGTCAGGCGAAGCCGTGACTCAGTCCCAAAGGGAGGCAGCAGATCTGACCACCCCGGACGAGACGATCAACCACCTAGACGCAGTGAGCGCAGTGGGAATCGTGTTCAGCAAAGAAGAGCTTCTGAAAGCTCAGCAGAATGATCCGTTTTGTCGAAAGGTGATCGACGGACTCGCGGAAGAGTCGGACGCCGTGGAGGCGGGTGGTGCGACCGCCGGGCGCAACACTACTGGTATTGTAGTAGGCGCCGAGTGCCGGGACGTATCTGGTATTGGTGCGGGCACGGAGGATTCATATCTGCTGAGCAATGACGGGCTCTTGCTGAGGTACATACCCTCCGAGAACGACTCCGACGAGGCGTTTAAGGTAGTGGTACCCCGCAGTCTGAGAAACGCAGTTTTGCGCTACTATCACGACTCGCACTTGGCCGGACACGCGAGCGGCCCCAAGACTTACTCAAAGTTATGTCGCATCGCCACCTGGCCGGGCATGAAACGGGACGTTTTCCGTTATGCTCGCACCTGCCACTCTTGCCAAAGCTTCAAACCAAGAGGCGGCAAACCCCCGGGCCTAATGCAACCGATTCCGAGCCAGCAATCATGGTCTCTGGCAGCCTGCGACGTGGTCGGCCCCCTACCGAGGAGCCCTAAAGGACACCAGTATTTGCTGGTTGTAACTGACCACTTCAGCAAATGGACGGAACTTTTTCCACTCCGTAAGCTGACAGCCCGAGCGATCACGGAGAAGCTCATGGAGGTTTTCACCCGTTTTGGATTCCCCGAAGCTCTTTTGATTGATCGAGCGAGCTACTTCGTCGGGAAGGTATTCGTGGACGCGTGCAAGGCCCTTGGCATAAAGCACAGAACAACCACGCCGTACCACCCGCAGTCGAACATCACGGAGCGATGTAACAGAAACATCAAACCAATGCTGGCCGCCTTCGCGGAAAGGCACCGTGACTGGGACGCATATATCCCCGAGATCGGGTTCGCACTTCGGACCACTCTCAACCGTTCGACGGGCTTCACCCCCGCTTTCCTCACATTCGGGAGAGAGCTTCCGAACCCCATGGACCGTGTCCTAGGGGCGAGAGCCGGGGTGGACGACGCGCAGCCGACGCAGACGGACCACGCGCGGCAGCTACAAACTCGGATGACGGAAGCCTTCTCGGAGGCGCGTCGCAATCTCGGGGTAGCGCGAGCGAAACAAAAAGCTCAGTACGACCGCTCGCATCGAGATCTCCGCTACAAAGTGGGCGATCTCGTCCTCAGACGCAACCATGTTCTGAGTGATGCCAGCAAAGGCTTCTCGGCCGCTTTGGCTCCGAAGTGGTGTGGTCCGTACCGAGTGCAGGAACTTCTCTCCCCACTCGTGTACAAGCTGACAAACTTGCAATCAAGAAAAGTCGGTGGGCCGGTACATCTGTGCGATCTGAAACCCTACCATGAGAGGGAAAACGGGGCCAACGAGCAAACTCAGCCGCCGCAGAAACATGCACACGCAGCGCGAGACGACGCCAGCAGCGAGCGAGAGGCGCCCCGCTACAATCTGCGTAGACGGAGGAACTATTATCCGAAGTTTTCGTAGAGGCAGCCCCTGTAAGTGGCGAAATGTCACATTAAGGGAAGTGCAAAGCACAATACACCTGCTGCCTTCGCGAACGCGCCAGACACCATTGTTACTGGCAAGCAGTGACCTACATACGTCACCTCAGCGTTCGCTCCCGGATGAACCCGTAGGGGAATCCCCCAAACACGGCTTCCGAGGGAAAGGGTACGCGTAACTGCCATTGGTCAGTTATTGCCACCTACGCTCACGTGGGCCACTTGTCAACGCAAAAGCGCGGTGCGAGCGTCGTCACAAGCGGTCGGAGACCAAGTGGTCATTCTACCGCAGTACGTTCCGCACCTACGAAGAGGACATCCAGCCTTTGCTTCGCGCCGTTCGTGAGCTGCTGTCTCCTGGCTGCGGCAGTTCAGCGGCGTCCAGGGACCACGGCTGCGCGTGACTCGTCAGGCGGCCCCGCTACCCCAGCCGGCCGCGAGCCAAACCAGCAGCCCGTCGTTTTCGTGGGTCGTCGGGATCGTTTCCGGTCAGGGACTGCCGGCTCATCATCTTCGGGACCCGCGCCGCGGCCGAAAAGCTCGCCGACCAGGGACCAGCTGTTCCCGTTCGTCCCGTGACAAGTCCCAAGGGCCCCAGGGACCTGGCGCAGTTCGCCCAGCAGGGCTCGTAGGGCACGCACTACATCGGCAGTCGAGGGATAATCCACCGGGACCTGGCCGCCCTCAACGTGCTCGTCGACGAACACGGCTGTGACAAGGTCGCCGACTTCGCACTCTCCAGGAGCACTGGAACCCCGAGACGGACGTGTACCACCAGAAGCCCAGGGGCGCCCTCCCAGTGCGGTGGATGGCTCCGGAGTGCGTGCAACTCCAGGTATTCCCCTTCAAGTCCGACGCCTGGGCGTTCGGAATGCTGCTGTGGGACATTCGTCACTTCGGGCTCGACGCCCCACCCCGGCCTGGGCGCTCAGGAGGTGACCCGCCACGTGCGCGGCGGTCACGGGATGACGCAACCGATCGACTGCAGCTGGGAGCTGTACCGCTGGTGAGGGACCGCTGTACGAACTTATGGACCATGGACCAATGAGCCGGGCTGTTGTGTCCCGTGGCGGCCTTTTTCTTTTTTTTCTTATTTTAGTCTAGTTGTTGTGTGTTCGTGTTGGTCCACCCGTTTGCGGGTGACTATTGGCTAAGGAGGGGGGAGTGTGGGGATTGTGATCCCTCAACATTCTGTCGCGTCAGCGTTTTGGCGCGCCGTGGCGGCCGCGCTGGCGTAGCGAGAGGTGGCGCTGCTTACCACTGTGAGTGGCTTCCTCCTCTCCCCCCTTGGGGCGATTTCCGTAACGAACCCCCGCACAAAGGAGATCGACGTGTCGCTCCTTGATTGGCCACTTCGCCCCCGCCGTTAACTTAAAACCAGCGGACAGCAGTCTCGCTGCTCTCTTCTTCCTGGTATTCGGCGGCGGCGACAACGGGGAACCTTCCGGCGCACCGGTGAGCGTTTACCCCGTCCTTTGTACATTTGTGAACGACCGTTCGGCCGTGGGCGATCTCCACACCGACAGCGTTCGCCAGCTTATAGCCGCTGTGTTGTTGTTATTTTGTTTCATTGGAAATAAACAGTTTATCACCGTTACCAACGTGACTGGTGTCTGTTTGCGCTCAACGAGCTGCATGCCACGCGAGTACGAACCCGCTTCGCGGTAGAGCGTCTCGCCACGAACGTGGTACTCCCAAAGGCAGTGGCCCCAAGGAGAACCACAAGCTTCAGCAGGCGGTAGTTGGGATGCCACGATGACAGCAACCCTCACAATTTTTGTTGGAATTTCTACGACCAACAGCCAGGATTGCGACATCTGGCAGCATGACACTCCTGCTCCAGTGACATCGTTGTTGCCACTTTGGGACCATCTTTGGCGCATAAGCAGCATGGGAAGCTGACCGCGTCGGCCGAAGACGAATTCCAGGCATTGCAGTCGAGCAGAGAGGCGAGTGCCATAAATGTGGTGCATGACTGGGCTAAAATCGGCTCGTAAGAGTACCTGGGACGGGTACTGAGATGGATCCTGTCCTTCAGCAGAGCCCTTCTTGCGTGCGTTCAGACAGTCCGTCAGCAGCTGCTGAAGGGTTTCCTTCATCTGGACTGCCAGGTCATTCAGCCACACCTGCAAGAGACGCACAGGCTGAGTCACCTGCACTTGTTACATGGTCCAATGTGCAGGTCGGCCTCTGGCCAGTTTAACCTGGAGCCACTGCAATTAGCAATAGTAATAAACTTAAAAAAAGCTACTTCCTGAGCTTTGCTTGTTGGAAAGTTCAGGCGATACTGCATTGCTCTGTTGCGAACTGTCTTAACATTTCCGAACGACAGGAAAGCATTTCCTGTGACTTCAGATAAACCTGTGGATAACTGGAAACAGTTTCTTTTTGAAAAACAAGAAGTCTGGAGTGCCACAGCTCACTTAGATGCTGTAGCTTAACCCCCTCAATGCCTCGAATATCGCTACATTAAAAACAATGCTAGTTCCAATAGTTATCTACTGCACGCATACGCTCGACAGTCTCGTGCTTGAAAACCTGCTCTACTTTTGAATTAATGGCGCACGGTACCGCCCGACTGAATAGATTGGCGGCCATGGTAGAGCACCCCAACCCTAACTGTGGCTCTCTAGCCACGGCGGCTGTGGCTGTGACAGTTGGGATTTCTCAGAGCCGCGGCATCATTGACCGCGACTTTTGCGGCCGTGCGACGGGTAGTTTGTAGCTTGTTCTAATGTTATTTGAGCTAGCAACTGGAGTATACAGGTTTATTTTCCAGTGAGAACACCTTTCCGCAGTTGATTATCCAATCCCAAGCGAAAATATGATTGTATTAGCCGTATCAAAATACATTGTTCCTATGGGGTGTTGGCCAGAAATGAAAGAAAAAACATATTAGTATATGCAGAATCGTATCAACGAGACTGCACTGTACCCGAGCTTAAGTGAACCCTTCTATAAATGGCCCTTGAAAATCGAGTTGAGTGAGCCGCCTGACAAAAGCTGCACATAGAAATGGACGGCAAAGGATGGAGGAAACAACAGTACAGGAGTAAAAGGAACAAGCTGACATTCCATTTATTTTCGCTAACAAACGTGTTAAATGCGCAGCATTTACAGGTAGATTTTGTGTCCATAAAATCATATGACATCAAGACTTCATGTAACGCTGTGATCTACCGTGATGTCATGCGACGTGACCCGAAGTTCGGCAACACCTTGACGTGAAACTGTGACATCACGTGGCACTGTGTCATGTGACAGATATTCAGTGGTGTCACAGTGTCCAAATGACTTTATATATTCGCGAGCCTTACTACGCCCACAAAAGGAAGAATGCAAAGAAACCCCGTAAATGCTAAGCATTTAGAACATCTTTGGGGTTGTGCCAAAAAGATGGCCAACTCCTTTGAGCCTCAAAAGCTGAGAATGCGCATTCACCTCCACCTCGGCCGTGATGGCGACGGGACTCGCCAGGGGCACAACCTCCCCGTCCAGGGAGACCATGGCGACCACCTGGTGCTCCCCATGGCCAAACTGAACGCTGTGTATGCCGGCAAAGAGCTTCCTCAGGTGGGACTGGATCACGGGGGGCTTGGTGGCCTGGCCCAGGATCTCCAGCAGGTCCTCATCCCCCAGGAAGTAGAAGCGTGGGAACCCGGAGCGCTTCAGCTGCGGCCAGAAGCGGGAGAGACGGCACGTGTCACACACATTCGCTGGACCTTTTTGCACAAATCCCAAAAGGCGTTGCTTTGCGTGCAAGGAATTATGGGAACATCCGGTATGCCCCAGCAGCAGCGACAGACAAGAGAGCGGGAAAGGGAGCTGTTGTTATACTTTGTTCACTCCTAACTTGATGGTGCGGTGGAAGCTACATGCTTGTAGCGACCAACGCGCCACAAATTCGACGTCAAGTAAGATCAGGTGTACCGCAGGAAACCGTGCTGGGACCGTTATTATTTCTGATTTATGTTAATGATTTGTCTCTCTGTATTAACTCGACTCTAAGATTGTTTTCAGATGATTGTGTGATGTACTCTAGAATTCATAATGTAAATGACTGTAGCACTTTGCAAAATGACCTTGTCAAGATCGAGTCTTGGTGTGGAAAATGGCAGATGGAGATTAATGTTCAAAAAACTAAGTCCATGGTCTTTAGTACTAAACGTGTTCCGACAAAATCTAATTATACTCCTTTCAATAACCACACAGAGCAAGTGATGCACTATAAGTACCTCGGAGTTTTCCTAAGCAGTAATCTTTCTTGGGAATATCATGTTAACCATATATCAGCCAAAGCTAACAAACCGCTTGGTTTTCTCCGACGTTCCCTCTACTTCACATCTCAAAAAACTAAACTAACAGCTTATACAGTGTAGACCGCATATAACGTATGTCGCGGGAGTCGCGAAAATCCGCACTATAAGCGGTACCGCGTTATAACCAAAACATCAATTTTTCAGGCCAAAATACATGCCATGAGACAACTTACCTTTGTAAAACAATTTATTTTATGTGAGATCAAAAATAAAGCTTAGTTTGAGGAAAGTCTTTATTTCACCAGACTAGTACACTTCTCTCTCAAGTGTATCACACTTTTTGAAAGAAATGAGCGACTTTTGCCTGGCGCAGCCTTTAACGGCGTCGCGGGTTGCGGACGGACGTTGCGAGCGTTCAGGATTGCTAACCCTAATCACTTTTCTCCGGTGATGAAAACGCGTGAAAATTCGCATCCTTTATACGGTATGCGCCAGTAGTACCTTCAAATTTATCACAGGCATGAAATGCTCCAAATAAGAAATCCGGGCAATGTTCGAAAACACAAATGCAGAAGTCACCACTGTAGTCGAAGTAAACGAACACGACGACACGGGCGTTTCTGCCGTCTTGAGAGTGCCGTCACGACATCGCCGCACGAATAGGTGGATGTTCCCTTCTAGTATGTGCTGGGTTATCATAGCGACACACAGCGAAAATTCAGTCAAGGATAGCGCTTTTACGCGGAACGATTTACGCGGAACGAACCACGCCGTCTACGTCGACGATCACAACCGACGCCATGTTTGCGGACAGAAGTAGCCGGGCCGCGACCGGCATGCAACGCGCACGAACACTTCTCCTCGACCTGCGATTGGCCTGTCGTTGCGGTTGCAAAGGGACGCACGCACGTGAACGACACGTGCGTGCGTCCCTCCGTCGCTATGGCAACTGAAGCCTCTTTCCTTGTTTTTCACCGCTTCTTCGAGCACCTTCCTTGCCCCGCGAGTGCCGCGTGTTGTTGCGGCTCGCGCCGTTATCTAGTGTCGCACAGGGAAGCGTGCTCTCCGAGTCGGTCGGTCGGCGCGGTCGCCGGGCTGTTCCGAAAACCGCACTATAACCGGTATTTCCCTTCGCGCGCCTGCATTTTAAGCGGTATGTAATTACATGGAGTTCTATGGGAGGCAAACCGGTGGTTTAAAAAAGCCGCGTTATACCCGGTCCTGCACTATAAGCGGTTACGTTGTAAGTGGTCTATACTGTACCGCTCTAATACGACCCATTCTGGAATATGCTTCAGCCATCTGGAACCCTCACCAAGTCTTCTTAGAAAAAGAATTAGAGTCAATTCAAAATAAAGCAGCTCGTTTCATTTTGCGAAACTACAACTTCCCAGTAAGTGTAACCTCTCTAAAATCATCCCTACAGCTTCCTCTTTTGAAAGACCGTAGAAAGTTAAATTGCTTCACAAACTTTTTTATCACTCTCCATCTCGTAAGTCGATCTATTGTAAACCTGCCCCTTTTATCTCACGCCGCCTTGACCACCCCTGCAAATTACACCTTGACATTCCCAGAACTAACCTTTACAAGTTCTCGCCTCTTCAGCTTGCTATTAGTGACTAGAACCAACTACCCGAAGCCATTGTCACAATAAAAGACCCACAGAAATTCGCCGATAATGTTGCCGTTCATCTCCATCTGTGATAATTTTCTTGTTTTATATTACTAGCGTTCTTTTGTTTTGACACTGTCCTGCCAAATGTCCCCCCTCTTTGTAATACCCCTCGTGGGTCTTAAGGGGAACCAAGAAATGAAATGAAATGAAAAATAAAAATAGTGTCCGAGATGCCAGCCTCAGAGAGTCCGTCCGAGGGAGCAGAATATCCTTCCCGAAGAATGTGCAGACGCGCAAAAGAGAACGCTCACAGTTGCAGCAGCAACTGGACGTTCGATTCAGCATCTTCGCTCAGTTTATTGGGTTTGGACCCCGTCCTTCCAAACATATCTAGTGACCCGGGCACAACTACCACGAACAGCGACTCCCAACAGGCGTCAGCTGGATTCTATCGCCAAAGCTGCTGCCCGTCTGCCACCATACCTAGGATCTGGTTCCTGCAGGCGTCTCAGCGTTGTCACTGGCAGCAGCCGATGAACTGTATGGCATTCTTGCGAACCCCTCGGCCGTAGCACAGTATAACTAACTCAAGGAGGCTTGCAACGATCTCCCTCGAAACAAAAGCCGGGCGATTGTTGTTTAACAGAGCTACTGCAACGGTTGACCCAACCCCTTGGAGATCAGGTAAGCACAATGAGAGAAGCCCTCCTCCGAGAGCTCCTTCTATGTCTGTCCACGCGAGTCCAGATGGTGTTGGCCACGGCGACGACTCTCACTCACGGTATAAGATGTATGCCATAAAACACCGTGGAAGCGCCCACTTCGTTCAAGTGGCCACTATTACCATTTCCCAAACTTGGGAATTCTGCAAATTATTTGTTAAGCGCCTGATTAAACCGGAAAAGCGCTCATGTCTAGATTAACCCAGTTTTCACTAAAAGTGGGGGGAGCAATTCCACGGTATTTTATGTAGGATGGACGCCGCGCATGTCACAGCTGCCAGATACAGTCCTCGCCTTGCCTCGGTTGAAAGTGGTGCCACCAGGTGACCCTTCGATACGTGGCCAGTGGCCCTAGCCAAGTTCTGTGTGCTTAGACAAAGCTTCGTCAATGACCCTAGTTTCGTGCCATAATGATGGCAAGAACAGTTTTATAAAAGCGTCGAAGCAGAGAGATCTCTGGCACGGTGTTCAAGCCAGTATCCGTCAAGGTCACAGCAGACACGCCAAGCAGAAAACGCACATGCAAAGCTCCCGTGGCAACGAGACACTTTTAAAACAATAGCTTTATGGGTGACACTTTTCAAGGATTTCTGCGTCGGCGTTTGTAGTTGTCTGTCGTCGCGGAGGAGAAGAAAAAACCATTCCCTCCCCTCATGGCACAAGAAAAAAGAAGTTGGGTGTTCCCATTGACTGCGCCATGCAAAAAGGGAAGGGAGGAAAGCCCCACCGACACACGCCAATAACGGCGTGACGACGAGGAAGCGTCGGCGCAGCGTCTCCCCTGTTGTCTGCTAAGGATAACTTCGAAACAGGTCTTTTCAAACATTACTGGCAGTATGCGAAATCCCACTTTGGCAGTATCCAGTTGCTACGCGTAATGTGGGAGGGTTGTAGAAACGTCCAGCACATTCAACTTCACAATAACATTTCTACTTCTCGAAGCCAACTGGAAACGTAAAATATGTTCTGCCAAAACTCGTTGCCTTTCAACCGCTTTCTCCGCAAGCCTTCACCTCGTCTATCTGCATGCGTCTCCCTTTCCGCTCATCACTGAGCCCCAACATTACCCCCTCCCCTCAGAAACACAGAGAAAACCTGCACCTTCACTCGCGTCGTCCCTGTTGCAGTCTTTTCCTAATGGCACCGCTCCGCCGAGGCCATACTTTGTCCCAGGAGCGAGCGAGGAGGGAACGGCTGGCTTCCACGGCTCGCAACCGGGGTCGCGCCAGCTTTGGCCACCACCAAGAGGCCACTCGTGCCGTGAGTACACGGCGACGTGAGGATTAATTCCAAGGTGCGCGGAAACGTGCTATGGCTTTTACTTCTTCGCACATTGTGGACAAAAAAGGCACTTTTTTTTCGCTCGTTTCTTTTTACCTCAGTTAAGCCATCTGGCCTGCGGAGATGCCATTGAGAGAGGCTACTGGGCTGCGCATCGATAGGTTTTTCTCTAGTTGATCGCGTCGCAGCGTCCGCCGTGCTCTTTGTCTACACACATATACACATCTTGCACCGTGGTCTCTACCTAACAGGCCGAGACACAAGCCTTGGAGAGTGTGTCTGAGGAAAGCGCAGAATGGAACACGCTGGGCAATCAATTATATGTGGGGAAGGATGGAGTCCAGACCCAATGAACTGGGCAAAGAAACTAAATTAAACATCCAGTTGCTTTCGTGGCTCCGAGCATTCCATTTGCGTGTCTGTGCTTTCCACGGAGAGCACATTTGATTCCGTGCGTTCCTTGGACGCGCTCTCCGAGGCTGACGCCTCACGTGTCGGCCACCTAGATTTTTGTATGGAACGACAAATCTGCAAAGCGTTCGTCGCTACATGCTCGTTGGACGAGTCAAACGTATACCTTTTTACCGCACGATCACTGTCTCGGCCATATCCACGTGGAGAGGGCGGGGAAGCAGATAAAAGGAAGGTGGTTGATTGGTCTAGTGACCATCTAGCCCCCACATTTCAGCCAAGGAAGGAACGGAGTATAGTCACTCTCTCGTCCTTGCCCACTCACCGGCGTTTCATCGCCTTCGAGGTCACCTTCGTCGTCTGCTGCAGCTGGCTACACGAGCAAGTATAATTTTTTAACGCGAAATATGTTTTATCGCTCAATTTTTACGAGAAAATTGAAAAAAAGTGTCACGGACGGCCGACATGGACAAAAGTTATGAACAAGTGTCGTGAACGAGTGACACACTGAGAGCGTTACACGACGTTATAAAGCTTACAAAGGCCCACATAAAATCGACGTAAGAAGGATGTTCTGGCGGGGCTCGAACCTGGGTCGGTGCGGTGACAGTAGGATACTGTAGCCGCTGAGCTGCATAGCACAGCTGCTCTCGAAGGATTACACTCCTGGCAGAACTTGCCGGTGAGAGTGAGGTCAAGTTATTCACGTCACACATCGTGCCAAAGCCATGTAAGGTAGCACCTGTGCGGCACACTCGTTCACTCTGAGTTGCCCTAGCTAACGTCTGCGGTGCAAGATAAAAAAAAAAACTAACACAAACCACACATGCAGTGTTGTTTGTGCGGGGCACATTTTGTGTGCCATGGTCTTTGTCAGCATGGTAGAGCTTTATGTTGATCATGCTGACTTTAAGTTGAACTTTTAGCTGAGCTTTAAGTTGATCATGCTATTTATAGACTTCGATTGGATTGGTCAATTTTCGGGTCACTGGCCCGATCGGGTTGAGAAATAATTTACCAGAAAGGTTATTTCTTCGGCTATATCAATGCCAATTTTAAAAAAGCGTTCACTTAGAAGAAGTGTGTTGCAAGCGTTATAGTGTGTTGGTTCCCTCAAATACTGCTTTCGAAAAGAGTGTAATAAAAATTTTTATAGTAATTTCTTTTTTTTTTCCAGTTCCATGAAAAAATAAATTTTAAGGAGTAATTTTCTCATTAGAATTTACAAATCTTTTTTTCTCATTATTTTACCTCAAGTTGCTCGTTACATGCTGGTTTGAACTAATTTTTAGCACTGATGCAATCCTTTTGGGCTTTTGGGGTGAGCTTAGACTGTATACCTATCATGCAATACTAGCCCCAAAGATGTGAAAGCTGCACCATTCTGTCTAAAATTTTAGATTTGTGTCGTGATGTAGGCGAGTTGGTTCATGGTAAACAGAAATAAACAGCGCGCAAAAATAGACAAGGACGAAGGGAAGATGCGAACGACACAAGCGCTTGTGCTGTTCGCATCTTTCCTTCGTCCTTGTCCATTTTTGTGCACTGTTTATTTCCGATCAAAGTTTTAGTTGCTTTTTTATTAACATAATCAATATTTGAAGTCACTTTTTGCATTATTTACCTTCAATCCATATTCAAGAATTTTGATATTAGCACACCCCTACTAATTTCTTTTTGCATTCATAAAGGAATTTTGCATTGCTGCAAAACACACATTGAGAGAAGCAATACCTCCAGGTACTGGTTGAGCGCCCTCTGGCACCGAGCCAGCTGATCTGTCAGGCCGCTCAGAGTTGCCAGCAAGCCCGTCACGTTGGTCAAGAGCAGGATGCGGTCGTCACGTGCAATCCCCGCCATCACAAACCTGCAATTCATGTCAGAGGTGTGAGGCTTCTGAAGCAAAAATCGAAGGGGCCATGAAACAATTCCAAGAACCTTTTATAAGCTCAAATTCTGCCTGGAATATTCCTTCTTACAAGCACGAGTTGCTATATACGAAAGCAGCTAGGGTATTCCCAAAACTTGGTTAGTCTGTGCATTTATGCATAGTTTGAACATGAACACAACACAATTGCGACGTGACCCGACATCCTGTGAATTGTCATGGTGTCGTCATGTTGTCATGCATGTCAGGTGGCACCATGATGCAATGTCAAATAGTCAAGTCGAAGTACGATGTCACTGGACACAGCATCATCTGACACCATGTCGTCACGAGGCTCGATGTCGAGTGACGGTAGGTCACTTGACAAGAAGTATAAACTTGACATCAAATATGACACAAATGATAACATAACATAGCAGTGCCACCCATCATGTGACGCACCCACGAAAAATATTTAAAAAATGTGATAAGAAGTTCTTTAATAGCAACAGTTTCTATTTAGGCAAGTATGCATGCCTTGATTGCGAACTTTTAGGTTCAAAAGATCTGCCTGAATTGCTAAGCTTTAGATCCAAAAGACCTCCCAAGTACATAAATTACTAAAATATGCACCAGCTTTTGCTTTGGAGTCTGGAAATTAGAGGAGCTCTGCTTTTCCTCCTTTTGCCTCTTGCCTCAGTCACCACCCATTCTTTGCATTTTGCTGACTCAGTTGTGAAATGGATGCGCCACACTAACGAAGGTGCAGAAGGTGTGCCATTTTCAGTCTGAAGATAGTTTGTTCATTCGCTGAGGCTAATGGCACTCTGTTGCCATCGGGATCTCAAATGCAATGGACGGTACCGAGGACGACACACCACGGTGCATGGAGAACGACAAAAAAACTGTCCGAGAGCGACGACAAAAAATTATGCCTACGAGCAAATAAACTTTGCTCGCCCCTCGGTGCACAAAAGCTGTTGTTCTTTTTCTTATGAAAACATGGTGAACGCTGGGAGCTTATCCTCGGGTACGCAAAATACATGCACGTCAGAGTCGGGCACGTACGGTAAATCCAAGCTTCCGCAAAACTTCTTATGTGGGGACAATCTTCGACATAAAGTGACTGCCACGATAGACAGAGAGAACCCCCAGCCATTTTGCTTCACCCGAACTGGAATCACGACTTGAAAATGAGGGAGGATGAGTAAATGATAATTGAAAAAAAGATAATAAAGAGAAAACAAACATAAAACACTATAATCTGTGTAGCCTGAGGCTGAAAGAATATTTGCGCAACAAATATGCGGAGAAGAACCAAAGGGGACAAGACGGGAGGGTCATCTCGCTTCTTCTTCGTTGGTTCCTTTTTATGTGGTATTCGTAGCTGCAGCCATGGTGCCTGGAATGCATCGTCGACTGGCGTGCTGACCGTGTCCTCAAATGTGGTCGCTCCATTTCTGCCCGACGCCACCGTAGAAGCGTCGTGGTCTTGCCCGCAACGATCTTGGTGATGACAGCAGGGGAGGCAGGTGCAGCAGACGCCCATTCTGCCGTAAGTTGCTCTCGAACATCGCTGTTCGCGGAAGCTTCGGCAGGCAGGAGTTGGGACGCAGCGACGTTTGTGACGCGCGAGTTTGCTATTCTCTTTTGCTGGCATTTCTAAGACTAACTGCCGCAATCGCGACATCCGAAATCAGGATGCGCCGACCCCTGCGACACGATTCATTGCAGCTTGGGGATCACTCACTATGCGTGGTCCATCGGGATCTCACGAAAACACGCCGGCCAACGGTACATTCCAGGCGCAGTACTTCTACCAATCACCTTTTAGAAACAAATTTGAGCGAGGTTATTTAGGAAGAATGCCCTCTGCTGGCTCCTGCAGTGATCAGTCCCCACCTGAAGTCGTCGCTGATGTTTTGGAAGCGTGCCGACTCGGAGGGCAGTGCCCCCCTTCCGAGAATGGGCTCCAGGTAGAGCCACTTGCGTTGGATCTGGCTCAGGCCGTGCAGTGCCTGGTCCAGGAAGCTCAGCCGCTGCTCCCAGATGGCAGCACGGTCAGAGAACCGCTGGTAGTAGGCAGAGTCCTTCAGAGACTGCACCATGCACTGGAGCTCCCCGACCTGGCCGTGGTGCATCAGCAAATATCACCGAGGAAAAAGACTGCAAATGAGACTTCGGAGTTCATCAAAACACGCCTCTGATGTCGTAAGAAAGCTTTGCCTAAATCGCAGATTGTCCTTGAAATACGTTAACACATCGCATCCTTTCGTACCGCATAAACATTTTTTTATGATACTGCTTAGGAAGTGCCGCAAAGATTTGAAGAACATTTTTCGTCAATGTCTGCAAAGTCTTCTACAGTGAGGCCCGTTTAGAACGAACCCACGAACAGCGAATTATTGTCGATATTGAACTCACGGAAAATTTAAATAAAAATGCCTGTAAAAGGTACTTTTTATAACAAACAACATATTGGCTATATCAAACTTTTCCCCCCCAGGAAAGCTTCCAAAAATGGGCAAACAATTGTCTTCTAGCCTATTCCTTCCCCCAAAAAAGAAGTAGGAAAGAGAGAAAATCCCAAAAGCTGAAGTTGCGAACGAAATTGAGCAAAGAGAAGCGATTCAGAAGGGGAGAAAGCTAAAAAAAAGAACAACTCTGCACGCATGCAAAAAAAAACAAAAAAAACTTTCCAGCGTGTTGTTACAGGTCAGAGGTGAAGAGATGAGAAAGAAAGAGAAGCTCTCGCCTTACAACGAACACATCGTGAAAGTTCGTTGTAAATGGTTTTTGCTATATCGAACTACTTGCTATATCGAACTGATCATAGCGTTTCCTGCTGTTCGTTATAAACGGGTTTGACTGTAAAGCAATTAAAAACAATTCACACCCTTTTTTTTTTTTTCATTTAACTGTCTACTTTTTAAGGAAGGGCCTTTCACGACCGACAAAGAACCTTTCTTCTAGCGTTATTGCAATCGAAATGTTTCTCTCTTACATTAGAAATGTAAACACGAAACTCATGATAACTGAATTTGGCATTCAGAGGCTAATATACCATATTCCATTCACTGGGCACATTACCCCCTGTAGGCATGATTGAAGTGGATATATAACAGGTGTGTGCCATATGCTTCATTGGTTACAGCATGCATACAATGGGCAATCTTTTTCAAGGATTTGGCAACATCGACGTCCTATATATCGCCAACTACACCCTCGACAATGACAACTACTACATCAACAACGAATGTTATTTGAAGCGGTAAGAAGAGCCTCTAACAGGTGTCACTCTAAAAACTTCCGAGTGCTGTCAATGTTCGATACAAAATTAAATCGAATGGCGGGTATGTTATTTGAGGCGACAATCGGAAGTTCCGAAAACACTTACAAGCCTATCATCGCAATTTGGTTGGGTGCGGAGGCCCGAGCTATTCAATTTTCAGAATTACTAAAGTGAAATTAGGCTTTGACGCAATGCTGGGGCAAATTTCTCACATTTTGGTAAAATGTAGCAATATGTAGCAGGGTAAGCCCTTTGGTGCACATGTCCCAGCAATCACACCACTGCTGCAGCATACTTGTGCTAAAGCGTTACTCATTCAAACTGAACAACCAAGATTACACCGTTTTAAAGGTGCAAACAAACATAAACACCTGACCTCATGGCACATTGAAGTGCTCAAGAGTAGATGTTGGTGACAAATCCATGTACGAAGTTATAACATTTTGAAGTTTAATGAAGGTACCATGCGACTCTTATTTTAACTATTCTTTCGTTTCACTGCTCCAGAGAGTATATCACTTTGGATAACCAAGGCCTGTGACTCTTCTTAATTCAGAAGTCTTAATTTCTTAACTCGAAGCTCCCTCACAAGAGCCGTGGTATGTTTTCACAGGAGGTCATTCTTGATGGCATTATCCCTAACCCCAATTCCTCTTTCACACAAGGATGATGGATCTCATGGATGATGGCATTGTGGTCAATATGACTAGCCATAGCATGGGTGCAGGAGACAAAAGCTTTGTCTATGCTCTTGTCTCTGTTTTCGGCACTATTACTTTTAAAAGGAGGAGGAGGCTGTCGAAAGCACCTCAATCAGGCGGCCGGGTGAAATTGAAAGCAAGGTCAGATATATCGGCACCTTCCTGGGCATGCTGTTCAATGTGCGTTTCGGGCATAAACGGCAACAAAGCATAATAGTACAGTTGAACCTTGATGTAACGAAGTCTTTGAGACCCGCTCATCATTTGGTTAAATCGGGAACTTTGTAAAATCGAGAGAGTCATTCTTCGAGCATAGGCTAAGCGGGGAATTCGAATTCGTTCGTTAAACTGCATTTATTTGTTTATTTCCAATAAAAGTGAGTTTGGCTTGGGTCGTTTTCCCGCCTTTTAATTCAAACCGATTTTGCATGTCCAGCCAGGCTTGAACTAATGGAAGTCCACTGTATACAGTAGGGAATGTTTGGCTCATAGTTATGCATCAATGGATGGCTCACGTCAGCGCTTTTAACCATAGTTGAAAATGTCAGATACAAACTAGAAAAGATTCGCTGGACTTTTCCTTAGTGGCACAATGGTACACAAAGCCCACCAGCAAGAGCCTTCGTAGAATGCAAGTCCGCTTTGCTGCCGAGCCCACGCGCACACTAGAAAAGTCAATGCTTCAAGAGCAGTGACCTGGTACAAGCTCACACACTTCTTTGTCGAGGCTACATCCCGGCTTGGACATGAAAGTGCCATGAGCTGACCCTATCAACGCTATCCATCTTGAACGCCTTGGCTAGAGACAGTGATGGTTGAGGAAATTTTGGAGTTTGGGGAACCTATCAGGAAATTCTAAGGTACCCACGAGGGAGCTCTGAAGAACCCACAAGGAAACTCTGAGGAGTCCATGAGAGCACTGAGGAGAACCCAGAGAATAACTCTGGGGAACCCACGAGGAAATTCTGGGGAACCCATGAGGGAACTTTGAGGAACCCACGAGGGAGCTCTGGGGAACCCATGAGAGCACTGTGGGGAACCCACAAGGAATCTCTGGGGAACCTATGAGAGCACTGTGGGGAATCCACAAGGAATCTCTGAGGAACCCATGAGAGCACAGTGGGAAACTTAGAGAAAACTCTGGAGAACCCGTGCTCTACATTTTCTGTGCAATGAAAGAGGCTGGTAAGAAAAGAACCATCAAATGTTTCGGAACAAGGGGTACAAAAACGCCACGGACCTTTCCCAGGACTTCCGTCCACTCCTTGACGATTGTGAGGTCGTTACCGAGCGAATCACAGTGCTCGATGAGAGAGAAACGAGCACTCCCTCCCCAGACATCCAGCTCGTTCAGCACCTCACGGATCGTCACTTCGCCCTGCGCCCTGCTGTTCAGGTCCTACAACAAAGATGGGAGAATAAGAAACCTTTCTTTTCCAAAAATATTAAGCTGGGCTCGTTGGATAAGCACTATCCAAACTACCCAATATCATCTATAATCTGATATTATAGATTCATTTCTTTCTTTCTCGTTTGTCTTTTTCGTCTTTTGGTTAGAACTCTTTTATTTCTTCTTCCTTGCAAGTAGAATTAAGACGAGAGTTGTGCGTTAGCGCTAGTCCCATCTTCGTGTCCTTGCACTCGTCTGTCCTAATTGCACTATTTATTGTCCATAAAGCTTTATTTTCCGGTCTTTAAATGACCCCCTGCCATTTATGAAACAAAATTTTATTTTTCTGCTAAAATTCTAGAGCCTTAGTAATATTACTGGGCTTATCAAGTAATACCTATACCTAATGTAGATGGAAGAGAAACCCGTTTCCAGTTATTTTCGCAAATCTGTTTCAGATTTGGCAATAATTTGTTATATACCCAGCACCCTTTGTGTATATGTTAATAAAAGTGCTCTAAAATTTAAATAATGTATAGCGACAGGAGCATGCAATAAATATGAATTTGTTAAATCTGATATTAACTACCTCCAAGCTCATTATTAGTGGGTTCAAGTGGACCCTATATTTATTCCAAGAAAGTGAAAAATGCACGGTGTCGGCTAAGAGCAAATGCAACCTGTGTTCCTGCAAGTTCTGCCATGCCACAACGAGCTCTATTCATGTTGTTCATGCAAGTGTTCCCTTCAAGCAAAAAGAAGAGAACCAACAGGGAGCAAAGCTACTTGAGAGCTAACAATAATTGGTCCTATCCCAGGCACATGTCCACTCATGCTTTTCTAGGACTGAGAGAACTTTGACTAAGCACAGAAGACTCAGCTTTTTACACTACCTCGGACTCATGCCAATAAACTCCAACACATATTGTATTTATTAACCTCAGTTCTGGGTTAAAATATCTGCAGCCAGAAAGACGCAATAAACGTCTGGACAGCGGTAAACATTGCCTCCCTGCATAAGAGAATGCACTCCACAAATAAACTTCAGACTCAAGAATCCAAATAGCTATTCAACCAGTCGATTCATAACTTAAGAATGCTGACCTTGTCATTTAGTTCCCGAAATAAAGCTTAAAACAATACACCGGTAGAACAGTGCCCCCCTCGTGCATTAAAACAGAAAAAAAAAAAGCTCTTTCTCCGGCCATACCTTGAGTTGATGCTTCCTGTCGAGTATTTGAGTCCTTGCCTCGAGGATGTCGGCAAACAGCAGCTTTTCCACGGGTGCCGTTGCAATACCGGTAATTTGGAAAAACTCCCCCCAGTGTTGCGGTGAGAAGACCTCCCCCCGGCAGTACTTGAGAACTGCCATCAGGTCCTGAAAAGAGCCCCCAAAAAATGTTATCTGCTCCAGTAACTCGATGGCAAAGTGAGGCGAATTTTAATCCAGAATTTCATTCTGACAAAGCCTAACCCAAATCACGTTTGTGGCATGCGTGACACGTCCTGGTGTCACGTGGTTCACGGTGCAAAGTGACTTTATATATAACGTCACAGTGTCAACAATGTTACTGGATCTAGTAATGTTGGGTGTCAAATCACGGTGTCACGTTATGTTGGGTCATGTGACACCACAACTTGATGCCACGACGTCAGATTACTAACATGAAATTACTTGACCACTGCGACTCGACACCACGACTCGACACCGCGACCTCATATGATCACGTGATCGATCATAGTGCTCATAAATTGGTACATTGCAATTCTGTATGTCATGGTTTGATCGATAGATCGAAATATGGCTGCCAATTGTTAAATGCCTTTCTGAGTGGAACTTGCACAGTTGTCTTAACTGTAACCAAGAAGCCACCATTGGTTGCTGCAGACAGGCCACATGATCTACAGTGCTTCCACTCTGCCGGAGCGGAGCTTCTCCAAATGTTGCAATCATGTCACTGAGGCGCAAGAGCGACATGATATGTCGAGGAGACTGCGGAAGAATGTGTGCCGAATAGGCCGAGGAGACTGCGAGCAAAATGGTGTCGTCACGTGCCATCCTCGGGTATGTGAAAACACCATTTTGTGTGCATTGCGCGAACGTGCTACAGCTATTGCTTTCACTTCTTTTAAGAATGTAGGTGAAAAGGGCACCATCTTTTATTTTCGTCTTTGTTATGACTAGTAAAGGTTTAGCCAATAGAGATCAATTGCAATAACTACGCTTCAAAAAGATGTTAGGCCTTTTTACATATATCACAATTTTCAAGATATTTTCTGTCATATGTCACAAACATTGTGACACACCTCGAGAGATGGGGGCATGTCACAGTGTTTGGTCACATTTTTATAAGGAAAAAAAGGCCACGCCTAACCGTCATTTTGTGTTTTCTAAGGTGCTTAGAGGAAGATTTGAAAACTAGTTTAGTATAAGAAAGTTGGCACACAGGTTTCTTGCAAACTATTATTTTCAGAAAGTACTCCAAGGAGCATATAACATTGCTGTGGTCTGTTGCAGGTTAAGGGGCCCTAAAGTGAATTTTCGGACCGTCTTTTCAAGTTGTAAACTTATGTGCCCTAAGCATCCTAGAAACCCAAATCTTACAATATTGCGTGGCTTTTTATCCTACAGTAAAACCTCGTTATAACAAAGTTGAAGGAGCGGTCGTAATTATTTCGTTATAACCATTAGTTTGTTATAGCCAATGTCCATTTCTTCCCATTAGTAGTAAGCAAGGGGAATTATGATTGCTTTGTTATATCCATTAGTTTGTTATATCCCATTTTGTTATAACGAGGTTTTACTGTATTAGAAACGCGTCTAAACATTGTGACACAAACCGAGAGACAACTTAAGATGGGGGCGTGTCACAATGTTTGGTCGCGTTTTTACGAGGAAAAAGAAGGCCCCGCCTAACTGTCATGTGGGTTTTCTAAGGTGCTAGGGGCGTGTCACGACACTTCATACTGTTTTTAATATGAAAAAGCCACGCACAATTGTAAGTTTTGATTTTCTAGAATGTTTAGTGCATATTAGTTTAAGTTTCCGTCATAAAAAGACGATCTCGACATCAAAAACCCCGAACAAAGCTTTGCACCATTTCCAGCTTTCTTGCAAGAACCAAGGCCAGACACGACATGCACCAAGGGCGAAAGCGCACGACCTTCGGACGACCTCCAAAAGTCACTTTTGACATGAGCCAGACTCGTGATCGAGCTTCCTGGTTCGTAATGGAGGGCACGAATGACGCTCACGATTAGTAGCAAATGGGTTAATGGCAGAAAAAAAACACGCATAACTGCAATTTCAGGCCTGTTTCTCTCGGCCAGGGGGCGCTGTAGCATCCGCGTGACGCGAGCACAAAAACGACGCCTCCACTGGCGTCCGTGAGACGCGACCATTTAAGGTTGACACGAAGCGGCGTCCTTGCGTCCGCTCACGCATCAAGTGCATCGAGTTAAATGTCATACTGTCTCAAAATGCACTCTATTGACCCTTTAAACTTCCAATTACTAGAGAAACATTAACCCTTCAATAAGGCAATAACCCTGGAGCCGGGGAAAAGAAGGGACGTAGGAATTTTGTGTCTGTCCTACGTCCCTTCTTTTGCCGGGCTCCAGGGTTACCATGCGAGCATTGAACCAGCTCACCTGCACGCCTGCTTTAGTAACAGAGGCTCTTTTCGAGCTCTTACTAACAGCACCCTTACACAGTCGACTTCATCATTTTTTGTTATCACCCACCTATGGTGTAGGTAGACTTTGCACCCTTAAAAGCCAATAAATAAAATGACTGGGATCTTTTGAGGAGCACCTTGTGAGCGTCGATCTCCCGGTGCAACGCCGCCGTCACAGTGGTGGCTTCGCTGCCTTCCTTGATCTTGCGTGCCCAATCACCGAGGAAGTTCTCAAACTTGTGCAACTTGCCCCTGAAAGTGGAACCGCATGACGAGAGGCACGTCAATTCAGCTGCGGTCGCAATGCCGAGAGGGCGGTGTTCGTTATGAGCCCCGTAGAGGTGGCTTATATTCCCCGGTCACATTTAAGCAACTCATTGCCACTGCCACTTCTAGTAACCCCAGAGTCTTTTGACCATGGCCAGTAATTCTCTATAAGACCCGTTGGGACATGCTCAATTGGTAATGGCAAAATCCGATACGTGCCTATACTGGGTGCTCGGCGGCTCTGCGTGCGATGGCTACTAAATTCTCATCCACCCGGAACATTGCACGTATGATGCTCACTCTAATTAAGCGCGAGCATAATCTGTTTCATTATAGAAACAAGAGTTTATGGTTGGACAGTTGATGAAGCTCCCCTGCGTACCTAGAGAATAAACCCCAGAGCTTGGGAGTAACGACACTTATGCACCAAATGACCCCATCTATGCCAAACGCGGTTACTAAGCCAGGAGCATGGAGTTCAAAGCATGTTTCAGCTAGAACAACACTTTGGCCGTCTTGGTGTTTAAAATCACGGTTTCCAGTCATCTCGAGCCTTACCTGAAACAGTTGGAAATCGTTTTCCTTCCTCCAGAAAGGTTTAAACAGTCCACAATGAAGCAAGAATATATCACCCGAGGTTTCTAACACTGTGTATGAAAATCTCGGGAAGTCGCATTTTCGAACAGTAGCTATCGCCAAATGCACCCACACCAAGCAACAGGATGGCGGCGCCCACGGGACAATCAAAGGAGAGAGTGTGTCTATACTTCTACGCGTAGCTTGTCTATAGCGTCTCTAGTCTGCCTCAAAGATGGCTTGCAAGGGTGGCTTCTCAGCACAGCTCCGGACGTACCTGATGAGGATCCATTCCTCCCGAGCGAGTTCCGAAAGCTGGTTCTGGAACTCCTCATAGAGGAACCAGACCGCTTCGGCCTCCCTGAGCTCCGCCTCTATGTCGGCCAGGACGGACAGGTCGGGCTCGGCGAGGCCCAGCTGGACAACTTCGGCCCTGGAAAAAAAAAAAGCAATACAGTAATTGAGATGGATGGGAATTCTCGTTATGTCCCGACTGCTCGCGTCCTACCATATATGCGCGTGTAATGGCTGCACTCGTGTAACAGCCACACCCCTAACTTTAAACTAAAAAAGCCGGAAAAAATATATTTAGAAATTACCCGTGTATAGGCCGCACCTACAATTTTAAAATCATAAATGCAGCCATTTTTTTTTTTTTTTTTTTTTTTCAATTACTGTTGGCAGATGGCACCCACCCGACTGCGGCAGCCAACAGCATTGAGGCACTCTGTCCTGTCTGTTTGCGCCGCTCGCTTCATTCGAACAATCTCAAACTAGACGCAGTGCATCTCTTTGTGTTTGTGAGCACCCCCGGCTTCCCACTGTCACCCACTTCAGGCTCCTGGTTGGGGAAGTACACAAGTTACACGGCCGGCTTTAAACTCAAAGCTCAGGACAACAGCAAAAGAGCAGCAGGGCGAAAGTGTGGAGTCGACGACGCTGAGACGCCGGACGCCGAGACAAGTTCCAAAGATGAGCGATCTACTACGGACAAGTGAAAAGGACTTTGCACGCCTGTCTCTGCAATACCCATAAATGTTTTCTTGTTCTACCAAGGCGTGTGAGTACTTCCATTTAATGAAAGGCAAAGTAGTGAAACTTTAGGCAAAAAAAAATGATTTCCAAAAAACTTTTTTATTTTTCTCTGTGTAATGGGGCTGCACCCCTAGTTCTTACCCAAAATCATTAAAAAATACCTGCGGCCATTACACACGTATATACAGTATATGTGCAAGTGCAGTGAGCATCAATATTTCTATCCCGGTTTGGGTAACAACGGCAGGAAGGCAGTTTGTGCACCCACTTTCGTAATGAGTAGGACGAAACGGAAGCACCTGTCTCTCTCAGACAAGCTCAAAATCCTTCAGCGTCTGGACAACAGTCAAAGGCAAGTAAGTGTTGCGAAAAACTATGCGCTTCCGCCGTCGACGACCTACCGGCATAAAAACACGAGATAAACATACATTGGATCATCGCCTAAGGGCACGTGTCACAGCTCTCCAAAAACGCCAATTCTTTATCAAAGAGCACAATCGAGGAATTTCACGAGTCACCTGCTGACTGTGCGGAGCGACATTCGTCGTTTTTTTCATAACTATGCATAACCAACTTGCTTAACTTTCAACAATAAAGCAAAAGTCAAAGCTTAAAGGAGAAACTGTGTTCCATCCCAACAGGAAACGACTCTGCACGGGATATTTTGAACCACTGGACGACGCCGTTGCGCTACGGCTTCATCACAGCAACAAGCTGTGCCAGAGGAAGTGCAAAAAAACATAGACTCGCTGGACAGCTTTGTTACGTCATGCGCTTTAAGAGTGCCGGTGCAAATGAAAATTACAGAATATTTTCGACGCTGATGCCGAAAAAAACACTGCAGAAGCCTGCAACTTTGTAGAGATCAAGGAATGTTTTCCACATGGACAGGCTTTTGAAGAGCTCATACATGCTAGAAATAGTGCTAGAATTGGGAGAGCACCTTCGCTAGGGGCAAAAGATGCTTGAAGACATTCGAAGCTCGGGGAATCAAATCTCTCGGATTTCATAGGAAATCCTAGGGAATTCTAGACGAGACTCACAAGAGGGCCTCTTTGGTCTTGAGCAGGGAGTCGAGCTCCACCCTGAGCTGCTTCAGGGTGCCCGTGGTCTTGCCCACGGCGTCCCCGGTCAGGTCCGCCATCTGGGCCCCCGGCCGCAAGTGGCGCCAGCGCGCCGCAAAGCGCTCCTGGTCCAGCTCAAAGTTCTGCAGCTTGGCGGCCATGTTGGCCCTGAGGATGTCCACCTACGCACGAAACACGCCCAGTTTTATTTTGATCTGTTGGTCGGTCGGCTGTTCCTAGGCAGTTTAATAAAGGAAGACTTACGCGTTACAAAATGGTGCAAAATGCTACCAGGTTTCAACAACAATCTATGTGGCAATTTCGGCAACAATATTTCGTTCGCTTTATTTTTTAGCTTTATCGGTGTTAAAGCTTCTGGATATTGGTTAAATGTGTGTATTCCTGTAATCCTACAGTCTTTCTGCGCATTTTCTATTTATTTATTTCACACTTCTCACGGTGCGCACCATGAGAAAGACAAAATCACACCTGTGACTGTGCACGATATTTGCAATTATTCCTGAAAATTGTCTTAATTTTGCATAAAACACACAATACCCATTTTTTGGACTACAGTCCGCACCTGATGTATAGTACGCATCTGGTGCATAGTCTGCACGCCGTGCATAGTTAGTGCCTAGCCCAAAGGTAAAAATTATCATTAGCAGCCCACCTTGACAAATGCCGGCATTAGCTCACAAAGAAGCTTTTATCATACATAAATCAGCATTCATACACTTTGTTATTTATAAAATCTTTTACTTCTTATCACAAAGAACAATCTAGAAAAAAACAAATCCTCATAGAGTCTGTATTTGTAGTTAGTTAAACTTTAAAACATGGATACCCAGTAGACTATAGTCCTGAAAATGTAATACATACTCCCCATAATAAATTGCTCGGTTCGCTGCTGCCCAGTCAGTATTACTTTACGTGCGGTCATTAGGTTTGCATACTGTTACAGCAGCTAGTTACCGCAGCGGCCACCAGAGGGCATGTTAACTGCCACCACTGTATCAAGCGGCGCAAGATATCGCCCCTTCATTCACTTGCACACGTTTCAACCATTGTATTCTGTTACTCGTAACACATACTGTCCATTTTTATGTCGGAATTACAAAGAACACCTCTCTATGCTCATTGCTGGTGGTGCATCATGAACCGAACCCCCTTTTTGTTATTATAATGCAATTAAATGCAAAGGTGCAAGCGAGCTGGACAAGAATGACGAAAATAATCCCTGGAGAAGGGGAACAGGAGGGACAAAGGATAAACGCAAATCTCCAAGCACAGCTATAGGTGACTGGTGAGCGACCGAAAAAATCCGCCTGGTCCGGGTGTCGAACCCGGGACCTCTCCATTACAGGTGGAGTGCTCTACCTGGTTAGCCCAGTTGGTAGAACCCCTGGTTAGCTCAGTTGGTAGAGCACTCCACCTGTAATGGAGAGGTCCCGGGTTCCATACCCAGACCAGGCGGATTTTTTCGGTCGCTCACCAGTCACCTAGCTGTGTTTGGAGGTTTGCGTTTATCCTTTGTCCCTCTTGTTCCTCTTCTCCAGGGATTAATTTCGTCCCCTTTTTGTCTTTCTTTTTTTGTCAGGGGCGTGCCAAGAAAATAGTCTTCTTCATTCTACCGATTCACTCTGCTGAGGCAACTCCTCCTAAAATAACAAATGCCTGCAAACATCCTCCTCGCGCTCCATGAAACGTCATACGAGCATCCTTTTTTTTTATCTGCGTTTTATGGTGCCTTAAGCAGCTGGTAAGGCCTTAGGAGGGTTACCCTTGCACAAAGTGAAAGACCAATGGGACCAAAAATGCTTTCACACAACAAAGTGAGCCTCAGTATTAGACTTCTTTGAAAACATGCAAGGGCAGTGAAAAGGTCCACGTCAGGGTGAAAACACTTGTCATACATGGACTACATCCGAGTCAACAGAGGAATAGATTCCAGGGTAGAAGAGTAAACAGAAACCGTAGACCGACTTTGTCACTGGGGAACATCTGGTGAGATTCTATTCAACAGCGGGGGGGAATCAGTTTAAATAAAAAAAACATGTCGCAAACTAGTCGTCCATCCGAGACAGGCGAAAGACTAAGTGTATCCAAGAGACGCGCGCAATCATACAAAAATCTTCGTCCAATGTGGTGATCATAATTAATTCGTACAAATCGTCGCTATACGCACTCTAACCTTAGCATTTGACCGACTCCGAGGGAATTCCACGCAGTAGAAGAAAAGTTCAACTTCGATAAAACTAGCAACTGAAATAGGTCCAGTATGCGGGTGTAACTGCGAAAATTATTGGTAAGGCACGCAATTACGCCTAGGATGCATAAAGAATCATAGATAATTTTTTAGATGTGATAATTAAAATTGAGGTGCGAGTCAATCGAAACAGCAAGGTCAAGTACAACAACTTAAAAGGAGCCAGTTTGTACAACACCACAGGCAAATCCCATCAATATCGTTTTGTAACAGTTCACAGTCAGCAGGTGCGCAGATACTACGATAAATTTTGACATTGTCAGCAAACTGTAGTACCTCTGAGTCACGCAAGTTGCGAGGTCATTTTTAAAAATATTAAAAAGCGAAGGTTCAATGTTCGACCCTCGCGGTGGTACTCCGGTATTTGTCGCGTAAGGATATGATTTGCACTCTAAGTAGGACTCTTTATTTGAGCGATCATTAAGATAGTGTAGGAAATCGCGTACCGCCGCCGATTTGCCATTTCCCATGTGGTCCATCAACAAACCGAGTCCAGCCTGGTTCTTTCACGGGAGCGGGATTCCGCTCCCCGTTTATTCGTACAATAAAATACAACGCTACAAAACACTTAATCTAAACTACAAATACACGCGACATTACACAAATATTTACAAACGCACGTTAAGCCTAAAGCTAAACACAAAGAAGGCCCCCAGGCCTCGCATCCCGCAATATCCTAGATCCGGTCGCCACCCACTTGCCTGCCAGTGCCTGCGTCTCGGTCGCGTACGGAGTTCTTAGAGGCCTCTCGCCCCCTGCCCCACCGAGTATATCTATCGATGGGCGAGGAGGTTTCTCCTTGCCTGCCACGGGGGCGCCTGCAGCGCCCTCCAGTGGCTAGGAGAGAAAGCGGCGCGTCGGGAGCCGAATTCGAGATCCCGATCGACCCCGCGGCAACACGACCATGTGATCGTGTCGCGGCCAAGATTGGCCGAATGGTTTGATGGGCGCCCTCGTGAATGCACGGTGCGCCATAATAGCTGCCACATGCCACCGCAGCACTAGTGTCCAATCTGTGTCTGAGCTCCATATCACTGGGATCATGTCAAATTTATAGTGCACAGGCTTCGATTATTCTCGGCAGTGTTGCCTCGGGCCTGCGATAGCTCGCGATATAATGTAAATAAAATAAATAAAATAAATATAAAATGAATGAGATGAAAGGCAACAATCTCGGCCACGTTTTTGGCCGCAGTCTAGACGCGGGCATCGTAGCACCGCCCAAGGCAGTGCAGAGGGGTCCAGCTCACCTGGCGGGAAACAATGTCCCTGTGCTCTTGGAGCATGCGTTCCAGGAACTCCCACTGGCCCTGGATGCGGCTCAGTTCTGCGACCGACTTGCGGGACCAGCGGCTGAACAGCTCATTCTTGGCCTCTGCATTTCTGTACCTTGACGCAAACTGCCAGACAAAAGTGACGTAAAAATATAATTAGGTTCACTGTCATTAGAGCACGATGCACCCATCAAGACAAAGCGTGCGGCATCACTCGCGCGACAAGGTACGGTAAAAGTAGACGAAACGTCTGAAGTGTGCTAATCGCAGAGACTGAACGTAGAAGAGGCGGAGGACATCAAAGAAATGGCACCTGAACGACTCGAGATACCGAAGCGAGAAGTGACACGAAACAAATGTCTCTTGAGAAAAGACAACAATGCCTCGCGCAACTACCTTAATCCTGGACAAGCGGGGAAGATTCCACCAGGATGCATAAGCAAAGAAATGCCAACTGAAGTGAACAACTGTGGAGATGTAAAAAAATGCAGTTAAACACAACGTAAACAACTGTTGATCCACTGTTCAAAGATAATGCAGAAAGAGGACTCGCTCCAACTCCTATCCATGCATGAGGCAACCCGAAACCGAAGAGTGAAGTTCAGGTAGAGGACCTGGTTCTCGTTGAGGAAAACAAAACGACCATTTAGGGTGGAGTATCTTGCAGATTGCACGTTCTCTTACAAAGTGCCACTGATGTTTCAAGGCAGACAGAAACCAGAACGCGCAACAATTGGTGCATAAAAAAAATAATAAGGAAAAAGGCGATCGTGTAAAGAAGAGATTGAGATCGAAGAACGACCGACGACTCTGAACCACACCTGCGCCTTCGTCCACACCACGTAAATAGCAAACCTATATTTCTTTTCTAACATCGGTCCTTGCAATCATTACGCAACAACCCAGGTTCAATGTAAACAGGTTTGACTGTATACATCCTCCTTGGCTGAAAAGCTACCACTGCTGCACCCACTTCCCCTGCTGTGCCAGTGCCACGACCGCGGCAGGCAGCAGCACGACACTTCTCCAGCATCATCGGGCAGCGATGAAGGAAGCACTTTTAAAAGCGCAATGTCAGCGAGGCACCAATCACAGACGCATTCCACGCACCAACGTTTTGCGGTCTCTCTACCTCCTCAGAGGGGCCCCTTTCTCTGCGCGCAAGCCTCACCTTGTCTCTTTGTGCCAGGATCTCCGCAAAGCGAGCCCCTAGCTGCGCCACCTCTTCGGCGGACTGCGGCCGCTTGGACAGCGTCCCCAGAGCCTCCTGGAGAAAGTCGTGGACACCGACGGCGTCCGCGGCAATGGACCTCTGCAGCACTCGGACCATTGCGGAGTCCAGCTCCGAAATGAGGTAGTCCACGTAGGCACGCAGCGGGGAGTAGTTGACCACGACGCAGTCGAACCTCTCTTCCTCCCTTAAGAGTGAGCACGGGAAATCAGTACACATTGATGTCTCGAGCACTGCTAGGGCATACAACTTTTAGTATAACAAAACCAAATGAACAGAGTGCAATAAAGTTTCTCAAAGATGTGTTTAGGTAACACATTTATAATGCTATAAAATATCACAAGGGTAAGTTATAGAAGAAAAAAAATGGAGGCCTAAAAATCATGTTTTTTCTTCTAAATGCGCAAGAAGGAAAAACAGTCAAAACCGTCTAGTTGACGCTGCTACTCACTGCATGGTGGCGCAACATAAAGGAAAAGCTGAAACCCTTTTTTGAGATGAACACAGACAAGCAGATCTGAGCGTGTGTAGCACAATCTGCGAGTAGCAGCACCAATCGGAAAGTTTTTACCCTTTCCCTCCCTCTGCATAGGAGAAAAACAAGATTTTTTTAGGCTTACATTTCTTTCCCCCGATACCCACACTCGTTAAATGTTTGCGCTATAAATGCACCACCTGAAAACACCTTTGTGAAACGTTTCAATGCACCTCTTTCGCTCGTTTATTTGTACAAATTAGTTTCCACCCAAATAGCAATTAGGAATGCCTCGTAGAAATGAAGGCTGTCAAATGACGCCTGCGCAAAACACGGAAGGAAATCTCTGCCTAGAAAAGGGTTTCTCCAATTTTTCCATCTCGAGGAACCCGACCCAGGCACTGGGGTTGACGCAATAGAGCGGAGCAGGAGCCTACAGACCTTACAAACAGTAATGCACATTACTAATTTTAGATCTGCTAAGATAGTGCTCACACTGGGAAAACACCTCACTTAGTCGCGAGGAGGATAAAAAAAAAAATTTGAAAGCCCCCGTGTTTCTAGGAACCCGCTTTGAGGACTCGTGGCCTAGATCTTGAAACAGGCAACACCCATATGCAATTTAGTCCATATTTTAATGAGGTCCGGCGAAATGTACCCATAAATTTACTACACAAACTTTCCCCGCCAGCACTTACTGACGAGCAAAGTTAAATGGAAATTTCCCGGGATGTCGGAGTTGCCGATGCAGTCAACTCGCGACGATTTGAAGTTCCAGGGGGACAGCCAAAATACCCTTAATGAAGCAAGCTTCGAAGCGCAAAGAACACCTAAATCCCAGGTTCTCTTTACTGTTGGTGCACCCTCTTTCATACAGCTAACATGTCATACAAAAGACGGTCTGATGACGTGCATATGCTTCGAGCGCGTGTGAAAAGAACGCCAGCAAACGTCAGCAGAGAACGCCAGCGGAGAACTCCGCTGGCGTTCTCCGCTGGCGCAAAACCCACAAAGCTTGCGAGCTCTGCAGGTACTGCTGCACAGGTGCACAGATGCTCATGGACAGGTGCACTCAATGGAGCTTTCCCGCCGCGATCGACACTTCGAAAAAGACGAATATCGCAGTTCACCTCAAAGCGAATACCGAGTAGCGTATTACTCGAATCCGGTATTTGGAAATTCGAATATTTGCGCAACACTAAAATTAAGCGATCGATTGAAAACACATTTTATGCCCCGTAGTGACGTCGCAATTGATTAAGCGCGATTAAAAATAAGTGTGCCAAGTGTGATTAAAATTAAGCGTGCGAAAGCTTGTTGAGATTTTTGCGTTTGATCGTGACCGACCGCAACACGATCATTTGTGACCGCTTACGATGAGGCAGCCGCTACGGCTACCAAGGTCTGCGCAACGTATCTTAGTGAAATGCGGGGAGTTGTAGTGCGGTCGGTCGTACGCAGATGCAGACGTCTGAACCGGCCTTTGCGATTAGCACACTTGGGGTTTGTAACAGTTTCTCGGAAAAAAGTGAACATTTATCGAGCAGCGAGCACCGTCCGGGAAGTTACCTGCAGACTACAAACAAAGGCCAGCCCAACATTCCCTCGCCCAGCAGAACAGATTGGCATCGCACTGTTGCATCTATTTTTATGCCCCGTAATACTGATGCTAAAAAAAATTTAAAAAAAAACAAAATATGCGTAACAAATTGATGGGCAATTATGTTGCACGTAAAACGTATGGCATCTACTGTCTTGGCACTCTTCGTCGGTTAGTTTAGCGACTCGTTAATGCGTGGCACCCGGGTTCTAAAAACGAGTGACGGGCTGTCAGGTTGCCATCTGCCGGACGCAGAACACATGCTCCGCAGGGCTTTCCCTACAAATAGCTAGCGCCTCAACTCGCGGTGATGTCGTGACACGCTAGAAAGACACTCGCTTAATAGTCCAAAAAGGTCTGGGCTCGATTCTCATCGTAAAGGCATTTTTACTGCAATGGCCTCTCCTTCCTCTCCCTATCCCCCCCCCCCCCCCCCCCACTCAGAACCAATCAGTGTGGAGCCTCAGTCACTCTTTTATCCAGGATTCACTTTTAAGCTTCCCGACATTCTCAACACCTAGTCAAAGAACAACGTCAATATGCGCACAGACGGGCGCTGACAATGTAGGTCGTGCAGGACGGCGCCCTCCGAAAAAGGTGACAGTGGAAAGCGAGGTTAGGGGAGACTGTGTGCACGTGTACAGAATGGATTACTGGTGAATGGTCCACTGAATGACTAGAATAACACAAACACTTTACCCTCACACTCTAAAGGCAGCTTGGTGCTAAAAGCACCAAATATATTGTGACTGGGGGTTCCCAGAAAATCAGAGGCCTTTAGCACCTTTCTGGAAAGTTTCTCTTACAAACTTTTTGAGCATAAACAACAATGCAACGGGCAAGATGACTCACAGAAACATCTTTCCAAACTCCTGGCTCTTGGCCTTGACGACCCGGAAGTTGCGCTTCCAGTCTTCGGGGGAGCTGCACGACTGCTCTATGAACTCCTCCAGGTTTACGGATCCAAGGGCCACCCATTCCTACGAGGACATCCGCGCTTGAAACATTCAGTGCAGACAAAAAAACTGGCAAAATTTGGGTATGTTCACGTGCCAGAACAAAGAAAGGCATATGGCATGCTCCGGCAAAAGACTGAGGATTATTTCGACCACCTGATCCGGTTTGCTGCTGAATGCAGGCATCTCTCCCAATCATTTGTCACGTGACCGGCTCCACGAACACCTGGGCCGGTTTGCTGCTGAATGCGGGCATCTCTCCCAATGGTTTCAATCACGTGACCGGCTCCACAGAGACAAGAAACTACAGTCACCGACCGATTTTTTGGACACCAATAATTCAAACTTGTTCGATATTTCGGATCTAAACGAGGAACTGTGTCCTACCTGATAGAAATAGCGCATACTCACGGCCATTCTCATTATCGTTGTTACCATTTTGCTTTGTTCATATGCCACTCTACAGAGGTGGGCTTGCGCACCTCATCTTGTCTCGGCGAATTGTGTTTTCGGACTATGCCGGCTTGGACGTCACGGCCTTCCCCCCCGTTCTTCCACCGCCACGAAATGTCGCCAAGAAGCGCAATTCGCTAACAGAAAGTGGCCAAACGCAAGCAAAGGCATAATCTGAAGAGACGCACTATCGACGGCTTTTGTAAGCCCGCTTAGACGTAATAAAGGCAGGTTTTTTATTCTGATGATTTTTCGGACCGCTCTATTATTCGGACGTTTTTTGGGTTCCTGCGAGTCCGAAAAATTGGTCGGCGACTGTAAATGGTATCTAGTGTTCCAGACAAAAGGCTGTCGCAGATCCGTCCTCGCTTCGGCTATGCAACTCCAATTTTGTGCCCAAAAGGAGGGCGAACGGGCTTGAAATACGGGGGAAATGAACCCCACTCGTGCTCTTTAGAGCGGAATGTAAAGTTATTTCTGGGGAAGGTCGCACTGAGCGAGAATGAAAGAAAACGACAGGCAAGGCTCCTGTCTGCCGAGTGGAATCGGCTGGAATGCCAAAGTACTTCCTCTCCATGCAGCTGGTCACATGACATCGAAATACTTCTTGGAGCTATTTGAATGGTTGGGAAGTTAAAAAAGTTACAGGCCCTACAGGCCTTTTGTTGTGCAGCCAATATTCAGTTGCACGGCCCTTTTTCTGCAATGAGCCCCTAGCAATGAGCGCGGGCACCCCATCCCATCCTTCTCTCGTTTCCCCTCGCTCTTCTCTACGCCACTTTGTCCAACCCGTTGCTTCTCCCAGGACTGAGCACGCTTCCACTCACTCTCGCCGTTCCTGCTTTCGAAAAGCATGAAAAGCGACAAGGATCCCATCGTCGCAATTGTGCACACCGGCGAACAATGTCTCGCAAATCAACACCATTGACAATAGGAGAGCAGATTATTAGCTTAGCTAAAGTGGCTAAGCGGGCGAGTTGGTTCACGACTTATAAAATTACAAACGCTAACAAAGACGAGGACAAAAAGGAAGGTGAAAAGGACGAAAGCTTAGATCTGATTTAAAACCGTCGCTCGTCTCTTTCGCATGAGGCCGATCTGTGTATCCGTAATTATTGTTTTTATAGATGATACGACTCACGGATCATACGACGATTTTGCGCGGTCCCACAAAAGTCGTAAAATCGGGGTTCCACTGTACTACGGTAGTAATGCATTGACTGCAAGTCCGCTCGATTGTACTCTAGGCATAGAAATTAAATCCTATCGAAGCTGTAATAAAAGATTGGACTTCACTTTGGCATTTGCCAATGCATTGCTATAGCGTGTAAATGCCATTGCATCGCTATAGCGTGTAAAATGAGCGAGTTACCTCGAACTTGTCGGAAGCGCTTTCGACGCGCGCAAAAAGCTCCTCGGCGCGCCGATAGACTCCCAGGAAGTGGTGGGAGTTGCGGTCGGCGATCACCGAGAAGATGAGTCCCTTGTGGGAGGGGTCGTCGCTGACTCCCCTGAACTGCACCGGCAGGGACAGGAACTTCTTCACCTGCTGGTAGTACCTGGCACGGACCTCCTCCATCGGGGGACGCAGCTGAAGACGGCCGCTCCTGGGCGGTCGCAATCGCTCGGATTGGAGGACATTCGCGTGCGGAGTACCCACTAGCGGCCATGGTTGTGCACTCTGCAGTCGGTGCCTTTGACTGCTGTATTTAGAGTTGAGATAGCGTGCATTTCTGCAGTGAAAATGTAATGAGTTTGAGTGGAAAAAGAGACTGGAGTCACCGGTAAGTGAGGTCCACCCTGATCTCGGGCATGTGGTGAATCAGCGTCTCCAGGCAGAGCAGGTACTGGCACTCGAGAGCCTTGTACAACTGGCGGTCCCAGTGGGCGCACCAGGGACGCATGTTCTCCGACGAAAAGCCCTGCGCCAAGCAGGCTCTGCGTCGGGCGTCCGGCACGTCTCGAGGTGCTCGTCGCGAGGAATGCACGCCACAATGGTGCAGACGTCATCGGGTGCAGCAGACTGCCAATCGTAGCGGACGACAGTTTTGATCTTGTGCCGAAATTTGTACATGTGGTTAGAGCGTGAAGTGACAACACAGGAGCGATGCTGCCCGCCGCAGACAAGGTATCGGTTTTAGATTGTGGTGAGCTTTAAATAAAGATTGTGAGAGAAATATTACATTCCTTTCAAAAGAAATTTACGTAGAGCCGTTTATTCCAGACTTTTTCCAGATTTCGTCTCTCAACAATACAGTAAAGATAACCGGCTGCATTGTGCTTCTGCGGTCACGTGATTCAACAGCGGACGATCGCATGATAAACAAGTCGCGACTTGCTCAAAAATGAGCAAGGACCGCAGGGCAGCAATACTTGAATCACTTCGCGCCGGAAAGTTGCCTAAGCAAATCATTGCGTGGTATGGGTGACAAGACGACGCAAGTTTACAGCATTGCCAAGAGAATCAGGTAATCTGTCACCCAGGAAGACGTTAGGGCAGACCGAGCAAAGCACAAAAAATGGTCACTAATCACTATTAATTTTATCTTTGCCTCCGTGTGCTTTCCTCAATATGATGAATTTTCCGAATTTATCTCGACGACCCTGTATGATCAACCATTAACTCAATTTTTCGGCAATTGACCACTGCAGGGATGCCCTTTAAGAATAGAATTTACATGACAGCATTATGCTGTCATTGGTTGCGCAAATAACATAGGGAAACCCAAATTAAACGACAAAACAGTCGATTTTTGATGGTACCAGTACGCAGTGCACATTCCGTCCAGGTAACGGTCCCCAAATGAATGGCCAGTTTGTCGTCTGCTATCGAGAGAGGGTGCATGCCCCAAACCTCCTTTTCTTCGCCTAAGCAGTTGAAATACCCCGAAGTACAGTGACGGCACTGTAGTCGGACAAAATTGCACCACCTAGGAGGCCTATGATGCAAAAAGTCTATATTAAACGGCCAGAACCACTAAAAGTAATGCTAAACCTCTCTTTGGAGGAACTACCGCTGCCAATGCACTGAGAACCCCTATGAAGGCTACGGCAAGGCTGTCGACACACCTTCTGGTGCAGCAACATGGAACTCGGAGATACAACTTGGAGCCTCAACAGAAGTCTTGCCACAAGCATTACTGGCCCCATTGCAGTTGGCTCCGGTTCGAATGCAACCCGAGTTTTACAGCCTGGCCTCACCTGGTCCCTGAGCTTCACCATGACGGACCTGATGTCGGTGAGGGCGTCCTTCCAACCCTGTTGCTTCGTCAAGAGGTCCATGTTGAACAGGGTCAGCACCTAGAAGAGAAAAACAATGGCCCCTTTGCCGTACTAGCGTGGCAAAGGCGGAGGTAATGCACAATGTGGTGCGTTAGTGTGGAAAAGGTGCGTAAGCGTGTAGAGACTGGATGACGGAAAGTAGCCACGTGTCGTGCAAGGTAGGCACCCGAGCACTCTGTGGATGCCACGCTAGTGGGTGCTGTCGTCTGTGGTTGCGGCGTAGATGCGACTTTTTGGAAGCCTGTTGGAGCACGAGATGCGATGGACATGTGGAAGACGGAACAATTGGCACGCGGGAGCGCTGAGCAGAGCCCTTGCGCCAGCTCGCAGCGGGAGAACCAACCACTAAAACTAATACCCCGACCCCTTGCAGAAAATTGAGCATCTGCTTTCTTTTCTGTTGCTCTCTCTCTCTCTCTCGCTTTTCTCTGGGGAAGCCCGGAGTGCGCTCATTTCACGGAGCAGAGCAGCGCTGCATGTCTCAACACGCAATGTTTTTGTTTCAGTTCATTTCATTTAATATACCCTTAAAGCGTCCACAGGGCTTTGCATAAGGGGGCAAGTACAACGTAATCAAATTAAAACACAAACAGAAAAGAAACAAAAAAGGCATTACGGTTGCTGCGCATCGAAGTGTCTGGTAAGAGAAGCTCCGAAACCAGAGGATTCTTGGGTGAATACAATATTATCGGGAAGGAAGCTCCATTCGTACGTAGCTCACTCTAGTGGTGAGAATTTCAAAATGTCTGTTTGTGGGGTAACCAAATGAAGTTTTTGCGAACTGTCAGTACGCGCAGAAACGTGTGCTGCAGCCCGGCAACACAGTTCTCCCCTTGATGGGCAGTGATAATACAAAGTGCGGAATGATTTGAAATTTTTCTTCTGTCTGCGAAAGGTGGTAGTCCAACACACTTCCAACCGAGCAGGACCGAATGGGTGGTAACCCAGTCAGTCCTACTCGGTTGCAATTGTGTGAATGGGCCTTTAGACTCCGTGATTTCGGATAAATCCGAGAAAATCCGGAAAAACACTCACCGGTAAACTTTTCTTCAATTCAGATTATCGGAAAAACTCGAAATGTCGACGTTACGATGTCGAAAAAGAGAATTGTGTATTCTACAAATAAGCTCGGTCAGAGCAAAAGGTCAGTGATCATGAGGCCTCTCCCACTTCCTTTTAAATCTCGCACTATTGGCTAAAGGAGGTTCGCCGTTTATCTCGTCAACTTTTGTTCAAAGGGTCATTCGAATGGTCAAGGGAAAAGCCACCGCTTTAGTTTTGAGTTTTAACTTGTTAGGGAAAGGTTTTTTTCTAAGAGTGAAATCTATGATCATAGGAGGGAGGAGGATTACTAAAGGCTCCATCGCGCCACTCCGGTGACTCCCCCCCTGCGCAGCCGCAGGATGCAGTGGTGGAAGGAGATGGGAGAAAACAAGCTTTTCAGAGACGTCGAGGATTTCAGGATTTTAAAGTATTCAAGTTTACTAAAGCAACGCTTGTTTACAAGTTTTGTTGTGAGAAAGATAGAAATTACTAATGGCAAGGGCGCAAATGCCCAATCCACGTGAAGAAATACCATTCGATACGGCTGAGTTCCTTCGTATTTAGGGCAGGTTTGTGTCCAGATATTTGTTTTTATGTGGAATTTAAAAACAAAATTGGGTAAATAGCAAGATTAAACTTTTAATTTCAGAGAATCGAGGATCCATCATAAATAAACGGCGATAAACTCTGAATTTCGGCAAAAAAATTAACTCAGAAAAGCAGCTCCGAATTTCAGGAGAAATAAACTCTGAAAAGACGGAACGCTGGGAGTAAGAAACGGCACCTTGGCGCAGATGTCAAAGTGGTGCCGGCGCAGCATGCGGTTCTCCCGCGACAGCTTCTCGACGACGCCCCTCAGCTGGGCGATGTGGGCGTCCAGCGACTCCGGGTCGTTCCAGGAGATGCGGCCCCGATCGCCGATGAGGCGTGTGAAGTGCTGGGCAGACGCCAGCATCAGCGGCTGCTGACTCAGCACCATGTGGTCCGCCACCGTGCTGTAGAAGTGGGCAATCTGCAACCAGGGGGCAAGGCTGTCAAGGATGCCATCCCATCGGGTTTCGCGGTTCTTCCGAGGAGCCGCCGGGTGCTCGCAGGTGGAGCTACGCCCGGAGCATCGACATCCCATTCACCGATTGCCTCGTGGACGCCGCCATTTTGGTACTTTGCAGAGAGCGGATGCAATTGGCAATAGTCACAATTCGAAAATGCAACTTTCTAATCTTTAGGTACGGTGTGAAGACACTTTAAGATATCGTTTTGCACTGTCACAGACCGTTCTAACACTTTTCGAGGACGGAGAAAAAATGTTTCGTGCGATTTCGAATAAAGCTTCAGATTTATCTGGCAACAATATCTTTAAGCCGTCAACGGAAGCCCATCTTTCCTTCTCTCTCTTCCATGGGCACCACGGGCATGAGTGGAATGATCGCCGTCCTGATGTCACGAGCGCTCCACCGCCTTCCTCCTTTCAAATCATTAAGATGGCTGAAGTGCTGTTGCTCTGAAACGTACCGTGAAAACCCGCATATAAGACAAGGTTTTTTTCCAAATTCTGCCATGTAAAATTTGCGGCTTGTATTATACGCGGGTCCCAACAATTTTCAGCTTCAATGAGGAACGATCCAACACAGTTTGACGTAGTTTCGGTTTCCAAGCAATATGGCGTTCAAAACAGCTATCATCATCATTAAAATCACAAGGCACTCACTATGGTGAGGAGGCCCCGTCACTGTAGTGCGGTAGGCAAAAGTCAGGGGCCCCGTCTCCGGTGCGGTCTATGTCTAACGAAACGGTGAGAGTGCTTATAATTTATACACTATACACACTTTAACCTAAGCCCCCCTTTCCCCCCCCTTCCCCCCACAAGGTCGACAATTCAATCATGCGGCATTATTGAAAGTTACGAAGGGCTCGTCACTGCAGTGCGGTAGGCAAAAGTGAGGGGGCCCCTCACCGTAGAGTGGCCGGCAAGAGTGAGGGGGCCCGCCCTGTGCTGTATGTAGTGGAAACAGTGAGAATTAATAATTTGTAATTTACAAGCACATTAACCCACGCTTCAGGGTCCTGCCCCTAACCCTACAAGTAAATATAGCGTCTGTAATATAAGTAAAAAAATAAAAAGTGAAAAAAAAAATATTGTCCAGAACGCGATTCGATCCGTAGACACCCGCTCGTGAAGCCAATGCTGTACCTCAGCACCTAGGAGCGCTTTTGGAATGGCATATCCATTGGACATTTATATCGGTTGCTGTTGCCCCGTCACCGTAATGCAGTTTCTAGAGTGAGGGGCCCTGTCACCGTAGTCAGTTCCAAATCACAATTTCCGAGGCGCCACCATCCGTCCACAGTCCGGCGTCAGGCTAGGCAATGGCGTCGGTGCGAAAACAATGCCCGACCGCCTTCCAAAGAGAAGCCGTTTTGGTTGCGGAAGACATTGGCAACAGTGCTGCCGGACGACCATTCGCCGTAAATGAAGGCAGCATTCATGGATGGAGACGACAAAAGCAAGCTCTGTTCGCGTGCAACAAAACAAGGAGAAGCTTTAGAGGCCCAAAGAATGGCGTGTTCGCCGACGTCGAGGCAAGACTCAGCGAATTTGTAAAAGAGCAACAAGAAATGGCACCTCGCCAACCTCACCGTAAACATCGAGCTGCTGCAAGAGATGGCGAGAGAACTTTGGCGAGCTGACATTGGGTTGCTCGCTTTATGCGCCAGGTTTTCACTGCATAGGCGCACGCTCGTCGCTCACTTTTTCAAGAAGTGCGGGATTTCAAATGCACTCGACGGCACTGAAGACGACTGCCTTTGGGAAGAGGCGTCGGACAAGGAGTCTGATGGAAGTGATGACAGTGGTTAAGGTTCAATTACGACGCAAGTAAACGTTTTTCTTAAGACTTCCTGGGTCATATTTTACGCGTAAAATTTTCGCGGTCTTTAAATTGTTTCGTATTATATGTGGATAAAACTTTTTTTTTTCTTTTTCGCAGTCCTCGAATCATGCCTCGTATTACATACGGGTTCGTATAATATGCGAGTTTTTGTGGTAGCTTTTAGAGGCTTTCTTTCAGGGTATAATATTCCATTGTGCTTGCTAGGAGCAGAGAGGACACTCTCCAGCTTGCAATGCCATGGCATGGCCGGCCGAGTTGGTCCCAGATGCCCATGCGACTCGAGAGATGGTATGGTACATGGTCTGCACCCGAACAAAACGTGCCCAACATATTTCACCATAGAAATTGCAACAATATAAGTTGGCGGCCTAGTCGGTTAAACATTACAAAAAGTGTTAGCGTGAAAGGCAAAGGACAAGTAGAAGACTGAATGGGACAAAAACAAACGAGACAAACTAGCTGTCGGAGCACGGTGACATCATTACCCGCCGTAGACGAGCAATCTAGCCGGTCCAGTACGACCGCCAGCCCGGGGTCTCGAACGCGCTCCACACAGGAGCGATACACGACCGTGCGCCGGCACGACGCTTGTCCGGATTGAAACGGGCAGGGGTGGGAAGTTCCCTGCCCATTTTGTGCATTAACGCGCTGCCCATTTCAACCTAGATGAGCACTGTACTGGGTCGTGGTCGTGTACTGCTACTTCCCGATGCGCACGGAAGACCCCGGGCTAGCGGCACTACTGAGCCTGCTAAATTTCTCATCTACAGTGGGTAACAAGGGCGCCGTACCCCAAACGCAGACTAGTAGTACAATGTTTAAATGCGACCACATAAAAAAGCACGCGGAGCGCCGTTTGGGGAACAAGCTTTCAATTCAGGTGCTTCCAGCTGCAGCAGGATCGATGCCCGACAACTCTAAAGCCACGTCCACACTGGCAATACGTCGAACAAACAGAAAGTTTGCAGACACTGTATGTTCCTTGTATAAGGGTCCTGCCACGTCAGTCATACAACTCTCTGCACACTAAGCACACATACGTACGAAGCAAAAATGCTTAGAAAATCCCGGAGCCACGTCCGCAGACAGTTCCGTCTTCGCGTCTGCCACAAACATTGTGTATTTTGTACAACGTAGGAAAACGGTGACCGTGGCCTAAAGCGCTCACGACCCCGGGAGGGAGACGTCACCTGCTGCAGGTCCTTGGCCTGCCGGTAGTACTTGCGAGCGTCGGCACAGAGGGCCTGGATCTTGGCGGGGATGGCGTAGCCCAGGGCCCGAAGCTGGCGCACCTCCCGAATCAGCGACACCAGTCTCGGGCTGTAGTTGACCACGGGGTGGCCCCTGCTGTCCAGCTCCATCGCCGCCTGGTTCGCGTCCAGGCTGAGAAAACACAGATTTCCCAACGCGAGGGGTCAGAGTACGGCGTCTGGAGTCACTAAATTGCTACTGCCTACGGCCGACTGTCTCAAACCCTCTGAAAATCTCTTATGACTCTTCTTTTCACTTTCTTTCTTTCTTGCCTCGGAAAAACTTTTAACGATGTCATGAACGACCATTCCTCATACATAGTACTTGCGTTTTATCTTGTAAATACCACATGACCTTCGCTCTAGTGGAATGCAGTTCCGGGGTCACCTTGTAGATGGCACCAGCGCTTTCTTCCGTCGTAAGAGATCGTGAGAACTCGGTCCTAAACAGATGCCGGCCTGTCTCGCGGGTGCCGCCTTCTTGTTGCGCAGTGCAGAGTGAGTGCACACTGGCGATGGTTACGACTCGGAAATTAAACTTCCAGAGCTTTAGGTACAGTGACAGGATGACGGGAGGCTCAGGCGATATCGTTTTGGCTCTGTCACGGGCCGTTCTGGCATTTTTGGATGACGGAAGAGTGTTTCTGCAATTTCAGGTAAAATGTTGAACATTTGGCGACAATGACTTTAAGCAACCAGATGGCTGAAGTCTGTAGCTCATTTGGTGACTCTAATGATGGCAACGTGTCTATGCTGTCACCAAATAAAGCCCGTCTTGGTTAGTTTCCACAATGTTTAACGACATTTGTTAAATAAACAAGCAATGGTTAATGTTTTTCGGTGAGCTGCATCACAAAGCTAAATAGACTGGACCACTCATGTCCAGTAACTACGGTTAATTATTCTCGATATCAAATTTTCAACGTAGGCTTGCGTGTAATTAGATTTTCCCCATTTACTCTTTTATCACTGCAAGTGACAAAAAAGGAATGTAACGCAATATTGCAACACGTAATACTGAAAAGCTTGTTTAGCTTTTTTGTGAATTCAAATATTTCTCATCCCAATCAGCCTGGTTTCAGGCGGCAGCTGTCGACAGTTACTCAGCTTGCTGAATCCGTCCGTGACTTTGCAAAAATCCTAAATAAAAAATGACGGGTAGGTGCAATATGGCTCGATCTATCGAAAGCGTTCAACCGTCTCCTGCGCACAAAACGTCTTACAAAATTACTTCACCTTGGCATTAATTTGAATATTGTAAAATGGATCCAGTCTTACCTTAAAGGGCAACTCCACTCAGAAAGTCGACCCTATCGAAATGACTGATATCGCTTTAGGAGGTCAAAATACGGTCATACCCAAAATATTACGTCAAACCGACGCCGCGTTATCGATTATAACCAATATTAAAAATGTTCTCCCGGCTCGGTTAGCGGCCCGAAAGCGGGTGAGCAACGCTGGCACCGGGTGAGCTAGTGAAGCAACACTGGGCAACGACGTAGTTCTAGTCCTACGCTCTCGTACGGACGCCGCGAGCGCTTCGTTTCCCGTGGCATTCTGCGATTCTGCTGACGGCACGAGGTGTTTACCACATTATTTTGTGTTTCCCTATTTTTATTAGTCTCCAGGCAGTTCCTTTAACTCCAGCATTGCTTCCGCGACAGCGCGGAAGAGAGCGAAGCGGTGCCGCTCGCTCACGCGCGCGTCGTGGAGCCGGAGAGATTTGCCGTACTCGCGTTGGGCAATGTCGAGCAGGATTTGTAGTGGCCTGGGTTGCACCAAAAACCCGGTGCGCAACCCGGAGCTGCGGTTCTACCAGTTCCCAAGAGACCGTAAGAGACACAAGGTGTGGGTCGGTGCCGTTCGCCGGATAGACTTCGGAAGACCGTCGACTCTGAGCTCCAACGCGAAGCTCTGCTCCCAGCACTTTACGTCAGACACCTACACACGGGATCTGCGGCTGCTGACTGTTGCGGGTTTCTCCACGAAACATGCGTCTTTGAAGAACGATGCGGTGCCGTCGCTGTTCGCGTACCGTCCGCCGGCTGCTCCAGCACGATCGGCCGGACGCAGCAGGTCGCGGCTGATCTAACTATAGCGTGCACATAAAGGCACCTTAGCTTAGCAACTTAGACCACTTGTAAATAGATCTGTCCATCTATCTCCCGTTATTTCGTTTTCTCTCGGTCCGCGAGCAAAAAACAAATACAGTCACGCTGCGCCGGACCCGACCGCGTCATATTTATAGCAGTCGGATTCGCTTTTCGGCCAGCAAATTTATAAATACACACTAAAACTTACTACATTTGGTGCATATTAACAAAGTGAAGCGGTAAAAAAAGAAAATGTGCATCTAACCTTCTGTCTTGAAACTCCACGTGCGATTGAGCCGACCTTGTCGGCGCGTCGGCTGAGAAGCGCGGGACCAGAACTAGGTCATACCGACGACGCGCCACTAGTATCAGTGTTGCCAAGCTGCTTCAACCGGTAGTTTCGGTTTCGCCGTGCCGCGGGAACGATACTTGGATTCGCGATATCTACAAAACTATACACACTACCGAAAAACAAATTATATCTCGTGATTCAGGGCCGCCGGCTTCGACTAAACAGATCATAACCCAAAAATTGTAAAAATGGAGTGGAGTTGCCCTTTAACCACAGAACATGGTTTGTAGAAGTAAATGGCGCAAAATCAGAAATTCTAAACGTATCATCGGGTGTCCCTCGGGATTAGTGCTGGGTCCCAATTTGTTCCTAAGCTACATAAATGATATTGCAGATAAGCTCAACACTAACCTGACAGTTCGCCTATTTGCCGACGATTGTTTAATTCATTAAAAAATCTCAAGATAAGGAAATCAGGTCAGACTGAATGCAGCATTAAAAGTTATCAGCAACTGCAGCATGCAATAAAAAATAAAAATACTTAAAAAAAAAAAAAAACTGTTTGCAAGGATAGCAAACAAAATGAAAAACCTATTACAGTCGAACCCGGATATATCGAATTCAAAGGGGATGAAAAAATAGTTCGATATATCGATAATTGGATATACAAAAATATGTTAAATTAAGCTCTAGTTGAAATTTCCTGGCGTCTCTCCTAATACCAAAGATCGCGACAAATGGGAGCTTACCAAATAGAGCATCCAGGAGCTTCTAAATACAGTAGAGCGTAGTTGGCAGAGACCGCAAACACTGATGGACCTCCACACCAGCATAAGCAACAAAACACAAAAAAAAAAAATTATAAAAAATTACTGAAAACGGAAAAGCGAGTTGAATAAGAAAACTCACTAAATTCAGGCAGCACACAAAAATGAAGGGGGAAAACAATAACGGCAAAAGAAAAAGGTAAACAAAGATAAGGCGTTCAAAGTGCAATTGCACAACCGTTGTTGTCGAAACACTCGACTTGCCGAAGACTTCTTTTTTGCTTATTTTATTTTGGGACTAAAGAGTCGCATAGCATCAGCAGTGTTTGGGGAAAGGGCACAGGCTAGCGTTCCAACAGCAGGCACTCCCTGCTCTCCCTATGCGTGCGCACGTGCCCTTCCCCTTGCTTCTGCCATCCTCCTTTTTTCTTTTTTCCGATTGTCTCCTTTGCTAGAACTGCTCTTTTGCTGTGCATCTTCTCGCCTGCATGTTGGCTTGGCGGTCTGCCAGGCACACAACACAAGCGATGTGCTTGACACCTCCACAATAGGATTGCAAGAAAAGCAACGGGTGGCCGGGCTTCATTCGCTGTATCGAGTGTCCCCTCCATGGGAGTTCGATACAAAAAGACAACGCTCTTATACTATTGCATATGATTTTCAAAGGGATGTTTGGACTGTTCGATATAGGCAATAATTCTAAATACCCGGGTGTGATATAACCGGGCTCGACTGTATTTGGTCATGCGTTGGACAGTGCACAGTTGACGTGCGTCAGTCACTTAAAATATTTGGGACTTACTATAACTGGAGATCTAAGCTGGAAATGCATATAAAAAAATAATGACCGCATCTCCACGTGGTGAATGATGTTGATTGGGGCGAAGCTCTGGTGGTGCTGATGAGACTGACTTTATTGTTCATAGGTAGTGCTGATGGTGCTGATTTTTTTTTATTGCTCATAGGTAGTGCTGAGTTCCGGGTTGCGTTTCGACTTCATTATTACAGCTTTATGGTCGGTGAAATGCAGAGCCAGGGGTTCTTCTCATCCTTTTTCATTGTTTTCATCCATGTCAGAAAGAGAATGTGTGGTATGGAACGTGGTTATATACGCATTTGAGCATTTGACCGAAGCGCCCTCTCGTCTATGAACGTTGAGCCAATGCAAGCAAAGTTTAATGCGCATTTGATATACGCATTTGACCGCAGCGCCCTCTCCTGTATAGACAGGGTTTACTGTCATCATTTGTTTGCTGACGGACACGATACTGGGGAAACTAGCCTTTAACAGCTCCGCTGTAATAATCTCCGCTATTCAGCTGAAAGAAGACTATGGTGACCGAGACAAGAAGTAAAACTCAGTTGCTCAGAAGTTAAATTAACTGCCTATTTAACCCTAGTACATCCCGTATTGGAGTATGCGTTTGTAGTATGGGACCCATTTAGACAGTACCAAATTGACAGAAGTGAACAGGTTCAAAGAAGAGCAGCAAGGTGATATTATCAAAGTACAGAACAACAGACTCTGTTAGTGAAATGCTAAAAATACTTAGCTTGTCACATCTTGAATATAGACAAAAAAAATAGCTAGGTTAAAATTTTTTTCTTCCATGCATCGATATCTTTTTAACTCCGACGCTCAACGTTACAAAAAGCCACAAAACCTCTTGCAGTCAGAAGCAGCTATCCAGATCAAATCATTTTTACCACAAACCATACAGGATTGAAACTCTCTTCCCTGTGATATACAGTATAGACCACTTACAACGTAACCGCTTATAGTGCAGGACCGGGTATAACGCGGTTTTTTTAAACCACCGGTTCCCCTCCCATAGAACTCCATGTAATTACATACCGCTTAAAATGCAGGCGCGCGAAGGGAAATACCGGTTATAGTGCGGTTGCTGGCACAGCCCGCCGACCGCGCCGACAACCGGAGCAGCGAGCACGCTTCCCTGTGCGACACTAGATAACGGCGCGAGCCGCAAACGGCTCTCGCGGGGTAAGGAGGTTGCTCGGAGAAGCGAAGAGAGAGGCTTCATTTGCCATAGCGACGGAAGGACGCACGCACATGTCGTTCATGTGCGTGCGTCCCTCCGCTGCGTTGGAAACAAACAACCGCAACGACAGACCAATCGCAGGTCGAGAAGTGTTCGCGCGCGTTGCATGCCAATCGCGGGCCGGCGGCTTCTGTCCGCAAACATGGCGTCGGTTATGGCGTTCATCTCATCGTTCCGCGTAAAAACGCTATCCTTGACAATGAATTTTCGTTGTGTGTCGCTATGATAACCCAGCATGTACTAGAAGGGAAGATCCACCTACTCGTGCGGCGATGTGGCGGCGCTCTCAAGACGGCAGAAACGCCCGTGTCGTCGTGTTTGTTTACTTCGGCTAAAGTGGTGCTTTCTAAGCATTTGTGTTTTCGAACATCGCCCGGATTTCTTATTTGGAGCATTTCATGCCTGTGCTCAAGTTCAAGGTATTACTGGCGCGTACCGTATGAGGGATGCGAATTTTCACGTGTTTTCATCTCCGGAGAAAAGTGATTAGGGTTAGCAATCCTGAACGCTCGCAACGTCCGTCCGCAACCCGCGACGCCGTTAAAAGGCTGCGCCAGGCAAAAGCCGCTTATTTCTTTCAAAATGTGTGACACACTTGAGAGAGATGTGTACTAGTCTGGTAAAGTAAAGACTTTCCTCAAACTAAGCTTTATTTTTCATCTAACATAAAATAAATTCTTTTACAAAGGTAGGTTGTCCCATGGCATGTATTTTGGCCTGAAAAATTGATGTTTTGGTTATAACGCGGTACCGCTTATAGTGCGGATTTTCGCGACTCCCGCGACATACGTTATATGCGGTCTACTAGTGAAAATGGACTCTCCAAGCCAATTCTTGAAATAATGTGCTCGCCTGCATGGCATCCTATGGTACAGGCTAGGCTTTATACCATATTTATTTTTTGCTTTTTACATGTTTGAGCGTATTGAACTTTCTGCGATTTATTTTGAGTTGTGATCAGTGAGGTCGTGCTTGCTCGATTGTGCGTTAAACATTATTTTTAAAAATAACTGTGCCCAACTCTGGCGCATGTGGCCAAAACATTGGCCCAATGTGTATATTTTGTTTTCTACCGGGTCGAGTGCGAAGACTGCACCCTGTATCGGCCCTTCTGGGCAAACAGTATCGATAAACAAAAAGTGCCCGTTCCACTCCTGCCTCCCTCCCTCCGGATAGGGTCCCCCATCAGATCCACTAATTCCGAGGGGTTCCCCCGATCTTCAGTGGTTGAGAACGCTTGCCCAGTGTGTGCATCATTGTTTACAAAGCCTGCAGGCTTTGAGCACGGTTAGAAATTGCCCAGCTTACTACTTTACTACCTGCAGGCTTCTTTACTACGACGTTTGTGTTTGTACGGTGCAAGGTCCGTCCGGCTCTGGGGTGCGGCGACACTGGTTTACACCATAGGCAAGAAAGTTAGACAGTGCAGTACCAATGCTAGCCTGGGGTCTTTTACATGTACCACGCAGCAGTAAGACACGACTGCACGCCAGTACAATGCTCATCCAAATCGAAACGGGCAGAAGTGGGTATTGAACCCAGGATCCTGAATTCTAGCGCAAGCTTTCGCTCCATGCACCCGAGATGCGGCACACTCAGCCACCGATCCACCCTCTCGGCTGCCAGATGGGGGTTCCTCGACGTTAAAAAAACTCGAGAACCCCCGCTTTAAGGGACGCAAGCATGCATACCGTGAGGCTACAACACGGATGCTTGCGGCTTCACCTGAGAGCCTTGTCCCTGCCGAGTGCCTGCACCTCCCTGCTCCAGCTATCGAAGAGCTCGGTCAGCTGGTCCTTGAATTCCCCCAGCATCTCCCGGGCCGTGCGGAGAAGATCCTCGCAGCCCTCAACGTCCTCCAGGAGCATCTCTGTCACTTCCACCACGTCCGTCAGCTGCAGAGCATGCCTCGGTGTTCCGTATTGATACGACTACCCTAACGATTCCCAAACAACGCGACTCAAATGCACGGGTCGGCAAGGTAGGAATGACTACCATTACTGCAAATTCTTTGCTTAAATAATTGTGGAAGTTGATGCCTGACACTTCTGCAGTGAACTACAGAAAACAGATTTTGCCTGGATACCCTAGTTTTTATTAAAAAAAATTGAAGAAGATCCGGGTTTTTGCCGCCTCTCAACTCGTACATCGTCTTACGGGTCACGTGCGCAGTGACGTCACTTGAGTAGGCGCGGGGTTCCGGAAAAGTTCTCTCTTTAGAGCCACCAGCGAGCAGCGAGAACTCATCCGCTCGCGACCGCGTGACCACGTGCTGGCGGGCGCCCCGCGAAATATATGGTGAAAGGAGGAAAGTCTCATCCGCGTCCGGCCATACCCGTCCTTGCCCGTCCAGCGCTGTCCCCCTTCCCCTCCGGCTTCTGGCGGCTATTCGCGGTTTTGTGGACCTAGGATAGATGGCGCCACTAAAAGTCCGTATTATAAAAGTTTTGTCGATGATACCAGGGTTTTGACGTATTTATATATATGTTGGAACGACAAGATTTACAGAAAAGTTACCTTTTATCGAGCAGGTATTCGCACAACTTGCTATCTTTTTTACAACTACCCAAGTGACGTCACGCCGCTTGTTTCTAATGGCCGCCGCTCGTGGCTGCAGGTCGGGAAATATTCTAAGTTTTGCCTCGCTATTACGCGGCGGAATTGCAACATTTCGATGAAAGGAGGTGTGTTTTCTGCCATTTGTGACACAGTGAACAATATCAAAAGCAGAAAATGCCAATTCTTTCAACGTTAAAATCGTTGCACAGCTCCTTTAAGGGTATGCATCGATGTTAGTGAAATATAAGAAGAGAGATGCCTCGAAGCAAGAGCCCCAGTCGGTACAAAGGGTCCCGAGCTTTCGCGGATCTATTTCCTTTGTTTTCCTTTTAAAGCGCTACCTTCGTAGGGCCAACCAGCCTCGGAAGCTGCGTAAGCATGAAATGTGTAGGACGGTCAGTCCGTAACCGCTAAACAATCTTGGAAAAAATGGCAACCAGTGCCAGAGGTTGAGCCCCAGTCGCCGGCATGGGAGCTACGGTTGCACAGCTCACTGAGCTACGGACCCAGTATACACGTCCCCGTGTCCTTTTTGAACACGCACAACATCTCGCACAATCGTTCCACCAAAGCACACGTCTCCTACATCATTTCCACTGAAAGCAAGGAATCCATTGCAAACATTGTGCAGCACACGGGCTGCTGGCAAATCTCTTCCTAGATGCGTTTCCACAACGAGCAGCTACTGCAGTCCATCGCACCCCACTTTGTGTGGTCGTTTGCATTTTTCTTTTTTTCAAAGTCCAAATAGAGCAAAAGACGGATGTAGAAAACTGATTTTACATTTCCATGGCGTTTGTTATAAGTGGGCTGCACTGTATAACTCCGAGTCGAGCTCGTTTTGCAAAAAATATGATATAATATATATGGCGCCTGCGAAGGTCTGTCGTGAGACCCAATCTGAGCGAGCCAATATTCCAAAATAGCGCTCAAGTTAACCAGTTATTACTGCGCGAGATCAGGCATCGTCCCTTCCTACAATAGTTTGCACGTTGCGAAAATGTGCCACTATGCTGTAGACATGCTTCGGTTTCGCATGTTCGACTCGTGATAAACCCAAAAAGGGAACAATTCGAACAACTATTATTTTCGACGATTCTACCGACATTGTTAGAAAGGTGTTTGAGTTGAGGCTGCAAAGTGAGGGGAATTTAAGCAACCCGTTCATCCGCACACCGATTGAACTCGGCGTCGCACCTTTGCCTGGAGGTGTCGCAGATCAATGATGTTCTTGACGACCTCCGGAACGTTGATGACCTCGGACCCCGTGCCGTGCTTGGACCGACGCTTGATGTCCTCCACGTACTCGGACAGCTTGCCCAGAAGAACCTTTCTAGAGAATTATCGATCAATCAATCAAAGGCTCATTTTCTCCGAATAACAAAGGGAATCTCCCACAAAAAGCCGTTAAGAAAATCGGCAGCTTTTAGCCAAAACGTGCAAACAGGTGATACCAATAGCTGTTATTGTACGTAGTAACAACCCCTCTTGCGCATATCCATTCTTTATTTCCTCAACCTCACACAAGACAGTTTTGCACCTACTGCAGTATCTAGGAGAGGGAACACAATGCACAGCACATCGCCGTCCCTGCCCCAAGATTAAGTTGAGACATACCATTCAGCTATCGCTGTAAGAGTGCAATGTTTTGCTCCAGCCCGAGGGACTGCCGGGCACGCAAGGGCACCCGCCTCTCCCGCCATCACCCCGAAAATATTGAAACCTTTCGAATTCGAACCTAGGGCGGTTCACGACATCCAAAAATTGTTTCTTTGGTCGCTCAAGACGTTCCGACTGCTCATACCCAAAAAGATGGCATTAGCATGACTGGTGTCTACAATCCAGTCACTTCTGACATGGCATTAAAAAATATATCAGGAGAAACCTTCGCGTAAAAACCCCAATGATTGCTACGATTTTCGTTATTCTTTTATGCATTTGGTCAGAATGTTATTCGACATACATACGTTTGTGTTTCAGCACTCTAGTTACATTGTCTCGTTGATTTTATGCGCTATATAACTTTGCTGGTTTACAAGAGTGCAGAACTACTTTGCGTAAACATGCAGGTGAAAGAAACAATTGCAGATTTTCAGTTATTTGCGCAGGGAGCTACAGCTCAAAATCACTAGCTTCCTACAAATAGAAATAATTTCTATTAACACACAAAACTGTGCCGGTACAGTTGCTATATCCTTTATTTTGATAGAACAAAGGTAGCAAATACACTGGAATCTCGCTAATTTGAACCCGAGGGGGACCAGAACTTTGTTTGAATAATGCAAAGTTTGAATTACCGGGGGTTTCCTTCCTAGAAACAAACAAAAGGGGACCTGCGTGTTAGTTTGAATTATCTGCGAGTTTGAATTACGAGAGTTTGAATTAACGAGATTCAAGTGTATTAGAAACTAGGATGACGACTGTTCCAAGCATGCCAAAGTTTTGTCAAATAAATGCTACGCACAATGCTGGCTTATTACCCTCCTCGATAATACAAACCTCGACCCTTTGAGTGCCCTGCCCAAATATATTCCTCCCATTCTTTTTTTTCCTATTGTGCACCAGCAAGCGACGAAAACAATGCTTTATCTTGTGGTGTCACGTTTTGATAGCATGCAGCCTTTTTGCTTAATTAAGCTACTTCTGTATCGGTATGCTCCTTCGTCGTTATAGAATGGTGAATCTAGTGTCGTTCAACCTTGTGCTTCGTGGCAAACACCAAGATCTCCAAATTACTAATGAACTCGGTAATCGACGACCGTGAAAGCGAGGAATTTACGGTTCCGAGTAAACAAAGGCCGAGAAAGGACCGTCAAAAGAGTCACCTCGGGACGCGAGGCCGAGGTGCGGCTGAGTGGTGCCGTGTCTCGAAAAGGAAAATACGAGACATACTTCGTGGGTTGGAGGCATGACATCATTTCACTTTTTGCCCATAAAATAGTGCGTTTTTTGCATATAAATATTCTTCACAAAGCACGCTCCAGTGTTGCCGAGATAAAAATTTATGGTTGGCATGCCAAAGAATAGGAATAAAACGAAACAAAATCCATAATATAATGAAGCCTTCGTACAGGACAGTATAGCTTAACATTGCCGAGAGTTTGTCAGCTGCACTAACCATTTAATTTCAGAAACCTAAAAAAAAAAGCTGATTTGGAGCTGTATTTGGTAGGTTACGGTGCATCGTCCAAAAAAACCTGCAGAGCCTCTCTGAGAATATTCTTATCCATTTCTGTAGTCAATGAAAACCAAGTGCCTAATTAGAGAATTCAAAACTGAATTGGGACTGAACATGTTACCATGGAACTTGAGAGATCGCAACTTACCTTTCGGATGTTAGCTGAGCTCTTATGTTGGGACGTTTCAGGACCTCGCTGTATCTTTTCAACTCTTGCAAAAGCTGGGAAACAAACATTATGGATTCGTAAGCTGATGCAGGGCTTTTCCCCCCACACTCCCTTCTAAGAGATTCCCATTCGATGCAATTGGCCGTTTAATGAAGTAAAACCAAGTCTCGGGCTACCTGCCATGATTTCAATCTGTGGGGAGGACCACAATAATAAACTGCCGTTTGTATCTTTAATTACCGTGAGGGGCTGTAGAGACACGTTTTAACTAATGTTTCTAAAGTCGAAAGCACCTTAAAAAAACAAATTTTTTTCCACACACTGTATTTTATCTATACTCCGTGTCACTAGGTGTGCACAGTGCAGGCGAAGGCAATGCCAGGTGAAGAGAGAAAGGGCAAGCACCTGGGAGCCGGAAGAGGAGGAAGGGGGTACCACCGGGAGATTTCTCTCCTCCTCCCCAGCCTTCCTAGTGCTCGCCCCTTCTCCCCTTGCCTGGCGTTGCCTTCGCCCGTACTGCACGCAACTAGTGACACGGAGTACAGATGAGGTTCTCAAACTCCCCCTTCAAATTTTCTCGCCATGGAGTAATGTATCCACTGAAAACATACACACTAAAAGGGAAGTCGAAACCAGTCACACGCAAGACTCTTGAAGATTCAAAATCAAATTTGGGGGTTTTACGTGGCACAACAACTGAGGGCATCTGGCAAGCACAGGCAGGGGACTGCGGATCTACTGGCATGCAACTGAAACCTCGGTTACCCGGCGCCTCCCCTGCAACGAGCCTCTGTCAGAGTGTCGCAAGTTTGGCCAAGCTACAAACCCAGCATCTGAGGTCCCCAGGGCGGTACTTCGTCTCCAAGCTACCGAGGCGGCTGTATCGGGTAAGGAGGCCAAAGCTATGATTACAGTGAAGCAAAGGTATGCCAAGCGCTGATGCAGTAAAAATACTAAAGCGGTGACAACTTTTCTGAAAGGCTAACTTCATCCTACCGTAACTCGTAGAAACATTTTGCCAGCCACATAGCGTTTGGGATGAAGGCATCTGCGCAACCATCAACATAGAGGAAGCTGAACTTTATTATAGCACTTTTCTCATTGCCTGGAGCCACAAAATGAGCTGCACTTCAGAGTAAACATACTTCAGCCATCTTCCCGCTTAAAATCATTGTTGCCAATTGTCTCATGTTTTATCTAAAATTGCGGGAAGCCCTTTTTGACCTCCAGAAACGCTAAAATTCGGGAAGTTACAATTTCGAGCCGTGACTGTTGCAATAGATCCTTCGCAAAACTCGGCGATGGAAGCAACATTGGGTCGTTTGTTGCAGCTTTTGAAGCGGGAAAAATATTGGCTCGGTGCAGCCACTGATGATTTTGGAGTTATGTCAAAAATATGGCATCGTGTCACTTCAGAATAAAATAGTGATTGCATCGCAAAACAAGTTCATATCTCAAAATGACTGAGGGTTCCTCTTTGACACTAAAGCATATTACTTATTATTTTTCATAGTGAGAATGCATGGGATGCAAATGGAATACACAGCCTTTTTTTTTAGAAATAAGGTTGAGGTCAAGTAGATTCCATTTACAATGATTTCCAGGCGGTATTAAAATATAACTGAAACATGAACCATAGTGCAAGACTTTAGCCAAGGTAAAGCCTTTCTATCCTCCTCCCTTTTAAAGTCCGTAGTTAATTTAGCTTCTAGATTCGATTCCTGTAAAATGCCAGCGAAAATTCAGCATATGCACTAGAACATCTATCAATCAAAATATGTCCTCCCAAAGTTTCATGAAGACCGAACTCAAGCTTCTCATATTGTATGTAAAGTGTAAAAAAATAACCACCCACAAATGTCATGAAATCTAAATTTGCACTTTTCCAGTGACATTGCGCTTTAGTGACTTTCAAACCAGTGTTACGTCGAAGTTTGCCGCCCTTTTGGTTGACTACCGTATTTCTTCAAAGCGAAACCAGCAGTTTTGCTCCTCTCTCGACATAGCTTTCTGAAATCAGAGGTCAACCTACAGTCAAGACCAAAGAAGGCCATGGCACCGAGCACAATTTCCAACTGAAGAGCACTATCTACATTCATTTCATCTTAGGTAAAAGCACGGTCAATGCTTGAAGTAAATAGGGTCAATCAAGTAGCATCGAAAGTATGACATCCTGGCATTTGCCATCTATCTGTACATGCTCTTTCATTGGCTAAACAAGTCAAGCACTAAGAATTCCCCTAGACTGGTGCTTTTAGTAATACCTGTCAAAGACTACATGTTTAAGGCTTCGACTGTGCCCCGTCCTAAGACGACATAAACCGTACGGTGGTTAGAGAAGCAGTGAAATACATAGTTATGCCATTTTTGCTTCGTTCTGCTCCTCTAAATATTAAGATCAATCAATAATAAAATATTCTTATTTTGTGCTTTGTATAAGCTTACCTCGGCGCAGGTGTGGCGCAATCATTAGCAAAAATGGCGTTTTGGCTCAAGACGTAGCAGACTGTCGTTGATGGCGCAACTAGGCGCAGCACTTCCACCGCTGAAAACTCCTAAAATGCTGCGAGCAAAGCCACTTGACAGTGAGGAGAGTGAGAGGAGGGCGGAGTCCATCACCTGCTTTGTCCCGCTCGCCATTGCCACCGTCGTCTGCTAAAGTGGGAGGTACCCAGCATTCCCTTCGGAACACGGATGGCACTGCGTGCTTTGCGAAAGGTCTGTTGCACCTACTCTGAACAAGGCAACAAAATGGCGGCACCCTCGAGACGATTGGAGAATAAAGCGTCGATTCTCGAGTGTAGCTCATTTAGTGGCTCCAGCGCATTCCACGAGCTAGGCTCCACTCACGCCAAGGGCATTGCGCTGCGTTGCAGTGAGCGTCTGGCGCAGCCTTTCGGCAGCCCGCTGCTCGAAGACGGCCAACCGCGTCTCGTGCTGAGCGAGCGCGGACTTCCACAGGGGGTCCGTGTAGGGGTTGTACTGGAGGCAGTGCAGGCCGGAGAAGGGCTCGAACACGGCCTCCATGCTCACGTCGGGGAAGAGCAGCTTCAGCAACTGCTGGTGCACGGTGCGCACACAGAGGATCTGCGTTTGGAAGACGAAACGAGGAACCATTATGCATGGGCTCCCGCGTTTTTGAGGGTTTATTTTGCTTCCAATTCAAGGGCGTTTCTTCCGGTTTTATTTCTTCCCACGCATTTTGTGTATTTTGCTGCACCTACCTTTCTCTGTCGGAAAAAGAATCGGCGTTTGTCGAAGTTAGTGCTAAAGAAAATGAGACATAGCTGTGAGATTCTCCAACCTCCAGGGAGCATGTGTGTAACTTGAGAACTCTGGAAATGCCTCAGTACCATTAATAATAATAATAATATTAATAATATTAGTCACGAGCGCAGAGTGGAATTTGAGTCTGAAGCAAATAGTGGTTTTGGCCAAATAATTTCTAATCGAATATTGAACTCTTTCTCCAGCCCTTTCACTACAGCACGATGCTTACTTTAAACAAAGGCCCAGATAAACTTGAGAAGGTTATTCCCAAGCTTCCATATGTCCATTTTACAGCGAACTGTTAAAGGCTAGGTTCCCCAGGATCGTGTCCGTGTATGTCGACACAAACCTACCTGGACAGCTACCGCCATCTATAAGCGACGGCAGCAAGCACACAACCAGTATGGTTTCCGGCGTCGCTCGTAGATGGCGGCAACCTTTGCAGCTATAATAGAAGAATGGATAGTTGGGCACATTGGTGGGAATTAATCGTAGGAAACAGCGCGAAAAACAGACGATGACGACAAAGAAGCACACAGTGTATCGAGTACAGCTCCGCTGGTCTTCCTTCTTCACGAGAGTGGAAAGGCTGAATGTCTTTTTAAGTTAATTTTAATCAAACTATATTTATAAACTGTAGCCTCACAAGGTCTAATGTTTACACTGAGACATCAAATAAATTACACACTTGACATAAAATTAAACCTAGAGATGTGCAGTTATACCTAATCATCGAGATTTATAAAATCTCACTATATGCATTTATCCTTTTTTATACGTAGAATTTGAAAAAAAGAAAAAAAAAGACAATGAACGATGATTGCAGGTTGTCAGGACATCCTAACTTACATATACTTTTGCATAATAACCTGTTTAATTTTAAAACTTTTACTCTAGTGTAGATATCAACATTCACAAAGTTCCCATTTCTTTTTAAATACACTGTAGACCGCATATAACGTATGTCGCGGGAGTCGCGAAAATCCGCGCTACAAGCGGTACCGCGTTATAACCAAAACGTCGATTGTTCAGGCCAAAATACATGCCATGAGACAACATACCCTTGTAAAAGAATTTATTTTATGTTAGACGAAGAGGAGTCTTTATTTCACCAGACTAGTACACTTCTCCTTTAAGTGTGTCAATTTTTAAAAAAATGAGCGACTTTTGCCTGGCGCAGCCTTTTAACGGCGTCGCTGGTTGCGGACGGACCTTGCGAGCGTTCAGGATTGCTAACCCTAATCACTTTTCTCCGGTGACGAAGACGCGTGAAAATTCGCATCCATTATACGGTACGCGCCAGTGATACCTTCAACTTTAGCACAGGCGTGAAATGCTCCAAATAAGAAATCCGGGCAACGTTCGAAAACCCAAATGCTTAGAAAGCACCACTGTAGTCGAAGTAAACAAACACGACGACACGGGCGTTTCTGCCGTCTTGAGAGTGCCGCCACGACATCGCCGCACGAGTAGGTGGATCTTCCCTTCTAGTACGTGCCGGGTTATCATAGCGGCACACAACGAAAATTCACGGTCAAGGATAGCGCTTTTACGCGGAACGATCGCAACCGACGACATGTTTACGGATAGAAGCCAGCCCGCGACCGGCATGCAATGCGCGCGAATACTTCTCCTCGACCTGCGATTGGTCTGTCGTTGCGGTTGTTTTCCAACGCAGCGAAGGGACGCACGCACGTGAACGACACGTACGTGCGTCCCTCTGTCGCTATGGCAACTGAAGCCTCTCTCTTCGCTTCTCTCCGCTTCTTGGAGCCACGACATCGAGCAACCTCCTTGCCCCGCGAGTGCCGCTTGCGGCTAGCCAGGCTAGCGCCGTTATCTAGTGTCGCACAGGGAAGCGTGCTGGCTGCGCCGGTCAATCGGCGCAATCGGCGTGCTTGGCGCACTGTTCCAGAAACCGCATTATAACCGGTATTTCCCTTCGCGCACCTGCATTTTAAGCGGTATGTAAATACATAGAGTTCTATGGGAGGCGAACCGGTGGTTTAAAAAAGCCCCGTTATACCCGGTCCTGCACTATAAGCGGTTACGTTGTAAGTGGTCTATACTGTACACCAGAAGTGCACACGCACCATCTGACTATATCAAGGTGTCCTCCTGATCAGAAGACTGCAATATTCCTACTTTTCTAAGTGGTTATAGCAATGGGTTAGCCCTGTTGAGTGCACTTATTAAAGAGCGCCGGTGCACCACAGTAAGGGAACACCCACGAAGGCTCTGCGGGAGTTGCTTCTCTGCAGTGCACCGGTGCTCCGTAAGAAGTGCACTCAATGGGGCTAACCTTCCGTGAACAACACATAGAAAAATATGAATATCACAGTTCCTCTCGAAGCAAATATCGAATGCCGTATTATTCTAAACTCATATTTAAAATACGCACAACGCAGGCACAACGCAATAGGCACAACGCAAAGAATGCAAGTCCGATATCCGCCGGTCGCAACGGGTTCCCGAGGTAGGTACCTGCTGCAGGCGGTTGGTGAAGCCCAGCAGGTAGGTGGGGACAAAGGGGGGCCCCTTCCAGGGGTGGGGCCCGAAGTGGGGCCAGAAGAGCGAGGTGAGCTTCTGGCAGACGTCCTGCCAACGCAGGCACACCTCTGCGGCCAGCCTCAGCTGCTCCGCCACGTCGGTGAACTTGCCTCCCCACAGGTCGGTCTCGCTCAGCAGGGACTGCAGCTGCATCAGGGTGCTGTTGCCTGCCATGTCCAGAGGGTGGAAAGACGCATGTCGTAAGGGCTGGCATTCCTCAGGGAATGAACGAGAAAGAGAGTGGTGGAAAGGTGGAGAAAAAAAGCAAACAAAGGTCAGACATCCACGTAATTTATTTACAATATCTACGGCAGACTGGTTAGGTCGTCGCAGTTTGGCATTTCGCCTCGCACCTTCTGTTGCGTAACACTTTTTGTTAGTTTTCTTCCTGCAACTGGTCACAATAAGTCGAGGGTGTTGAAGCGATCGTGGACTTTATTTCTTTTTATGCAATGTGCGACGCCAATGGTTTTGTGCAAAACAAAGCTAAAAGAAAAGACTGGGTTTAGACCTTGCAAATGATGTTTCACTGCTTCTTTGTGTACATTAAAGCGTGGCCAGCAATATGGGTCCACTGTGTGGGTCCGTGAACCTCAGAGTAATGATAAAGCAAGCACACAATAGATGGTACGATGCTCATCCACATTGGCAAGGGAAGGGCTCTTGCGGTGGGTCCACATCTACCACCAGACTCGGGAAGTTTGCAAGTAGTTCAGTTGGCTTAGGAAAAACGTGCCATTCCTGGTTTTGAAAAGCTGTACGAGGCTGTACGAGCATCTGCACATTCGCACCATGACACGAGGATGCAACAGGAAAAATATTAAACTGCAGGCAAGGAAATAAAAATTGTTACAGTGACTGCAAAAATGCTGCTGCCAGCAGGTTTCCAACTGGTCTGTAATGTAAATGATGATGTAAATGATTAAAGAAACCCATCCACACCAACCTTGCGACATGTCGGTGTCAACGGCGCGCTATGCATAGTTACAGTACAGTGTACTATGCAAGACCTCAAAGTGGCCTCACGGATAGGGATGAATTTCCCAGCTGCGGCACGGTTGCAAAAACAAAGCTTAGGAGTTTGGGTGTCGTGGAATCCTATTCAGTGACTCTCCCCCTGACTAAGAAGCTTCTTTGTCGCGTCATAATTGCGAGGGTAGAAGCAAATGTTTCCTTTCCTTTTCTCTTTTGCAAAACTCGATGACAGAGTAACAGGGACTACCTCATGGTGACGATAGTCAAATGCAGCTGATGGACTGGACACGAGCACTGAGTGAGAACTCAATTAAAGCTTGTGGGAATGAATGCCGCGACTAACTTTCGAGTAGTGGATCATACACAATCGCTGCAATGATAGGAGTAGCCAAAGCCTAACAATGTCCGGAGCTCAGCGCATGCCACGTGCTCTGTTAACTCTAGCACATAGCTGTGATGAACGAAGAATTCAACCTGCAGGCAAAATGTTTTTATTTTTCATGGTAGCAAGTTAAAAAGAATAACTAAAATGTTACTTCTTTTGTGATTTCTATTACCAAGCATGCAGAAAAGACGAATGTATGTTTCGCATGTTATGAATGTCAAGGATTAATAATAATGAGTATATTTATACAAAGTAAGAAACTTATTGGACTGCCGGCCTTTTTAATGCTTTTTTGACAGTAGAGTCTTTTTTCCCAAAAGATGCTTCCCAGTGATTGGGTTTTGTTTCCAAAATACTACTATAGAGCTGTGCTTCTCAACCATTGATGTTTCGCAGATCCCTCGTGGATTGGCAGAGATAATAGAGGAACTAGTTTGTGGTGAGGTGAAGGGAAAGGTTAATTAAAATTATGATTTAATAAATGGATATAATTAAGGGCTAATGTGAAGTAGAGTTCTTTGATTGACATGCACACGAGAAAACTTGCCCTAAAATCAGAACGTTTTTCCACAATCTGAAAAAAAAAAAACTTTTCTTGCCAGGACTGACTTATGAGGCAGGGCATCGAAGAGCCCCATTTGAGAACCGCTGCTATAAAGAAGACGGCAATGCGCAGCTTTCTTTCTATTATCTAGCAGAAACACATACAGCGCTCGCGAGCTGTTCAGGTTTAGAAGTATCAAATGAAAATATAGGGTTCTTTTCCCAAAGGAATACTATAAGAAAAAAAGATCCCCCAATGCAGAAATTTCTTTCTAATTATCTAGCAGGAAGGCATACAGTGCTCGTTTCATTTTGGCACGACCCCTTCCACGACACACCGGCAGTTTCAGATTCCAAACCGGAGGTACTTTGCAGAGTTTCTTCCTCGGATGGTAAGCTCTCCTCCTCCCAATTCAAATCTGAGAACCGTTAAAGGTCTGGATCGGAAGAGCTGGCCCTTTAGTTGCCACTACTACCGAAGCAGTCGCCGCGCGACCCAACCGCCTCAAAACGTACGCGGAGCGTCCAATTTCAAAACTCCACGTAGCCCCAGCAAAGCAAAACGCCGTGCAAACATAACGTTCGTAGTTCGCCCAAGACGTAACAAATATATATACTCCCCGTGGTGGGTGCATTTTTGAGTTTATGTGGGCACTTTTAAAAGCGTAAACGCCGCCGTACATGTCTGGTCACTACTGTCGGAGAGGTGCTTCGATAGGATATGTATGTCGCAAAATAAACTTCCCCTTTAAAAAAATTTTAGCGCAATATCTACATCACAAAACATATTTTGAGTCGCAAACAATCCTAAAAGATGGTGTCTTCTTTTTAGGGGAGGGGGGGAGGGGTTTATTGTGTAATGTACTATGCGTCTTGCCCGTCCACTTCAAAAATGTCTCCCGGGAGTCCAAGCCTTCCCGTGATCCCGGCACCTACCAATGGAGTCGAGGAGCCCGACCATCCGGGGCTGCGGGTAGGGCGGAGAAGCCAGCTCCTGCTTCCAGAGGTCTTCGAGCAGTCCGAAGGCGGACTCCAGGAGGTCCGTGCAGTCCGGGAGGGACACGCCAGACAGGCCCGAGAAGAGCTGCCGGAGCGGGGCGAGCAGCGATGCAAACGCCTCGCACCGCTTCCGCTCCGCCTCGGAGCAGTCCGGAGCCTCCGCTCTCCCGAGCCAGAAGTCGTGCTCGTCGGCCGGTGACAGGATCCCTGCCGCGCAAGTTGGAGAGGCGTGACTGCAACATCTTGGCGGTGCATTTAGTGCTGTACGCCAACTGAATTCTTTCATTTATGGCCTGTTCACGCACGTATCATAGCGCTCATCTAGTGCTTACTCCGTTTCACCTCTCAATGATCTACTGTGGAATCTGCGTGCTACCGAAGCCACTCCAATGCCGTCTGGGTGTCGCGATACCTCTGGTGGGGGTGCTGTAACGTGTAGAGAGCACCGCCATGACACGTTGCGGCTATAGGGTTCATTGGGTCTGCTGTGAGGCAGAGCACGATTCGGTGCCAACCTTAGCACCCATGATAGCACTTGCTAATGCAGTAGCTTATGCAGCAGAGGTGAGTGGTTTCAGTGGTGCCATTGCACACTGTTAACTCGAGACCACGGAGTAAGACATATACGGGTGCGGACACCACGTGCGGCGAAGCTGCCAGATAAAAGTCCTCTCCTCGCCTCGGTTGCAAGCGGCGTCACCAGGTGGCCCTTCGATACGCGGCTAATGGCAGTCCGTCGTGGACTCAGTTTCCCACGTTTGCCCATCGGAGATGTGCTTGTTTATATAGTCGTTTTCCTGAATGCAGAACATTACGTAGAGCTTTGCACCTGTGCTACGTGTGTCGCTTTATTGATATTAATGTTATTCATAATTAGTAATGTGTCGAAGCGGAGAGACCTCTGGCGCGGTGTTCATGCCAGGGTCCGACGAGGTAAGAGACGACACGCCAAGCAGAAAACGCGCACGCCCAAGTGCAGACCCCGAAATAGAAGCAGATTCCGGAATTGCTCATAGACATTGTGTAAACATTGGACTATATAGAAACGTTTCTTCGGTCGGGAAAGTTTATTTAGTGATATACGGGGGGTGGCCGTAAGGATGAACACATTTGGCGTGCCTCGCAAAACTCAAATTCCAAATATACATACATGAAATGGGGCACGCAAACATAGTTTTGCAAAAAGATTGATGTCTGTTTTTTTTTCAGAGTTGTAGTCAGAGGTGTTAAGATACTAAAAATATAGCAAAAATGTCGGTTACATGTATTTTATGCCCTATACCGGATGTTTGTCGTCTGCATACAGGTTTGTGAGTTGGCTCCCAGGTGGACATATATTTCGTTAGAAGTAGTAATTAAAGTGATTATCTCGCTCACTGCCAGACTCTGCTACTGGTTTTTAGCGTTTTTGCACCAGGAGCGAGCTCATGAACCAGTGTGCAGAGGACAAATAGGCAGGACATAGAAAATATGCGGCCTCCGATTTTGCCTCATTTCGAATATTTCAACACCTCAGAACTGAGCTCCAAAAAAAATAAGACATAAAATGTCCGGCAAAACTATGTTCTTGTGCTCAATTTTAGGTATGTACTTTTGGAATTTGAATTTTGCAATGCATGCCAAAAGTGTTAGCTGGGGAAAGGACAAAAAAAAAAACACAAAAATCCTTATGGCCCACCCTGTGTGTGCCCTATTCAGACCCATAAAATGTTTTAATGCGAAAGCATTGGCTGTCTCATGGAGCGAGCCGACGTCATCAGCTTTGAAGCAGCACCAAACGGCACCTTAAATCCTTTCTCCAAGTGAAGCTCCCAGCTATAAAACCACACGAAAAGCCTAGACAACGGCACCTAGTTTCCCCGATCCCAAAGGACCGAAGTAAAGCTGATGAATTTTCGGCTTCGGTTCCATTGGCTGGCGAGCGTCGACAAAGCTCCCATTGGTCGCTGCGCATCAGTTTTAACGACGGCCACCCCATGGCGCTGCGTGTCCGCGAGGCAGTGGCTCCACTGCTCCACGCCCAAGGTCAGCGCACATGCTCGACCGTGGCCGAAAAAAGGGAGCGGAAGAGCGGCATGCATGCTTTCGCATTCACAACTCATGCGTAGGTGTACCTTGAGCCTTTTTTTGAAAGTTCAGCGTCCCATAAACTAGCCTTACAACATTGCAGCGTGTGTGGCTGAGCTGCCAACGTATGTGGCTGCCAATCGAGGAAACGGGGTTCAAACCCCGCTGGGCATGGTTTTATTTTTTTTATTAGGCTGTACTGTTCTGGAGAGTTCCAGCCCATTTTCGTCGGTAATAGATCTGCTCTTTTGGGAGATAGCCAAACACACTGCGTGTAAGCAGCAGTAATACGCTGCTTTGAGTTAGTTTGCCCTTCTGTCACCAATGCAATATGCACGGTGCCTTTCTTTAAAAGTTTGAAGGCGGAAGTTCCCCTCATGAAATGCTTATCTTCAGTTCTAAATCAATAATTTTTCTATTATTCGCAACAATAATCACTCGCCCTCCGTAGCAGACGGAGTGTCGTCGTCTGCAGCAGCACCTAGCTGCTGCCTGACCATTGCACCGAGGCTGCCCTGGAGTTGCCCGAGGAGCGTTTGGAACTTGGGGCCCGTGTTCCACTGGCCCCCGCCGAGGAGCAACGGGGAAAAGACGACTCGCAGGGTGCAGTGCAGGGACGTGATGGGCGAGGAGATGAGGGTCGACACGAAGACATGGCTGAAGAGGTTGTCGGGCGTGATTACGACCGACTGCAGCTTGAAAAAGACCAGCGTGCGCTGGTTCCTCTCGCTGGAATCCTGCATCAGCTGTAACAGACAATCCTTTTTAAGAGCCAAGCCTTTGAGGTTTGCCCCAAAAATTTTCGAGATGTGGACATGACAATTTCCAGGGTGTTCGAGAGAATGAGGAGCAGGCAATTGCGACAATTTTCGGTGTTCTCGGCACTTCCTCTGCCGTGCAGCAGCGATTTTGTTTGCAGGGATGAGTTATGTCGCATAGTGGCACACAAGTGTGCAAAACAGCAGTCTGGAGAATAGCACATTTTCAAGATCAGCGCTGTGTCGCCTAGTAGATGCAAAATATATACGAACTCATCTCTGTTACGTCACGGCGCGGTGGTGGCGCGTCGGACGCACTTCTGGTCCGGGGCTGTGGGCGGAAGTGCCCATCTGAGACGTGCATTCCTGCGTTGTTTTGAAAGGAACCAGACAAAAACCTGCCTTCTGGTCAAAATGCTGCGACTGGGGCTGTACCAAAAGGGTCGAGAAAGGTTTGAAGGTCAGTTTTCATGCGCTCGGTGCGTCGGAGAACGTGGATATGTGCCGTGAAAAAGGAAAACCCGTTGCCATTGGACCACAATTGCCTTGGCGGGAAGCACTTTGGGTTGAATTCACGGATACTTTTGGCCATCAGATTTATTTGTTTTGTTCCAAAATGAACGCCGGAAAGCCGTCAAGTTGTACGGATCACCTGCGGACTACGTTCAGTGCGTCTTCAAGTTCAAACGGTCGCCTGATCGTTCGAACTGTCGTCTGCTCCTTTAAACGTTTCTGCGTGTCGTGTGCTCTTTTAGAGGACACCGGCCCGTAGACCAAACGTGGGCCCGGTACTTGCGATAAGAAGTAAGTGCAGGCCTCAAAAGACTTGAGTTTGAAGGTTGGTAAGCAGGCTCGACGTAAACAGTATAGATACAAGGAGATGTTGATCACTGTTACCAGTGGCCATCACCGACTTGTTATGCCCGATTCATTTGGTTAGATTCTGCTTGCGATTTTCAGTATCGACATCGACCATCTCAGCTACGGTTCACGCTTTTGCTGTCCGAGCTACGTCGCTACTGAAAATTGCGAGCGAAATCTCATCATGCGATTCAGGCTTTAGCATACATTCTGCGGCATCCACGCGGAATGAATCGCCGCATGTCAGATTATTCGCGCGAAGTTTTGCGGTGTAACGAGCCTTGTTAATTTCGCCGACGCCGCTCAAGTAGTCAGACATCCTTAGGAGGACGTAGAATCAACAATTCCAACGTGAAAAAGAGCGCGGGGACTCACACCGACGCCGACAACATCGCATTTCAATGGTTTGTTTATGGGCGACGGCGAGCTTCTTGCCCACACCCCCATCGCGCATGTGCGGCGCCGGTGGCGTCCGCTAGGGGCGCTCCGGTTTGTTTGTAAACATGAGTTGGTGTTTAAGGGTGGACTGGACGTAGTAGAGATGCGTGGTCAGTCAGACTGGTGGGTGGAAGAGGCTCACTGTAGGGTGAAGTCTCCTAGTAGTTTATCGATAGTTTCCCAATAGACATTCAGCTGTTTGTTTCACGTGACCATAGATGCAGTTGCAACTACAAGTATGTTTTAAGGCTGCCATTTTCTGAAACCAACCGAGACCGGGTGGAGAGCTAGAGATATACGATGGGAAAATTAAGAAAAATACAAAATGGTAAATCTACACAAGCTCACCTGCACCATTGTCGTTCTAGCATTTCAGAGCACAGCTCTTAGGCGCCAGTTTCCGGCTTGAGCAATGCCGCCATCGCCGTGATTGCGCATTGCATTCTGGGACCTTTCCCATTATGACGTCACGCGTGACGTCACAAAGGTCACGAATGACGCCACGAAGGTCACGACGAAGGTCACAACCTTCACGACTGACGTCACGAGGGAGGGAGAGAGGGAGGGGAGAAAGGAGGAAGGGAGGAGGATGGGGGGATTAGAGAGGAAGAGGAAGGGAGGCAGAGGGAACAGAGGAAGTGGAGGGGGCATACCCTCCTCTCCTCTTCAAGAGCTGCGCTCTAATTCGGCATTGCAGGGAATCGTAAACGTCTTTTATTCTTTTAGGGCTCGTTTTCAAGTCTAGGGATTCACAATATTTTGCTACGAAGAAGTATGACAACAAGGGCAGGTATGTTCACAAGAGATACTTCATCCCTCACCAGGAAGTGAGACTGTGGACTCTTGCAGCGCGAAAATGCCCTGTCGATGGCCGTTTATATTTAAAAACTTTATTAGTGCATTTGATCACAACTGAAAGACATTTGCAACTTTCCGGGCGCTATATAAAAAAACATGCCTATTGACATGGATAGCACCAATGAGGTTCTTCACTTGAACCTGCGACTTCGGAAACAAACAAAAGTCTGAACTGAAACATTACGTCCTTGCATGCTGAAAGATATGGGTTTGTTTAGACGCCACAGTTGAATCGGACACGACATGATCGCTTTTTCGCAT